CTCACTCGCGCGCACTTAGCATACGCGTTATATGTATCTGGTATTATAACGACGAGCGACGGCGACGGGCGAAGGTTGTTCAACTCGGGCGGATCTTGTAACCGTCAAGTATAACGGGTCCTAAGGCCCGCGCACGCCGGGCATCGCGCCGGCGCTCCACCTTCGGCTCGGTTTTTACCTCCTCGCGAGCTCTAAGCGAGCGCGTGTGCACGCCGGGAACCCTCTTCCTCTTCTCTGCCTGCTACAAACCTTCTTCAACCTGGGTACGACTTGTCGAGCTCGCCAGTCAGCCGTGCACCATTGTCGAAAGATCGTCCGGGTAGTCGACACTCTCGCGATCTCTCCCGTTTCTGAAATATCTGACGATTCGTCAGATTTTAGAGTTCACTTCGAGCACCTATCTATACTTTTGCATTCTCTCGCTTCTTCCTCGTCCACGTTCGTTGTCTCTTCTTTTTCAAACAGGTGATAGTCGAGTAGTTAACGCGCGGATTTGTATCAGTGGTGCGCCGAAAAGTTTTCTCGCGGTCGTCGGGGGTGCGTGTGCGTGTATGTGTATGAAGATCACCGCGTTAGTGGTGATTCGATGTGTCATTGAGCAGTTGATTGAGATATAGGTAAGATCTTGATAAATTTACAATGATTGTTAATCTTCCACATTTGGTTGAATAATAGCATATTTTATTTATTTTAATTACGCAAATTTGTTAACACATTTTGCGCTAGTTTAATCGTTCGTCTTTTGGCGGCAATTATTGCATAATTAATGTGATAATGATATAATATATTATGTGCACGTACGCATGCACATGTGTTATGTACATGTGTTATAAATGCCATTATGTACATTATATGTTACTTTTTTTAATTTACATATATATGGAATTTATTTAAAATAATTTTAAAAATTTCTTATGAAATTAATCATAATTAATTTTAACTCAAAGTTTTTATATAACATGAAGATATTACTTTATTGAGAAACATAAAGAAGAAATTGTAATATATATGATATTAGCAGAATCAAATTTCGTCAGATTCAGGATGTAACATCGTTAATAATCATCACTTTCTTGGGAGAAGAGTCTTTAATAATTTTTCTATTTTTATTTTTCACATCATTACATCATGTTATACTTCACATACTCACCTAATGGCGTTTCATGGATATCTTATTATATTGTTTCATTAAATGATTGGGAACACTTTTGGAGCTTATACGCCACGCTCTAAAAAAAGATTGGAAGTAATTACATTAATTAGATTAATCAATGTTATTAATATATTGTGCGACCCGTTTGTGCCAAACAATTGTGTGTATGGGGACATGATGAAAGTAATTTTTCATTTTAAAAAAGTTCGGAATTTTTTAATTTGTTATTAAAATTTTATGAATTCATCTGTAGGTCAAAATTTCGTTTCAAGTAAATTTAAAATGAATTGTAAAGAATAAGATTCGTTTTATCTATATGCATCTTTGAAGCTGAATTTGTCAAAATCTTTTTTATTATCTTTAAACTCTTATTATTAATGAAATATTAATAAGACATTATTTTTATTAGGAACAAATTATTTTACTTATTGACAAAGAACATAGCTTCTTTGTACTAAATAAATCGCCCAGCATTTTAGATGCATGATTCAAAATTGTCAATATTTAAGCATTAAACATAATTTACTAAATCAGCAAAATAGAGAAATTATAATTAATCGTTATGTTCTTATGATATATGAATACTTTCAATTTCAATCTATTTTTTTTTACTTTATGGACATGTTGAATTATTTATGTTATATTATAGTCTCTTTCACGCTTTAGTGAAAGTATCTTTAATGAGAGAAGAAATTTATTCTCTTTTATTAAAGTATATAAAAAAATATATATAAAAAGTTAAAAACAATAAAAAACATAAACATAAAAAATATAAAATATAATATAGCTATAAAGGTATTACCGTTATTAGTGCGAAATTAATTAAAGATCGATGGAAAGGGAGACTTCGCGTGAGAACATTCATTGTGCGGGAGAGTCGCTGAAGCATCCGCTTCCCATAACGAACGATTATTTATCCGTAAATGAGATTCGATTCGGCCGATATTAATGCGATTTATTGACCCGAACGATCGGAAGGAGCGCTTTCATCGCGAATCTCTGATCTCGTGGTTTTATTTCTTTTTTTTTTAATCTTCTACGATCTGATTTAAGCGTTAGGGTCGCTCATTAGAGCACCAATCTGTTTGGTAAATGGCGTAATTTTATTGCGATCATTTCCGCTGAGGCATTCAACGTTCCAGAAACGCATCTCATTCCTCGGCCATAAGCAATTCCATGAATACGCGAATAGCCTTACTTTGTAGATTGAATTATTGAGGTGTCGAATGGTTTTATTTCACTCCGTTGATTTGACATTAATATAGATACAGATGAAGGATATTAAGCTTTAATAAACTTAATATTCTTATAAATATAGAGAAAAAAAGAAGTAATACTTTGATTTTACATTTAACTGAACCTATAAGATATTTTGTCATCATTTGTTTGATCTATCATAATTTATAAATTAATTTTTTATTAAAGTTTTACTTAATAAAATTAACACAGTCTGATGATAAAATAGTTTTCCGTAATCTCACATTCATGTCTATTTATTGTACAATTGTCGGAAATTACTACAATACGCTTGCCATCGAAAATAGTCAGTGCGTAAAGCATAAATAATAATTATTGTTGCATATAACTGTTAAATTTTACGAAGATAAAATTATCAGAATTATACAAAGCACAAAGTTTGTAGGTTTATCACCAAAAATGATTAAAATTGTTTCACTTAATTTATAATTATTATATATTTATCAATTAGAAAACGCTTATAGTCTGTCGCATAATTATAAGAAACGATTTATTTGTTATTTTATATATCATTTTTTTAATATTAATTTTTTAAATACCATATCGGTTTTACGTAAACAGCTCGAAGATTTAACGCTAACACGAAGTATAATTGAAGTATAATTATGATAACAATATTTATATTTAACAAAGAATATAATTTATTTATCATATTGGTCGATCGATCTTTTTTTTACTGACGCATTCGTTTGGAATTCAGAGAATCTCTTTATAGCGTTATTCACAAACTCAACGTAGCCGTTTATGCGCGCGGTTTTCATGTTCGTAAAGATACATTCAAATGGTTAACGGTACCTACCCGTTCGTAGAATTTGCGGATTCTACTATTCAACACCGGCGAATAATGTCCCGGCTTCTCTTCGATCACATTCCCACATTCTCTGATACCACCGCGGGATGCTCGATCGGCGTCACGTACGAACTCCCGAAGAAAATCGACGCCCCAATCGTGGTACCGTTAGTAGACACGATTATATGAGCGGAAAAATGCAACGGTAAACAACCTCCAGGTGACAATCATGCTATCGCCGAGCGATTTCTATTGGAAACATTAATTATAAATGACAGTTATGATTGTCTTTCTCAAGTTGAGATTGAAAGTATCTGATTATCCTTAGCGGAGATTTCAATGCGTGAGGAGGAGAGAACGTTTCGTTCGTAAATGATTAGGATATTATTTTAATTAAATGTTATTCCACAAGACAATTTTTCTTAATTTATGACGTATTAATTACAATTCTTATATTGATAAATACGTGATTCTTGTATTTTTACTAAAATTTTTCCGAAAAATTTTATATTATTTGTAGACGCATCTTGCACAGTGATATAAAATCCTACAATTTCATTGCGCGAATGCATATTTAATTTTATGTGAATGTCGATGCTGAGATAATTCTACTGCTTGTATTCCACGTGCATTGATGGTTGAACAATCGGAAATGAAAATTGAATACGAACGATTCTTTCAACCAAGAACCTTCGGTGACAAATTGATACTCAGAAATTCACGTCGCGTCTAAGCAAAGTCACCGAAATCAACTGTCTCGACAATTGCGTCATTAGTAACCTAAAGATTGTGCATCTCAATTTCTTCAATTGTTGTTGTCCAACGTCACTTTAAAAGTCGTTGTGCGCAGGTAATAAGATCGTGTTTTATTATCAATCGTAAGTTAAGGTTTCCTACGCAAATTACACTTATAAATATTTGATTTGGATGTTTAATATTTATTGAATAATATTTTATATAGAATTATAACATAGATTCAGACTTAATAATTAGAATTTTATACCCATAAGAATGATAAGAAAATTTAGCCATTATTGTGCGTTTAAATATATTTACAATTATATTTACAGATTGATTATTCAATTATCAAGAAAGAAAAGATTAAAAATTTTGAATTAAATATATTGTTCTTATCCTTAATATATCATTGCATAATCCAATCAAAAAAATTATTGTATGTATATATATTTGATTAATATCTATCTGCGCTTTATGAAACGCATGCGAGATATTGCAAAAATGTTTGTCGAAACATATAAAAACGGTAAATATATATTACAGATGTAAATCCTCGCAATAGCGCTTACGCACATGCTTATTCTCATGAATATTAATGCAAGCGTCTCGTCTTGTCGTCGTAAAATTAAAACCTTCCATTTCCGCATTTGCCCCATCGTTTCCTGTCGCTCCTTCTACGATTGACTCGATCGCGCCTTTCATTTCGACGATCGCAAAATTGTTTTTGTATTCGCTTACTCTAAACTGGTTCCCCATGATACACAGTTTATAAGCAACCAGATCTAGAATATTGCTCAAGATCAGGTTCGATGTTTAGGTTATCGTGTCGAGGACAGTCTCTTGATATGCATATTTTGCAATTCGAGGAATCTCCCTTTGTCTTTCGTTTTACAATTCATAGCACATCGTTTTTGATAAAACCATTTCTGAATTTGTAAATAAATCACACAAAAGATTCTAGTCTTCTTTATAAATATATATATATATATATATATATATATATATATATATAATCTTTTTCTAAAATATCTTTTTCTAAAATCTTTTTAATCTTTGTTTCAGTGCAAAGATGTGGATGCAGATGTTAAAAATTGTGGTGGTCCTGCTTGTCGCAGGATCAGGGGATACCAGACCTCAGAAAAGTGGTAAGTTTCTTCAAAAGAATGACGTTATGCCTGGTGACAATATTATAATGTGACGGAAACAATCGGTAATGCCTAGCAATCAAATCATGTAATGCAGCAAATTGGTAGCAGAAAACGATGTTTTCTAACGCACAGTTGATGCCTTTTACACAGTACAATCGTAGCTAATAAATCGTGCTTATCCAATTGCTTATTCAATCTATCATCTTTTCATATATTTTAATATCATAATAATTTCATATAATTTAATATATGACAGTTAATAAATGTATTTCAATTATTACTTAATATTATACTTAATATAATATTTTTTGCTAGTTGTTATACATATATATATTCAAAAACTGTCACGTTATGATTATTTTTGTTACATTATAATAATATAATAATGTTACATTAATAATTTATTTAATTAATTAATATAATAATATTAATTAATAAGGTCTTGATAACTGATATAATAATTCTGACTTTGTGATTTTAATTTCACAAATTTGCGTGCAATTTACATATGATGATTATTTTCAATGATTGATTTCCCTACTATTTCTAATAAAGAGTCTTTCATTTCTTAAAAAAATGGACTTCGTTCAACGTTCCATTACAGAGAAAACGACGCATCAAACATGTAATTTCCCAATAGCATCAATTATATATTGTTGTAGCGTGTCGAATCGCAATTTGTCCTTCTTATCGCAATTACGTCATTGTTCGTCATGCGTCTATAATGTTTTTCTTGCAAAATCGAATTTCTTAAGACGGAAGCATTTACTTAAACTTGCAGCAATTGGAAATTGCCACGGCTTAGTAGTTTTATTGCAATTGACAACAATTAGCACATTATTAGTGTCGCAAGCTTTGTTTATGTAGCACATCCAATATTTAATCGATAATTATTTAATGCAAGTTTTTCTTCTCTCTAAAAAATTTTGTTTCGCCTTTCAGATGATGTAAATTTGGCACCACAAGCGGAATCGAGCGACGCAGGATGGAAAGACGTTCAAGCCTGGAACAAGACGCACGATACAATTCGGGACGATAGCAGGTATACAGGGACTTCCGGACGTAATAGAAAGTCATATATCACACATTTCCGCGATAGTGTCGATTTGTCGCGCCAGCATAACGCGATCGGTTCACGCGCGAGCGGTTTCGTTCCAACAACACGCTCGTCGTTTAACGCTCGTCGTTCCAAGATCGATGACATGTGGACGACGTCTGAATTTAAAGCATCTTCGAGTCTTTCGAGGACGAACGTATTAGGTGAAATCACAAAGACCGGCACCGTTCGAAATTCAAATAAATCAGATGGGTTTTTGCCTGGTGGTTTTTCTAATAATTCACCGAGATTTGTTTTTGCATCGAATAAAAGCTCCGACTTAGGGATTGATCGAACGATTGATTATTCTGGAAAAGTAGGTAGCGAAGATTTAGAGAGACCGAAATCTGACGCGTCTTCGAGTCGAAATTATAAATTGGAAATCGCTCGGACGAGAGGAAGTAATTTCTTGATGAATCATGGCTCTGGTCGGACGAGGATGAGCGATGATATTTCTATCGCGAAAAATCGGCAGAAGTCAGGTTCGACTAAGCCCGAGTCGTTTTCGAATAAATATATTATTGAAGATGATACGTTGCTTAGGAGGACAGGGCAAGTTTCGAACATTCCTTCTTCGCATATAGCGAGAACTAAGATCTCAATTAATCCTCGGGAAAGCGCTGTTTCAACCCATTCCATCCATAAAGATCAGTTGATTCGTAAAAGCACGGATTCGATCGTGACTTTGCACGAAAATCTAAAGTCTGGTTTCATAACCGATTCTTTTCGCCACGTTATCGATGCCGAGCGCGACGATTTGAATAATTCAGGAGAACTGACGCAGCCGAATTTGATGCCGAATCCGAAATCAAAAGTTGGTTATGACGTATCTCGCAGACACGCGACAACTTCTAATAGAAACTTCGTTAAGCTCCGATATCCGTTTTCTACTTTAAATCGAGATGCTAGCAATGTCGCGTTAAGATCGAAGATAAAAAATAACGACAATGTTCAGCTGAGAGAGTCGATGAAGACCCACTTGACGCGAACAGCTGCAAAGAGGCCTGCTTTAAATGATCGCGCGACGTTCCATCTGACGAAGAACCATCATTCTTCGCATGCTCAGAATCTGTCGAGTCAGGTCGAGAGAGTCGACAACGGAGACACAACGAGAGACGAATACGGTAGTACAACGACGGTACAACAGAACGCGTACTTGAAGAACTGGCCAAACGAAACGTTGAAGGATATTGAAAATATATACAATCACGACAAGTACACTTCGTCCCTGGAGGAGAGTTTAAATCCTGACTCCGGCTTTCACGATGTCCATGAGACGCCAATGATTTTGTCGTCGAACGATGGTTACAATCATCCGGATCCGATTATTGATGCCAGCGTAAAGAAAATCATCAATTGGTTGAAGGTAGCAACGATCACGCCGAACAGCACACGCATTATGGATGACAGTGACGATGTTCACAAACCGGTCGATTCAGTCTTCGAATCGATTTACGAAAATTTGGAACCCAATCGGCCGCTAAGCGTTAGTAATCATGATAACGATCGTTACGAAACTGTCAGTCTTCAAGATACGCCTCAGAGTGAAAAATTCGACGAAATAAACTATTATGAAGAATATTCGAATCCAACCATTCCTCAGTATGCAACAGATTCTGCGAATCTTTCTCCTATTCTAACTCCTTCTTCCTGGTCTGACGCGATGTTACTAAAAAATAAAACCGTTTATAATCCCACGACACACGTGACGCAGAATACGGTGGTCCACATTCTAAACGATGGTCTGAAGGAACCGAATGTAACACAATTGAAAGTGTCTCAACCAAACACGATATCTGCTACTCAAGCGGCTTCTTCTTCAGATCAACAACCCAATCTTCATATAATGTCAGAAAAAGATAAAGAGAAACCTCCTAAACAAGAGACCAATACTTTCCCCTCGTCCCATAATTGCCCGACCATCACGATAAATACTTACACCCACGTAAACAATACGATTCAGAGCAAAGAAAGCTGTACCGATCTGAATATAATCGTCAACTCCCACGTCTTGAATACGAACGTGTTGAAACCAAGCAGCGAACCGACAGAGAGCTACGGTAATACAAACGAGAGCGATAAATATGGGCAGATCAACGATCTTTCCCATCAGGATTCCTCAAACAGTTATGTAACAGCGCCGATCGGCACGTATGACCCATCGCACCCAGATCAAAATAATTATTACGATTCCCAGAAAGATCCCGATAGTACCTTGAATGGAAACAATCCTGTCTCCTCAGAACTGTCGACTGTCGAAGTATTTCAGAATACTCAGATCAGCGTGCTCGGCTCGAGTGTCCCGATAACAAATTCGGAAGCGATGGCGGATTCGGTTGCAGATGGTCCTGTCGGTGATGACGTGGCTGTTCCGCCAGCTGCTGTCGAGACTTTAGCAAGTGAATCACCCGTTGCCGGAAACCCCGGTTCCATAAACTCGCCGGCTTCCGTAAATATGCCTCCGGTCGGACAAGCTTTGAGCTCTGTGACAGGTCAGGCCAACAATGGTCCTGGTTCCCTGCAGCTTCCCGCGGTGCAGAATCTTCCTAGACCCGGTTTACCGAGCACTAGTAGTTTATCTTCGTCGCAGGGTTCTTCGGGATCATCCTCCTCTTCCGATGATGACGACGACGACGACGACTTCGACATGTCGCCAGGCGGCATGTTGCAGTCAGTCGCTTCGGTCTTCACGTACTTTTCTTTATTAAATCCATTAGGTTACAGTTTCTTCAGCCTCGCTGCAGCGCCGTTCGCCGCAATGGCAGCTGGCGTGCTTGGCGTCGCCGCAATTGTCTTTCCGTGGGCGATACCAAATGTTATCGATTTCGGACGCGCCGCGGACAAGACGACAACGATTAGGTTCAGGCCGAATGTCGAAGAATTCGTTAAACAAGCCGTGCATAAGTACAATGGTCTGAACGAATGGAAAAGCAGACGGAAGAAGCGCAGGAAATGAATTAATTTTATGATTGATCTCGTAATGCTTGTATGTTTCTTCGAAATCACTTGTGGCATTATTTCGAAGAGAGGAGTCATGGCGTAAAACTTGCATGAAGCAAGCATAAGCAGGTTTCGTTAGAATTAATTATTAGGACTCGAAAGGGTGTAGTGATTCATATCCTTCATAGGTGTTGATATCCTTCCAGAGTTGAAATTGATATATGATTAATAAAAGAAGCGAAGAAAAGATATATATATATATATATATATATATATATATATATATATATAGCTGAATGAGAGTACATGCATTTATTTTAAAACATGAGGATGCGTTAATAATTAACGCATAATATAGCATATACATATAATGATAAGTCAGATTTATAGTATTTTTTTCGTACAAACAAAGTTTATTTATCTAGATGAATAATAATAATGATTAAATGAATAGAAAATTTATTTATTATTTTATGAACATGATATCTTTCACACACATCTTTTTTCCCGTTTCATTTTTTCTTTTTTTCTCTTCTTTTTTTTTTGTGTGTGAAAAGAAATCTATAATAGATATAATTTTAATAAAATAATTAATGATTATATAAGAGTTCGTTTATAAGTTCATAATATATTTTTATACGCGATATTAAATAGCTTTGCTTTTGTTGCCAAAAATAGTATGATAGGAAAACATATTCTCTGTTTATATAAATAACTCCGTAGATGAACAATATAATATGAATCTGTTCAAAAAAAGGAGAAGATTAACAGATATATAAAGACATACATATGTATACATATATGTCTGTGTATATGTTCAGTATTTTATTATTTATCATTATTAGCCATGTGTTCAATAGTAGAACATATAGTATATATTGCGCTTTTTTATCGCAAATATAAATTTTCTATAAATTAATATAAGTTTTTGATAAAATATTTATATATATTTAATTTTTTATAATCATTGCTTCCTACTAAGTGTGTCGGTATTTAAGCCTAATAAAAGCTTACACCATTTTAGGGCATTTGCAGTATATTTGTGTGCCAACAAATATGTAATATTAATAAAATATTTGAAGTAAATATTAATACATTCTTGTGAATAAATATATAATATATATTTTATATACCTTCGTATATATTATATAAAAATATATGTTCCTATTTTTATATGTATACATCTACAATCTCCCTAGATCCCTTATCCTGCTATTATTGTTGAAAATCAACTAAACTTGTAAAGGAAATATTATAATATTTAATATACACACTTCAAATTATGTGGAAAGCAAGAAATATACGAAATTGTGCATTTTGAAAATATAATATCTGTAAAAAATAAAGAGAGAAGTTGATATTTCAAAAAAAAGAAGTTGTATCACATACATACACGATATAACAACACGGCATTAATATAATAATCTTATATCATATTATAATATAATATATCATATTATAATATATCATATTATAATATAATAATTACATTTATAACACAATAATTCAATAAAAACAAATTAACAAGTACAAATCAACATAGTACAAATGCTGAAATAATACAAATTATCGATTAAACTAATTCAATTATTTACAATTGCTTATCCGTATAAATTTTATTAAAATTAAAGAGAATTTTGTTATTAATTTAGTAAATATTTTAAAACTTTTAAAGTTAATCAAGCTTAGAGTACAAAAGATTAATAGTATATTTTTTATGTAATTATGCTTTAAGTACAATTTTTTGTTAAAATTTGAAATCAATGTTTAACGAAAGAGCATTAGTTTTATTAAAAATTAAAAAAAATTGTTATGCTTAATCCATTTTATTTACTTGAAAATTATTAGCATAGTATGATAGATATGTAAATGCTGAAGAAAAAATTTAATTGGAGAATTTTGATTGAAAGAATTTCAATTAAAATTAATTTGATCGATTTATTCTCTGAGATAGAAATAATAATTTATTTGAAACTGCATCATATTTTGTGACTTTATTCCATATTATTTTTTTCATTTTATCTTTAATTGCATGCGTAGTGGTGCTTGATAGTGGTGCTAATTTTTTTTGTTACTGTATGAAAAATCAAGTCTTAGCTATTACATATAAAAGGTAAGGATAATGTTTAATAACACGCTATTATGTACAAGGACTTTTTTAAAATCTTTATATAATATGCTTATTCTTTTAATAAAATTAATAAAAGTTTCAAGGTTAATAAAATTATAAAAGAAATTCACAAAATAACTAGATATTATCACATGATATTTCTTCTTTACAATTTTCGTTTATAAATGTGATTATATATATGACTGCGTTGTATCAATATGTGATTATTTAAATCGAAATCTTGCGAAACAATTTATTCGATCATTTTTTGATAAAATTTGACAATGGATTTTATTTCAGTGAGCAGCTAAATATCACCCGTGACTTGAAGGATCTACAATATATGGATCAATCCTTGAGAACCGTCGCCACTCAACTTCTCAACGTTACGAATTCACAGGACGTAATAAAGGTGCATAATAAAGACTTCACCACCGTAGAACATGGCATCGCTACGACGCTGAAGTCCTCGGAGAAAAACGACACATCTTCGCTCATAAAAGAAGTCAATTCAGAAATCGGTAACTTAGAATCCACTGGTTTAATTTTCGGCAGGCCGATAAATTCCAAGTTTAGTTACTTCGAGAATAGCCACCCTGGCCAGGCAATGGCGATGACTCAGGAAGAACTCGAACGAGAGATGAGTTCCACGAGGCTAATGACCGCCTATAAAAATAATCCGACAACTACCGGCGGTATTTCCACATGGATCCTGCTGAATCCACCGTCAACGACTGTTAAGAGCGCGGAAGTTGAGAAAATAAAGTTACAACAACCTTTTCAGACAGAAGTACGACTGACAGTCAGACCAAGCTCGTCGATCGACAGAGTGGAAACGATCTCGCAATCTGATAAGACGTCAGAGAAGAGCACACCGCAGTTGACTCCCATTATAACCACCGAGAAGATAACCGTGATCACGAAAAAACCGACTACAACGATCACGAAAAAGATCACAACTACTCAAAGACCGGAGAAAGCTACTTCAGATTCGGAATTGGAATCCTCCTCGGGTACGACTTTAAAGGCAGTTCGCACCACAACTCTAAGCAGTTTGGCGAGCAACGAAACAACATTCTGGACAACCATTTCCACGACGAAGAAGAATCAGCGAACCACTTCTAAACCGAAGATTACTACGTCGAGAACGACTTCGCATTCTAAACCGATAACGACAAAACCGACGAGATCAGGTCAACAGGGTAGACCGAAGCCTACCACGACAAGAAGAACCACGGTCAAATTTGAAACAATAAAAAACGAGACTTCCGCGTCAACTGGTAAGATTGAGAAGGTGACTTTCAAGCCGGTTCAAATCATCACGACTCCGCAGAACAAACCGGAGAACACTGAAAAACCGATATTTGTCACCAAGATAAAAGCTTCAGTATTCATGGACAATCAGAAATCTCCGACTACTTTACTTCCGACATCGGCTATAACCACCCCAGCTTCCGATATCGCGTCTAAAACAGAATTGTTCGGCATCGACCTTGTGGAAGTGCCAGTAAAATCGAAGCCGACCGGCACGAAGGTGAATAACGTGTTGAAAGTACAGCTGAAGAAGCCTGCAGAAGAGACTACGCAGATTGAAATAGAACCGATTAAAGTGAACGCGCCTGTCCTCAAGATCGAGAAGATCGACAAGAACAAGATGGAGCAAATCGTGGACAAGGATACGGACAATCTGAGTAGCTCCAAGATAGATTTACAGTTCGACTTCAATCCCGAATTAACAAAAATTAACGTAGAAACGCAAACGCAAATGGAAGTGACGTCGACAACGACGACTGCAACGTCAACGTCGACCACGACTAAACGACCGAGACACAATTCGAAGAGGAAGAAGAACAAAGTTCGCAGACGCAAGCCATCCACGACTTCGGCAGCGCCAAGTCCGACGACAGTCGCAACGATCGTTTCTACTTTGATGGAGACTGGCGAGGGTACCACGAATGACATCTTTTTAGATAACGCGATCCAAGAGTCAAAGATCGCACCCGAGACAAAGATCGCAAACGCGACGAAGAACAAAAAGAAACAGCCGCAGAAAGCGATTAGCACTCAAATCTACAATTTTCTCAGTCGCGACGTGATGCCTAGCTTCGGCGTAATGTCACTGGTAGGTCTGGGTCTCGGTTTAGCCTCGTACTTCTTGTACCCCTTCGGCGGTACCATCTCTCGAAGAAACTACGACGTGGAGCCAAATTACAAATATAATTTGGACGAGTACGGCGGCAATTACGGGCAGAGCGAGGAGGAGGTTTTATCCAAGGTATTTCAAGGTATGACGAATCACGAGAGCAAGTATCCGGGGGTGAAGGATAGCAATTATTATCATTATCAGCATTACGACGGTGCGTATGATACGCAGACGACGAAAAAGACCGATGCGAGATATCCATCGATATCCACATCGCCCATTTATAGAACGATGGAGAACACCCAGCCGGCAGTTAAGTATCGGAACACGGACTTTAGATATACCGAGACTCAAACCACTCCGATTTATTACGATCACAAGCGTTTGGATGTGGTAGAAGCCGCGGGATCGGCGAACCGGCAGTTTGTGGTCGGTAACGTACCCAAAGAATATCCCTTTGATGTGAAAGCGGCCGTCTTGCCGATAGACAGCAAGAATGGCGTTAATTATGTATCGACCGAGATCGGGCAAACGCAATTCGAGAGGGATATCGCGCAAGGTTTCAATTTCCCACCGAACTCAGCTGAGGTGTATAATTATCAGGTGGAAGCGTCGACCGTCAGATCGGACGATGGATATGAAGAAATCGAGATAACGCCGACCGCGGTAGCTGTCGAACATGGACCGCGATCTCTCAAGGTCAAACGTTCCGTTGGTACCAGCGAAGATGACCAACGTTCGAGATTGAAGAGAGATTCGGTGATACAGGTGATACCGTCGAAACATGAATTGGAAGAGGAACGTGAGGAGGCGGAGAAGGAAGAAGACTTGAGCAACGAGATTCTAGATATCATTGATTCGGCATTGCCAGGTGGAGAACAGCAAAAGACGAAGAATAATAGCGAGGAAAACGAGGTGGAAGATTTCAAGGGACAAAAAAAAAGACAGCAGGAGGAAGTCAATACGCGTGCGAAGGAGTCTACTATGAGGACTCTTACCACCGTAAAAAATATGGAAAAAGATACGACGAATAGTCCCGAAAGCGTAACATCATCTCCCAAGATCGTCGAGCCAATGAACGATGGTGGTTCAAGCACCTCTTCTTCCGAAATTTCTTCCGATCGAGGCACCTCGGAGATCCATTTCGCTACAACATCGAATCCGAAAACCTCGGAAGCGACGACTGTCGAATGGTTCGAGAGCTCGACCACGAAGAAACCCCCGGAAGGCTTCAGTATTTTCAACTTCGTGAAGAAAGTGGCTGAGATCAAGTTCAGGCTGGGCTTGACAATTCTAAAGCATGCCAGCGAAGGATTCGCGAGATATCTAGGTCACGTACAGAAGAGGATCAACGGCGAGGAATGAGGGTGATCGTGTATAACTAACTCGGAAGAGCGATGATAAATTAATTGGCGATAAAAATTTTACGTTTTTGTTTTAATAATAATTTATACGCGAATTTTCCGATCTATCTTATGCGGCGCGCGCTTGCTTCAAAACATTATTCATCGGAATAACTGCGATCCTGAAGAGCCTCGTAACGGTGGTCGGCAAACGCGAAGAAGCAGCACACATCTTCCCCGACATCTTTACGGTCGATTCGAGACGCGATTTCACGGACGATCATTTTTATCTGTTTGCATCGCCGATAAATGATCGTCCTTTCACTTAGAAAGCTAAAACGATGAAGAGAAACACGAACTACTGTTACGTCGAACGAATGGCTTCCTCTTCAAAGTGTTGAATCTTTCGCCAGGATCCTCTTCGATGCTCGACGCGCGGGGGATCGATGATCGACGACAATGCAATGTATTTGGGTTTCACGATAACGGGTTTGATTAATATGACAAGCTTTAATATCGGTTTTCGGATCCTCGCGCGCGCACACACGACACGTGTTTTAAAAATATACTTCTTCAAGTTCAAAAGTAGCGCTGGAGTTTGGTGAAGGGTTTCGATAAACGTTTTTTCTTCCAAAAAATCGCGATTAAATTTTTATTGAAAATCTCTTTACATAACTAATTTGGTATGCGTGCTGCTCTTATTTCGTCTCGCCAAAGAGCGAGCAAAAATGTACGAACGAGCCGATATTAGGCAACTTATACCGTAAAGTATTCTATAAATAAATAAATAATGAAACAAATATAAATGAATAAATAAATAAGTAAAACTCTCTCTCTATATAATACCCTGATATGAGTTATGTAAATAAATATTGGAGATTGTAAACGCTCTTTTTTCTCTATATATATTACGTTGCATAAAAATACTAAAACATTTATTTTTTATAGAAAAGTTATTGATAGAGAAGTTACTAATTATTTCACATCGAATCAATGTGAAAACTGAACGGACCGCAAAATTTTTCGGACAATTCAATCTTCAATAAATATAAATTTGATCGCTTACGCAATAATATAATTAAACTCTTGCAAATAAATGTTGGCGCACCAACATGTATTAGCGAAATAAATTACAAATTTATATCTGCCGTAGACGATGTCTGCTCGAACTTAGAATAGAATAATAAATATTCATGAATAGATAAATGTCGAAATGAATTATGTTTTTCCTTTTTTATAAAATCCATTTTTTATAAAACCATCTACTGTCAATTAAACATAATTTATAAATGGTGATTCAAGGCGGAGTAGCAAAATATGAGAGCAAAGCAAAAAACATGCGGAAATTTCTTTATAGTTTTCGCGTTCCTCTATTCACTGCTGTTTCTATTAGAACATCAATAGAAGTTCTTAAATCGATCGTATTTATACGCTGCTTGTTTAAGCACAGAAGTATCGATTATTCATTATTAAAACATCTATAGCATAACTGATTAATACGATATCTCGAGAAATAGTCTGCAAAATTTATGTATATATATGCTTAACTTTAAATCTCATATACATGTTGAAACTATTTTTATTTAAATTCTAGCTGAATAATTAGCGCAAAAATGCACCAAATTTATAGGCCAATTATTCATTCAATCGCTTTATTTTTAGATTTCTAATGTTTTGTTCCGCATTTGAAACTTCAGCGTGATTTATACATGTCGCGTTTCATTCTCTACCTTTTGCATTTCGTATCATTTTGCATTTAATGAATATTTTTTAAATGTTGAACGAGTAGTCCTGTTCTACCTTAATATCTACAGTCCTATTGGTCTTCTTTCTTGGGTGTTGTATTCTCTCGCGAGTTTACGCAGATTCATTTGGAGATCGTAGGATTTGCTGAAGCCATTCATCAGTCTTAAATCTCTCTTTCGGCGGCCCAGCATCATCGGTATCATCATTGCCATTGTCGCCGGCAACATACCTGTTGTATACAGGTATAACATACAGGTATAACATACAGGTATAACAATTTATATATATTATATAATAAGTTAAATTAAACTAATAAAAAATAAGTTAAATTAAATAAATAAAAATAAGTTAAATTAAACAATGATGCAAAATGTTTTAGATTTTTCGTAATATTTATTAATGAAAAGTTTTGCAAGACAAAGTTAGATATGGATGAGCCACAAAGAAATTTTTTTCTAATAATGATACATACAAAATAATGATACATACAAAATTAAATCAATGTTGAGAATAAAATTAAGATTTGGGAGATCTTCTATTGTATTATTGCATGATTTACCATGTGAAATCTAAGCAATTTTAAATACTGCTTATTTCAATACTATTATAATCTCGACATTTTTATATTTGCGTTTCTAGATAATTTCTATCATTAAATGATGTCACAAAAAATCTATGACACTCTGTATATTAAGATTTAAATTTAAAATATGCATTATATAAATTTAATCTTTACTTTTATTAATAGATTGCCGTTGACATAATAAATATAATGTATAATTTATGACGAAACTTTATGGTAATAGATTTTATGGTATAGCTCAAAAAAAATTCACAAGGATAAAAAGATAGAATCTAATTAACTTTTATATTATTATATTAAGAAAATATAAATATTAGCAATTATTTTAGAGACTTTATAAGAGAAATTACAACATTATCTCTTACAATTTTACATCAATATACTTTTCATACCATTAAATTAACATTTATTAATTATTTAATATGTTTGCAAACTCTCTTTTTAAACATCAAAGAATTTCAATATATTCCACTTAAATTTATTATGTCAACTTAAATATAAATCTGTCAAGTATATACATATATTTTATAATTTATAATTTATTACAGCTATACCTGCGCCGACGGCTGCCAGGACTGCCGAACTGGACGGTTGTCCGCTCAAAGTGTGCCTGATCGGTCTTTTGTTCGGGATACTTGGTTCGGTCGTCAATTTTCCCATCTCGTATTCCTTGCGACTCTGGTCGACGCTCTTGAACGTCTTCTCGACTTCCAGAAGACCTCCGTGAGACGTCGTCGTGTTCGTGCCGTTGATCGACGGCAACACCGTCAATCTGACCTAGGTAAACGATTTTTCATAAAGCAGCTATCTAAATAATATTTTTATTAATGAATCCGAATCAATAATAATTAACGTCGCAAAATTATATGTTGATATGTTGAATACTGATCCCAATTTTCTATGAACCTTGATTAATGTCGATTTACCAATTTTAGAAGATGATTCATGTAAAAAAAAGGGACACACAAGATATTTAAATCTAAATTAGAACATTAAATTAGAATAAATTTTACTCCATCTCTTTAATCATCTAGCCTAACCTGACGTTTTGAAGTTATCACGGGTAGTGCAGGCCTGTTTTGTTTATTCCCGCGATTCGTCGTGTTGACCGCCTGGAGTGCCTCCGGAGTGTTTACCGTATCGATCTTGATTGATCTCTGTCTCGACTTGGAATATCCGCGGTTCGTTGACAGAAGGATCCACTGACCATCACCGCTCGCCGGATGATTCGGTGGATGATTATTCACGTATTGATAATGCGAGAAGTTTGGTCTCTCGGTGATTATGGTGGGTCGATTTTGATCATATTTAGATGAGTAATCGTGCCATTCGCTCCCGTCTCCTGATTGATCCTTCTCCGTGTACTTGTCGATAAGCTGATACGAAGTCGTCTGAGGCCTGGACCAAGTGTTGGGGAAGTTGGCAGGTCTATCGTCCGTGATGATGTCGCTATTTGGACGATGAGTTTCGTGCTTGTTCCAATACGGTTTCTCTGATGGCCACTTTTGTGCCACGTCGCCGGAATGATAAGAAGGACGGGAAATCGGTTTCTGATACGGGTTCTCATTGTTATCGGACCAATTGGGTTTCGACTTGTCGTACCTAAAAATTCGATCACTTATTAGAAATTTATTCTATCAAAAAATATTTCGACATGTAAAAAAGTAGATATTTAATTAGATGTCTTTTTTCTCTTTAAAGATTATTTTTGATAATTTGTTAAAAATTAATCTGCATTTTATTTTTATACAAATTTCTGTGTAAATAAGAATTAAACCGCACAAGTGAAAAATGAATAATCTACGAGATTTTTTTGATATATTTCTGGATACATTATTGTATTGTTAAAGAAAATATCGATAAACTTTAAACTCGCGAACAAGAAAGTTTCAATTGGCTACGTAAATATGCTAATAGTATATATCTCTCGTAATGAGCACGAAACCTATTTTCAAACTTGTATGTAGCATCGTATAGTGAAAGGAAAATTGACGGTTGCGGTACTTACCACGGTTTGTTGTTTTCATAAGTGGGTCTGATGGTATAGTCACTGGCCCATGGTTTCATGCTCGGTTTATCCCACGGTTTTATCTCTGGCCAAGGTCGTTGAGTGCTGGGATTGGCCTGCCACTTGGAAATTTTGCTCTTAGACCATGGAATTGCTTCTAACGTCACCCAGCCATTCCTGTCCTCATAAGTATTTGTACCGTAATATTTGTTCCTCTTCACAGTGTCGTTCAGTGCCTCGCTTAACTAAGAGTCGGGAGAGACAATTCATCAACGGAAATTCATCAACGTATATTTTATTACGCAGTGATAAATTACATATCACACATTAAAAATGATATTTATATTTATATTTGATATAAATGTACTTTATAAACATGTAAATTTACTAATCGTGTATTACACACTATTATTTTTGCATTATTTTTAATTAATATATCCTCAGGGAAAAATGCAAATTATAATGGAACTTTTGAATTAGAATATTATTATATCTTTATGCTAGTACTCTTCTTTATAAAATTTATTTCATATTCAAGTTCTCGTGGAAAAAATAAAATATAAATTATTATAGATTATTATTTTAACTTAGAACTTATATTACTATTATTTCTGTCTTACCGCATCATTCTCTTCTGAAATAGTACTTGAATTCTGATCAAATTTTTCATCCTCTTCGCTGGTTGTGGTCTCGACGGTTTCGTTGTCGATTTCGAGGACAAGCGGCTCTGCAGGTGGTTTTACGATTCTGAAAGGATACTTGAAACTCTTCTCGGTAGTGCTCTTTATTTTGTTCGCGTATTCCTCGAGAAACTTGTTGAGTACATCTGGATTGAAAGTCGAAGTCTCGACGAAGGAATTTCTCCGATTAAATTGATCATTCGATATTTCCTTAGTCATTCTCTCGTCCTCGACTTGATGCTCGTTTTCTTCATTATCGTACAGGGAATTCGGCGTGATCGCTATCGGATCTTGAAGAATCCGTAGATTTTCGGCTTTCGTTTTAAACATGTCGGATGCATTCGTCCTCATTTTTACGAAGTATCTCGTGTTGCATTTCGATCCATCTAAGATCGTCAAGATCGTCAGGAGCAGATAAAGCGCTCCTGTCGGCGTCATCTCTAAAACACGAAGATTTTTTATTTCGTACATCGTACAGAATTTTATTAAAAATCTCCATTTTTATCAGTCATTCTAATAATTTTTTTTATAATTTATTGTACAATATAATATGCTAATTTTATTTTTGTTTACGCAGTTTGCAAGACCTTATCTTTAATTAAAAAGAAAAGTAATATATCCTGCGTATTAATAATTATAAAAATTATAAAAGAACGGAAAAAGGAATATTTAATAAAATGTCTGATAATTAAAAATAGAGAGACTAATAGGGGGACGAAACGATTTAAGCGAACTGGATCCTAAGGAAATAGTTGAAAATTGCTATTTTTGTCAAAATCACTGTCATTTTTCGGCTCCACTCCCTAATTCCTCATCGTCTGTTCAATTCTATTCGATTCTACTCTTTATCGTGATAAGCATCGATAGAGAATAATTCGCGTTCACAATGCGTCGCACTGACCGTGTTGATATTAGTCGTCCGAATCGTCTTTAATTACATGAACAACGAGGTCCGCGCCACTTGTTGCTTCCGGAGACCCGTTACAGGGAACCAACCGCGCCGGCAACAACGACAGAACTACGACGAGTTACGACGAATGCGAACGGAAAAGCGGAAGTGTGGAGATAGCGCGGCCTCGACTCCTCAAGGTCCGAGATGGCTCTGTTGCCGAGACGTTGCCCTCGTTTGCTTTTAATCCAGATCCCCACTTGGTCGATGCTTGGTCCATTTTGCATCTTCCTCCGATCTTCGCGGCCTGCTGTTATGCACTGTTCCTTACTTCTCGACTTGGTCAACTCGGAGAACGGGCGCCGGATTGTCTCTCCTTCTCACCCAGGCGGGGACTCTCTCTCTCTCTCTCTTTTTCTCCATCGACGCGGTTTCTCTCTCTCTCTTTCTTTCTCTCTTGCCTCAGAATAGTTCCTCAGAGGTCTTTCCTCTTGGATAACGTTCTTGGAATACAATGGACACAATAGGAGGCGAGGTCATCGTCTACGATCGATGATCGATGAGCCCATCACGGGTCTCCGACAAGTGAATGATGCTTATATTTTTGCGCGAGGTACTGTTGGATGTTATACGGTACTAAGATAGCGGTTTCTAAAGTGTTCGCTTTCCTAAGCTTCATGTAGATATCAAGTGGATGCAAAATATTTCCTCTCTTTCTATTTTTACTCAAAGATTTATTTATTTACTTTAGAATATTTTGCTTTTGTCCATGCATTTCTGTAAAAATAACGAGTAATGAATGACTGGTATAAAATAATGAAGAAGGAAAATCCAATCGAGGTTGAAATATCGTTTCAATTCTATTTACATTTCAAATATTGTGATATGCTTAGGTATTGATAAATATTTTCTTATTTACATGTATAATTGTAGGATCTTAGATTTATGAAACATATATTGAATTTTACTGCACATATAAGTCGATGATCGTTATCTATATAATTTTTCGAGAGAACTTCTCGAGTCAAATCTATTGCACTTATGATAATAACGTATTAAAATATACTCTAAAAATACTACACAAACATATATTGAATGCTCTAAAAATCTGGCATCGAATGGCAAGTTTATTTTGATCACAGATAAACTTCTCAATCATTCCTATGTTTTCTCCTATCAGAACACCTCTATTATTGTTACAAACGAATTCTCTCGATCGATCCGCCCGTATGTTAAAACAATCACTTCGACAAGTTATTTACAATGCGCTTTCTCACTTATCAGCATCTCTAATCAGACACACTTACAACATCGCAGAAATCTAGCTGATAACTTGAAACACGACTGAATGCATTCGAACGAGACGAAACAATTGTGTTTTTTAACCATTCTCGCGACGATTTAATCACCGGGATTATTTTTGCCGTGTCAGTAGCGCGAACGGTTATCAAGAGGGTAAAGAAGATATAATAGAGCCGTAATTGACAGAGAAAATCGAGTCAATCGCCAATAGTTTTCATGTATTATTCATTGATTGCCATCCTTTCCTGGCTAATGCCTGGAGGTGACAACTAAAAGCAATACAATGATGAAAAACAGACCTAGACCGCTCGTCACGCGCTAATTACAGCGCGCTCGTGACAATCAGCGGGTGACGACACGACGACCGAACTGCGTCCGTCGCTCTGACTCTGGCTAGATCCAGATGGGTGACAGTGTCATTTTCACGTGGATTTTACGTTTTGTCAAAAAGCTACTTTCACCGTTTAAACATGGCAGAAACTGACGTTCCATGGCGATGACGACGAGTTATGCTCTCTCTTCGTGGCCTCATCTAGGTGCGACTTTGGAGTAGTTTCGGTTACTTTAAAGCGATCGGACGTGCTGGAGGAACTTTTGGGTCGTTTCAGTCTTTTCGAGATCAATTCTTTACTTTATTTGTTAATTTCCGAGAGATAAGATTCCAACAGAATTGTGAATAAAATATTAAAAGAAACATTCCTTTCACTTTCTCCCTTTTCAGACTTTTTGATATTATAATTTCATATATATTTTTCTTTTATTTATTATAAAAACGCGCTTCGATAGTAATATTGATATATTACTATAATCTTATTATAAATTATAGTGATTTTTTATTTCTTGAATTAAATTATATCATAATTATGTATATACTTGCTACAATTAATTGCAAAAAAAAAATATATATATATATATATATATATATATATATATTTGATATGTATATTTGAGAGATAATATTATATATATTATTATATTATATTATAATATAATTAAAAATTAATTTCTTATGGTGAATAGAAAATTACTTATTTAACATATATTTATTTGCACTCTATTATACATATCAAATTAAATGCACGCGTACTATAATCATAGAGGAAATGGAGTTTCTGATTGAATGACCGCACAATTAAGGACATCATAAAGGACAAAGAAAGCCATCGTTGATTTTCATGCTTCGACAATTGTCGATTTAACCTTCTTCGATGCAGATGCGAGGATCGAGTATCGGACGAACAAACGTAGAATCGGTCGTTTACCGATTTTTGCGCTTTCGCGGCCCAGAAACCTCCGTCGTTTTTATCCCTCGTGTCCCCTTCCCCTCTTCTTTCCGTCCCCTCCCATACCTCTTTCTCGTTTATGACGATTCTTGCTCGTCGCGCGAGTGAAATTCATCTTAACAGTTTCCGTTTTACGAGCAGCTTCCGATTCTTCTGCCAGATTTTCACCGATCTAGAATTTTTTGCCCAGCGCCGACCCAGAAACAGACGATTTCATTTCCCGTATTTCTCTATCGGCGGTTACATGTTTCCTTCAATTTTCGTAGTGCACTATCACTATCTTATCATTTTAAAAGAAAATTAATAAAACGTGTCTCATCAAAACGTTGCATCATTTTAAATATTTTTATTTCGATTTTTCGTTTCTCTTGAAGCTTGTTAACAATTTAAAATAATATACTTACGTATATTAAACAAAATTCAATTTGCAATAAAATATATGCTTTTTGAAATATTTAAAGAAAATAATTCGTAACTTTATTTAACAATTATTCGATAATGGCAAATCTTTTTTTAAGAATACTAATAATTGTATAAAGCAATTTTTTTCTTTTATTGTGAAGTAGATAAGATCGTGCATTTTCGGAATTGCAGAGATGTGCGATGGATTTTTTCTTATTTCCAATGCCGGTTACGGCGTGGTTAACGTGGCCTACTCAAAACCGGAATTAGGTCGGTTTAGATTAACCGCGTAGCTAACCGCGAAAACGACTACGATGATAATGGAAAAAAGGAAGAATGGTTCGCGCGAGTGCGGCAAACATCTACTTTCATTGTCGGTCATACCAGAGGGAGAGTCATGATGGCGAGAACGATATGGGTAGAAGTGGAAGGGGTGAAAAGGGTACCTAGATGAAATCTAGCCTAGATCCTGAGAATTCGTGCGATAACAGAAAGTTTCAAGAAAAGTAGATATATAACTAGCAAAGGAAATGACACGAATTCTGAAATTGATGTACAAGCATAATTATAACAAAATTTTTAATGGAAAATTATAAAAAGAACAAGTTATATTATCGAAATAGTTAATTATTGTTTCTTATTAAATTAAACTTTTTTATTAATAAATTATTATTATATTATATTAATAAATTTTTATTATATTAGTTATTATTATATTAAACTTTTTTTTAATAAATGATTTTTTAATAAATTGAATTTTTTACGTTTCGTGTAAATTCTCTTGTTTGTTTGATTGCCATCTCTCACTGATAACAATCGCTTTTATTTTTATATAATGGATCATAGATTCGAATTCTATTGTACGTGAATCAAGTGAGCACACACAAGTCGAAGCAAGTACACAAAAAATATTTAAAAGGAAGGAATAATTGTTTAACAAATGGATTATATGAAACTTTTCTCTGTTTTGTAAAACAAGTTCTAAGATGTCTCGCATGCATATATAGAACATATTGAAATGACCTCGCCGTGAAACAGGGTCAGACTCTCACCGCTCAGCGATAAAACTTGGCTTAGAAAGTCTTTTCACCCCTTCCGCTCATTACACTTGTACTCAACGAGTATCTCTAAAGCAAGGAATGTCTTCTATTTTAATTACGCAATTTAGCAATCCATCAAACGTTTCACTTGCTTTCATTCGATCTGAATCTTCTTTTATAAAAAGGGTGAAATATATAAAATATATAAAAAATATATAAAATATATAAAATGTTGCATATGTATTGTATATCTCGATAAAAAGTTTAAAAGTTAATCTTATAGGGATAATTTTATAAATACTTCAGAATTATTTGTGCTTATAAATTGTTTCTTTCTACAATATTTAATGAAATAAAAGTCAGAGACTTTAATTTGATCTCGCGATTGTAATTAATCTATATTATTTTTTTCTGTATACAAATAATAAATATAAAAAAGAATAGAAATAAAATTGAAAAACAGAAGTGAGAAATAATAATAAATATATTATCTCTTTTCCTCTTTGATTAATAATTAATTTTATGTGAAATTGTTTTCGAAAACATCTATCTCATCGCCGCGATAATGTGCATTTACGGCATAATGCACCGTACCATCGTGAAATTTGCTGGAACTAAACATCGCAACACTTATTTTGTCGACGACAATTGGAGTACGGACAATGATTAAGGCACACTATTCCCACATTCACGCTTTTTAGTGCCCTCATTAAGGTAACTCTTGCCTTCGCGAGTTAAAGTCACAGTATGTCGTACCGAATCCTTCAGTTGCGGATTCTTCGCAATGGAAACAGCTGTCTTCAATAGTCGCTCGTCATCGCCACTCCATTTGCACTGACCGTTGACTTAATCGACAAACATGCGGTTGCATAAGATCTCCGAACGTCACTTGCTGCTGTTTCATCTTTTGCTCATTGTGTTTGCATGCGCGAAGACTGCTGAGATACCCGAAATAATATGCGAAAAAGTCTCTTTTAAGGAAACCCCCGTAGGGGATCAGTATTCGGGTCACGAAACAACAACGCTTGCACCAGTCACCAATAATAGTCAAAAATTAACATCGCCAATCGTTTTCGAGACTCTCTCTCAAAACAATTCCAACGTCTTCAGACCCAGTATACATTTAGGCGAGATCGAGCAGCCGAAGAGTCGAAAAAATCCCTTCAACAACGTGCAACACATGAGATTCGAGAACAGTGTTCATCTAGATGCGCAACATGAACAATTCCAAGATGTCTTGCAGAATCAAGGTGTTTCCAGTCTGGTGGATGAAGCGACGCGATCGGGCAGAATTAAGTTCCAAAATGATATTCAGATACCATCGAGTATCCATCATCCCTTCAACGATCAACAGGCGATTACAGAGGTCGTTTCGGGGTCGCCGCATGAACAGCCCACTGTCGGACATGTATTCTTCGATCAAACGGTTTTCTTGAAGAAGCCGCAGGACACATCAACGATCTTCGGCAAAGCGATGACGGATCATCAATCGACTGATGCTTACTTCGATTTCTCAAGATCTCCTCCGTACGTCATCAATTATTACACCAGTCAAAATCAGAACCCTCATCAGCCGATGCAAGAGGCCCCACTCGAGATGATAAAAAAGCCCGAGAGTAACGGCGTCTTGGTTGTTCAGCAATCTACTTACACGAGGAAGCGCAAATTCCCGTACACGTTTTATCAACCGGGTGACGAGTATCACGATATACAATATATGGAAAAACCACACTCGATGACTCATCCGCAAATGAAAAGGTGAGTTTTTAAGGAGATCAAATAAATAGGATATTTTAAGAAATTGATTAAGCAATGTTTATATCTAATGGCTTCTGCATAAAAATTGAATGCTAAATATAAAACAAAATGTATCATTTGCAGTTCTTGGAAGAAGATCATTCATCTGATCGGAACTTTATTGCCGCTGGGTCTGCTATTCGCGTTGGCGCCCAAGGTTGTGCAAATCAGCAACACGACAACGTGAGTCGCTTCTTCTTGCATCTACTCGCTAATATTTTTTAATCATGAATAAATTTCGTTCCAGCCAGCCGAGCATTGTCCTCTCTAAACTGCGGGTCGCCGACCTGCCGATCGAACACAAACAGGCACGCTCGTTCGACGAACAATCAGCGACCGTCTGCGAAGATCGATCTATTTGCGAATTAATTCTGGCTGGCGACGAGCCGCAATCCAACATTCTGCAGAATGTCCTGTGGAACTTGGCTACTAGGTAAATGACCCATTTTAGTTCCGTATCGCTGATCAATATATTCGTAAAAATAATATAAAGCGAAAAAATGTTTCTTTTTTTTACAAATTAACAGGACTGCGGATGACATCGCAAAAAGAAACGGTCTTCGTGAGATATTTAGCGCTGTGAAAAAAAAGGACTGCATGACCATCGATTGTTAATGATCGTCTAGGAAGCCTGAAAAACCACTTACAGCTACACGCGATCAATTTCGCATTCGTTGATTTATGGCATTAATATTTACACGTTATGCAAATTCGTGACTTTATGCATGAAATGGCAAGAGTACAAAAAACGTTATAATTATCCGATCACATACGTATAATGATCGTTGTAATAATATATTAATACATTAATACATCAATTATATATAATAGATAATTATATAGTTAAATAAGAGAGACATTACGGTATATTAAAAATTAGTTACGCATCACTCATCAAAATTATATATCCAAGAAATTTAATATCTTCTTTGTTTAATTATTCCACAATAATTAACACATAATTTCGTGCATGCAATGCATTGTGTAATTTAGTGATTCTCAATAAAAATACGAAAAATGTCAATAAATGAGAACTGATTTTTATATTAACGCGTGTATCACCACGATTAATCACATCCACATCGTCTTTATGCGTAAGCAAACAACAGGACGCGAAAGTTGTAAAAATAACGAAAATGAGGATAAAAACTGGATTTTTTTAAGAATGAAATACCGAGAGGAGAGAGGTGTGTTATTCGGAAATACGTTCCGCCTGTGCATCCGTACCTACCTCGTCCTCGCAAGTGAAAGTAGTCAGTTTATAAGTAGGTCGACGTTATTCTACGGCGAACGTGTGTTCGGAGAATTTATGGATGCACAACGGACTTTCTGACGATGGGCAAGCAGCTGACCAATTATCGCACACGCGCCGCACACACGTTACACGCGCCAACAATAATTACACGCGATCAAATCGAGGCGATGAAGCGTACCGCAATTTTTAATTAACAAGGTGTCGGCGAAACAAAATGGATAATTTGACGGCTAAGTGTAACGACGCTAAATGTAACAGGAGTTAATATATAACGATGTTTAAATGTAATATGTAATGGCTGATATTCTCTCTCTCTCTCTCTCTTTTATTTATTCTCTTAATATTTATATATATTTCATATTTTAATAATTACAGTTTGTCTCTCTTTTTCTCTTTCTCTATCTCTTTTAATTAATATGGAATTTATTTTCTCTAAAGTATTGAAATATTTAGCGACAAGTAGCAATTAAAAACCGGCAAATAATATAGAACTTTCTGTTGACACAAGTTTCAAAAAGTAAAAAATCAATTTTTTTCGTATAATTGTATAAAATCTAAAAGTTTTTATCCGTAAGATATTTGTATAAATTTAATTTTATTAGAAAAAAATGAAGAATGTATCAAGATATTATTTTAAAATAAGATATTTCAATTTTGCTAAAATGTTTGATTTTTTTGTATAATACTAATAATTAGAAGTTCTAATAAATATAGTAACTCATTCTAATATTTTTACTGAGAAATGAATAATAAATTGACTGAAGGATCTATCATAAAAAATATTACAGCAACAGTAGAGAGTTTTAGGGATTATTATTTTTTTTTATCCATTTAATTATGTATTTAAAGAATATTTAATATAGTTACACGTGTATATATATATATATATATATATATATATATATATATATCGCAAATATAAAACTTATCGTATACGAAATGCGCAAAATTATACACTGCAACATTTAATTACGATAAACATTTAATTACGAAAAACAATTACATTTTTTAAATGAATTGTCTACATGACAATACATATTTGTAATTGTTCTTTTACTCGTAACACTTTTATTTCGTGCACAATTATCATTATTATTCATATTATTCATATCTTTTAAAATTCTCTAATCGATGACTTATAATACCTTGTAAATGAGATGCAGTATCTATAGTGGCGCTAAAAACGTCAATAACAAAATGAATTATGAAGCATTGTTTTATGTCAATGTCATTATTTGCGGCAAAAATCTGTTTATAAAATATCATATGAGAGCCGATAAAAAGATAATTGACAATTGAGAGAAACAAGCGTAATAAAGACGAATGCCGGAGTTGGATTTCGGGTCGTAACGAACCACCGCTTCTCCATTTTCACTTCAGGAATGCAAGAAAGCTTCGAGTTGCGTTGATAACCAGTCGATCCAGTCAAATCAATTAATGACATCCTCTCTGAATATCGTGAGAAAAAAATGTTATACTCACAGATATCTAAACTTATCATAAGATATCTTACGCGCAATTACATGAACATCCCTTTTTGTATTCATTATAATTTATATAAATTTATTTAATTTATTTATTGAAAAAATTTTCCAAATTTGAGAAACATGTAATAATTAAAAAAAAAATATTTATATAAATTATACAATATGTATCCACTATTTTATTTGCATTTTTAATACTGCTCTCTCTCTCTTTCTTTCTCTTGGAATAAAGATAATAAAGATAAAATAAATTTAAAGAATTTTTAAATTATATTAACACACTTATGTGTACGAAAATCATAATAGAAAGTCTAAAGTTAGTCATTGCTGACTTAGAAGCAGTATTATTATAAGTTTAACAGCTCATTTAAATCTAGCTATGTTTTATTCCACGCATTCTAATCCTGGATAATATTATTCATCTTTATTCTTGGCTACACCTTTACCATCGAAAATTCGAGATTCCAAAAAACATCTTCGTTAGGCGAAATTCAATATTTTTTGCGGACATTAAATTGTCTTCGGATGGATTGTAAGAATTTCAAGGACAATTAACGAGTTTTAGCGGAAATTGATGAGTCTCGATCTGCCAGAGATACTCGAAAGTCAACACGTAGTTGTATTACCGAAAGTAAGCTATATTTTGCGCTGATTCTTGTACTTCCGAACGCGTCGCGAATTATTAAGCATAGTTTCAAGCATAGTTGAGCAACGAGATCGCTCATAAAACGCTAGAAAGAACATGATTTGCGACAAATTATTTCGCGATGTTTTCTTCGACATTTTTTACGTTCTGAGAAAATTGTGCCAAAGAGACATAACGCCTTTAAAGCATAATAAAGAGGCGAGAATTCCGCGTTCCAAAAAATAAATGAGGAAGACAAACAGATGTGAAGATTTTTCCCTACAACAAGCTTTCTTTTAACGGTATCGTGTGTGTAGAAAAAAAAAACTTTCAACTATACGTATACTTCTTTAATCTCCATTAAGGTTCGCTTAAGAAAAGATCAGAGGTTTATTTCATGTGTCTCGCGGCGAAAATATTGCAATAGCACTATTGACAGATCACGCGAATATTGAAACTTGAAATATCTTTGACATATTAATAATGTTAGAATCTATAATCTATAATCTTCTCTCAGCTGTGTAATATAAAAATTCCATGCTATTCCTATCCGTGAATTTTAGATAACGGAGAGATCTCTCTACGTGGAGAGATTGCCCTGAACAATTAAATCATACAGTCGAGAATAATTATGTCGTCGCGCAGCGATGGCGACTCAGCTGTAATTATGCGACAACGATTTGTCATGCTTAATGCAAGTGCATTTCCGTTTATAAAGTATTCCGGGAGGTCAGCTAAGAGGGCGATAAATCTCTATTAAAAACTTTTGATTTTATCTTCAGAGGAAAGTTTAATCAATAATTATATTCAATCGGTAATTTAATTAATTTAACTTAATTTAATTCATAGAAAAATTTAATTAATAAAGTAGATGAGAGAAAAATTTGAAAGTTTGCCGAAAATGCTTTAATTTTAAACAAACGAAGAGCCAAAATAAAATTTTATACTAATGTTAAATCTATTTACAATTATAAAGTTACGATAAATAAAGTTACATTTATTGCTTCACTTTGATTCGTTAGAACCTCTCGATTCCTAACATTAAGTAACATCAGATCTGACTTCACTTCTGCAAAATATTGAGTGCTAACAATACATAATCTGATGTTATTGTGTACATTTTCTCTTACATTTTCATATTCAGCTTTCACGATTTTACACTTGTTCACTTTATGACATTATTGCGGATAGAAAATAAAATATTATACAATATTATGCGATTGCAAAAATCTTCGTCAACATTTCTCGCTTTCCTTGTGGCGTTAAGTGCAATCATTAAATATAATCAAAACGACAATAGCTCTAAACTCGATGCACAGAGCTCTTTCAATATAAGTTTCACCACGGCGGAAGTAATGTGGCTGTGAAAGCGCATATCGCAATGTATGCGGATGGCAAGCTGATTTAAATCGTGCATAAAGATCAATGATTCTTGATATAGAGAGAGAGCTATTTGATTTTTTTCTGCAAGCTATATACGACTAATTCGATGTTTACAAGCGAAGAGATAATGTTTTTTAATCCTTTTAAGAATAGATTTTTTTCTAATTTAGGAGATTAAAATCTCTATCAAATATAAAATAAAAATATTTCTCTTCTATCACTTATAGTAATCATCAGAAATTGCTAATAATATGTGATACGTAGGTGTATGTAGGATGTCCGCGACAATGCGTGGATTCATCTTTGAGGTGTGTCAAGGGAAACGAGTATGTTTGAAGATGCCGAACGATATTGCAAATGTCGCAAACAAGACCTTCGTGTGCATCGTGCATTAGGATATACATATATGTAAATAATGCCAACGTGATCTTAATGTCAAATGATCTCGTCAAATGCGAACATAGCCTGATTTCGAGGACGCGGGAGTTGAAAGAAACATCTGTATGATACATTCTGATCAATAAATTGCAAAGAAAGAGAAAGAGAAAGAGAGAGAGAGAGAGAGAGAGAGAGAGAAAGAGGGAGAGAAAGAGAAAAAGAAACGTCCGTTATTTAAATATTTCATTGTGTAGAAAGTAATTAATTGACTATAAGAAATTTGTAAAGTAGTTGAATTTTATTCTTAACGGCATTTTATTCTGAATGAAACTAAAGAATCTAAATTTAATTTCTATTACATATATCAATTTTTTAAATTTTATATCAATAAATTTTATTTTACCAAAACACATAAATATGTATATGCCTATTTTTATCAAAATATTTTATTTTTTATATGTGAATATAATATATTATATAATTATTTGAAAAGATTGTGTGTTGTTATTAGTATAAAATTATCAAATATTATTTCATATTATTTTTTAAATCAAATATTTGAAATCAATCAATTCAATATCAAATATTATTTTATAATATTATTTTTTAAATAATATTATAAATGTTATATTTTATTACATTTTATAATGCATATTTTTGTATATTTTATAATGTATATATTTTTTACATAAATTTTTACAACTTTGAAAATATTTGCATAGTTTAAAAGTATGAAAATATTTAGGGAGAGAATTTTTTTCATAGTTTTCTTTATATAGTTTTCTTTATTTCGTCGAAATTATACTTAAAAAAAAAACAGCTAAACTATTTTATAATTTTTTTGCGACTAATATGTGTTTTGAGGACACATTAAAATTCATCAAAATCCAAAATAAAGAACTACTTGCGAATTTTTAAATAAAAGTCGTTACTAATTAATACATTTTAATATTCATTAGGTACATTATATTTTATACAGCCATTTTAGAGAACATTTTAGCTTCCTACCTAATTTTTCCCAAATTTTATAAAGTTACTTATACACAAAAACTAAAGATTTAGACAAGAAATTCATGAATAATTTTTTATTAATTTCTTGTTATGATTATTAAGAAATCTTTATTGTTATTTCTTTGTTTTAGTACATATATAGTATATATCTTATTATTATGTCTTTTCTTTCTCCCTCTCTCTATTATTTAAATTAATTTCTTTCATTTTTACAGTTATACATACAATTGTCATAATTATTTGTTATTATATAAATAATCAATTTTACTAATTTAAAAAGTTACAAGCTTATGTGAAAAGTATGAATAGACAATCGAATTTAAGCAATTAATTTTGTTCATAATATTAAATTGTTATCTGTCGATTCTGCAGAACTGTCAATAATAGTTTTATAACATACAAAGAGCTCTTGTAATACATGAAACAGAATTTTAAAGGAGTTAATTAGCGGCGCCGGTAGCTGACGCGAAGAAAGTGGTACGTCCATCAGTTGATGAGCCGTCAGACAAGAATGAATTTAAGCGGAACCGCTTTGCTTCTCAAAAGGGACTCAATTAGCTCTCGTACTTCTAATGTACTTCTAAATGTTTGCAGTAGATCGTCATAAGAGACGTGCTAAAAGCAGGATGTTGACCCTTCTGAGAAGAGAAACTCGTTACGCGATTCGTATACGCCCGTGGACCATGTCCAAGACTTCTCTCCTCGTAATTAGATGAATGTCCCACCTGCTGAGAGATACTAAAACAATAACATCGAAGGAAATATGTAAATCAGGGCTGCCAAATCTATCGTAATCTTTATTAAATGGACATGTTTATTTATAGTTATTCATTTAAATTACATTTTCTTGAAGACTGATTGAACAAAAAATTGCACTTTCGTTTGCAATATCATTGAATAAATAATATTGATTTATGCTAAATCATTAATTGATGATTGTAATTTTTAAAAGTAGATGAAATTCAAGATTGACGGTAGTGCAATCAATGTACGCGATTTATTCGACCGCGATAAATGAGCGAGCTGCGATAATACGCCGTATTAGTCACGTATTGCATTCAAGAGGACTGCAATTTCTCTCTTTCTCTTCGCATTTACGCGTTACTACGGGCCACACTTACCTACTGATCTATATTACTCGCGGTAATAGTATTCACAAGCTAACGTGAGAAATTAAAAGATTCGAATCTTTTGAAAACTTTATTAAATTTTATTGTATTATATATTTGTCTACTTTAATATCAAATATTAAGAAATCTTATTCTGAAGAGTTAATTTGAAAAAAGTTTATTTTGTTATACAAAATGATATAAATATATATACTTCTGAATCAAATATTACATTTATTAAATATTACTTTGTGTCATGAATCAGAATTAAATATAAAAAAATACTTATTTGGTTTAAAATACTTTGTTTTTTCGTTTTATTTACCATTAAACATCCTGTTGCTTTCAAATATTCACATGTTAATCTTATTTTACTTATATATTTATATTTCTTACTTATATATTTGTATTTCTTACTTTTATATTTGTATTTCTTAATTCTAATATTCAATAGTTAATCAGGTGATACAGGAAATATTTATTTATTCTGAGAGATACTTCCGTCACTGCTTGCTCAGAATCCACAAAAAGTGAAAGTCAAGTTTTTTAAATATTCGTATTTCTAGATTCTTGGGTTCTATGAAATTTATTTTAAATAATACATATATGTTTCAGATTTTTAAAAATATTTCTACATATATATATATCATAATCGCAAATTGTTTTGAAGCTTTTCGACAATTTATTACATTTTGTGTGTCCCCCTTTTTCCCACTTTAATCCAGACGATATTTTCATAAGAAAAACTTTAACTATTTTGTAAAAAGAAAGGATGCATAGAAACGATAGGTTTTATAAAGAAATATGAACAATAATGTTTCGATCTGACACACATGTATAAAAGTATTTTAAGAACTTATGTATTATGACCACAACTATATAGAATCGATTATCGATTTAAAGCGAAAGAGATCAAAGAGATTTCATCGAAGAGGAAATACATAGTGCCTTGCGGGCAGAATAGGAACATTACACACAGGTGTGCATCGGCGTCATTTAACCGATCGACTTTCACTGGCGGGTCTCTGAACTCGCCGCGGCCTCTCACGAAGAAATACGCCTCTTCCGGTTCGTTTCGAACCGGCCCTGTCGTTCGTGAACTTGAAAATTAAACCGGCTGCAAACCATCGATGAAGTTTCGCACGTCTCTGGAATTTAAGATAAGAATCTGTATGTGCGATAATTAAAACTCATTTTACAGGTATGTCGCATGCGAACAATGGGACTCAGAAGATAATAAATGTATACTGTTTTACGGCTTGTCTGATGAATTATTTTAAATATACCGGAAAAGAGCAATTATTTTACATGAGATTTCTTTAATCCGTACATGAAAAGAAAATAATTTTCTTGGAAGATAAATTTTAATAAAAATAATTTTTTTTTGAAGATAATTCCACGAAAAGAAGCTAATTATAATTATAAATAGTATTTATTTTACATAGAAATTGAAAGTTGTGTGTTGGATGATTAGGTTCAATGATTAGGTCAAAAGTAACAGTGACTGAAAAATGCGGTTATTGTTTTATTCGTATATATATATTAAGAGTTTAAAATAAAAATGCTATGGTGTTCTATACTCTTCCATGTAGAAACCGAAAATTAGGATCCCAAGAATTGTAAATTAAGAATTGAAATATTTGAGAGAATTAAAAGATAAAAATTTGAAACTATACAAACTCATAATTTCACAAAAAACATTTATAAAAATTATAAAAATTTATAGACTATAAATACATACCGTACGTTATATGAAATCTTGTATTAGAAATCTTGTATCTTGAAATCTGTTATTGGTGAACTCGACAAGTTCAAGAGCACGAAATGAAAGCGGTGCAAAGTTGAGAAATGAAGCGCGAAATATATGAGTACCGAGAAAGTATTTAGAGGAGAAGAAATATTGGAGATAAAGATGTAATGACGCGGTCCAAACATCGTCCTGAATGTGTAAATTTTTTTTTCAACGGCCGAGTAATTGGAACAAACGGAAGTATCGCATCATTTTTACAAATTAAATTTGTCACGGTACAAATAAAAGTTGCATACATTTACAAAGTAACATGTGAATGAGCTTTTTTTATTTCTCGAATGACATGCTTTTGCATACAATAATGTTGCTCTTCTTTCTCTTTCTCTCTCTTTCTCTCTTTCTCTCTTCATTTATTTGATTAATAATATATTTTCATTATTTTATATAAATATGGTTCTCTCTCAAAAAAATTACCGCATGAGAATTTTCTTGTTGACAAGTAGTATATTTGACATTTAAATTGAAAAATTTGCATATACATAAATACTGCAAATTAAAAATACCAGTTTCTTCCTTCCATATTTTTAAAATACAAAAAATCCCTCAAACAATTAATAATCCAAACTTCTAAACAAACAAATCTCCTGAAAAGAAAATAGCTTTTTATTAGTCACAACATTTTATTAATATTCGTTTTATTAATATTATACTTAAATTATAAATTATATATATATACATTTTTTTTTCATTTTATCAATAATTTATTTTCTTCAAATAAATTATAAGAAGTGGAAGAGAGAGAGAGAGAGAGAGAGAGAGAGAGAGAGAGAGAGAGAGAGAGAGAGAGAGAGGCGATTTATGCCGAAAGAATGAAATCAATTAATAAATTTATATTAATTAATACCTGTTACAGATGTTGTATCCATTTCCGGATGCATTTTTGATCTCGGGATTATTTAACAAATCGAAAAAGGTCTTGCTCTCGCGGAAGGGTTTGTGCGAAGACTCGTCTCGTGCCACCACGATGGAAGAAGGCGAAGACGGGCGCGAGAAGTAGGTCGGAGAGAAGCCTCGCTCCTACGTCGGTCGGTCGCTGGTTGAGCGAGTCTCAGTCAGTCTCGCGAGGATATCCCGGGAGTTAACAGGTGTTTGCAGAAGCAGGTCTTCCGCGGAGAGTCGTCCGTTTCGTTCTTTCTTTTTCTCCTCTCTTCCTATCATTGCTTTCGCTTCGTCCTCGGTATCGGCAAAAGATCCGCACGTTCATCAATTCGCCGACGAGATATCGATGATTTTCGTGAAATATGCGGTCCTGAAAAAAAGTCCTCGTGTCTCTTGCGCTGCCTTGTAATTTTTTTTTATTTCTCTCAGAAATCGCTAAAAGAAATTCGCAGGAGATATGACGACGTTGAGAAGATGTCAGGTAATTTGTATTTTATGAATCATTATAAATGTTAATATAAATGTAATTTGTATTTTATAAATCATCATAAATGTTAATATAAAAATACTATATAAATAAAAAATATAATAAAATAAAAATGTAATATAAAAATAAAAATCAGCATAATTTCTGCAGAAAGTTCGAATCTCATTTTGAAAAGTTAGACAAAAAGCGATGTGAAAACTGCGATAAGAACGAATCTTTTTATTAAGTTTTCATTTCTCGCATATTTTATTTCTTGACAGTTTCATTTCTCGCGAAATAAATTATAACACATGACTCGTGATTATTAAGTACTCAAAAATACATTATTAATCGATACATTTCGCGGAAGATGTGTTTTTTGCAGTTTCATTAATCATCACGACAATCACCTATTTCTACGGGACATCTACTTTTATACAAAAGGATGTGAATGATCTCTCTCCCTTTATGAATGAAATCCTAATAAGACCACCGCAACGCATCGCATGATTAATTAAACCGTAAGAAGTCCGTGCAGACCCGCTCTTCCGTCGGTTACGTAAATATATATGTTATATACGTGTTATATACATTTATCTCCGTTCACGATCGGCGTAATAACGAACCGTGAACGATTCCGTGGTTAATCTCGATCATCTTCGTGGTATCCCGCGCGTAATCGATCGGCACGCGTGACGGAAACCAACCTTCATAATCGGTGGCAAAGTGCGCGGGCGGACGTTTCCGGACGGACGGACGACAGACAGACATCGGGAAACAAAAAAACTAGATCGACTTAATTGTCGTGCAATTAATGAATTTTCTGGAGCGGAAACCCGAGTGGGTGACGTGCATCGCTGCCACGCTATCATTGTGCACCATGTATTTCCACTATATACTTTAATGCATACCGTTCACTCCGTGATTTTATAACTAGCTGACATATCGTGTGACAATTAAATTCGAACTCTTAAACACAAAAAGGTAAATTGTTTAAAAAATTGTATTCAATTGCGCCTGATTATCAGAATTTTAAGCCTTGAAAAGCTCTCATAGATTTCCGAATTGAAATTTTATTTCTACTTTCAACCTCAATTTTCTCAGATTTATGGATCTGATTATCAAGCATCAATAATGGACAACTGGAACGTTACTGACATGAAAAGAATAAAATTGTTCGGCGTATTCCATGCGTTGATGTACAAAATTGTTGATGCAACACTTGCTAATGGCAGAAATCATTTGAAGGCGAAAAGCCTAATATCAAAATATCAAAGGTGTAATAGTTTTTTAATTAAAGGGGATCATTTAAAGTTGGATAAAAAATCAGATTGTCCAAAATTCAGGTATGTCGCAAAATAATCTGAAATTCTCGAATATTAGTCCATTTTTAAATATTAATATAACTTCAAATATTGATATAATTTTGCAATAATATCGAACATTTTTCGATATTATTTCATTTTTGTAACTAATTAATTTGTTGTACAGATTTGCTGATAATAGCAATACAAAAATATTATAAAATATTAGTATTAAAATGCGATGCACATCAAAATTATCAGATTAAGTGTATTATATACGAAATATAATATTCTTTCATGAATAAAATTTTTTTTCATCTCACATAAAAGGAAATATATTAAAACACTTTAATCAATCTCTTAGCTTTCATACAAAATAAAAAAATTATTTATTAAAACATTTATACTGTACGAGAAACATCATTTGCTTATAGTAAACTTTATGTAATTACTTTGACAACTCGATGCATATCGTTTTAACGCTAAATTTTATAATAAAATTTTATGCTATAAAATTATATCAATATTTAAAGATATTTGAGAGTTATGCGACGTATCAACAAATGCTGATAAGTGCAACTATGGGTAATTTAATTGGCCAAAAGAACCGCTTTAAAACCGCTTTCTATTTACAAATTTATAACAGCCTCGATATATCTTTTGATTTTCATCTCCAATTCAAGATTCTGTCATTAACAGATGGTGCTCCAATTTTATGAATTCTGACACTTTGTATACACATATATAAAATAGGAGACGAGTTAGCATGCTTCATGCCAAACGCGTGCACGGGGAAAGCATGTCGTTCCATTTCACTTGTCGGTGGAACATGCTCGGTCCTTTCACGATTTTATTTCATTTTATCCACTTTTCGCGCGGATATATAAACATGCGATTAGAAAGTATTTTTTTTCCACTACAGCATCGAACTTTATATACATGTATATTTCAGCCGATTTTTGTTAACGAGAATTTTAAACGATTAAATTTAAAAAAGTGATGTCCCAAATTCTGGTATAATAGTCTTGACAGATAACGATTGAAAGTTATGAATCGCAAATCGATTGATAATCAGTGCGTATTTTGCCGATACTTGAAAAATTATTTTTTTTATATCAACTTAATGGTATCTATACCGTGTATATATTTCTCGACAAGAGTATTCGTTATACTTCTGTCATTTACTTTCAGCTATGTGAGATTTTATAATTCATGTAATGAGTCAGCTGCGAATTTAAGACGGCGATCACGCGACGACAGGTGCGCGTAATTCCAATCAGCGGTAATCCGTCACGTTTTATAATAGAAAGTACCCACCGGTCGCGCGATTACTACACTGCTATTTTCTAATCTCGGGAAAGAATGCCGGCAATCTCTCTCCGTGAGCTATTAAATTTCTCTCATCACGCGGCTATTGCCGATTCTGATGACTCAGTCGAGTATCGATTCGAATATTACGAATATCGATTTTTTTTGCGACAGTTCCAAATGTCGACTTAATTACTTCGTAACTGTTAAGTGTTACGTCATGTGTACTTCGTATATTGCAAATGCGAACGACGCACGTAATTTGCAAACGAACCGCGAATCTCTAGAAACTCGTAAGGTCGGCTTTCGAAAACCTTTTCTTAAACTCATTTCGCATTCTGGTCATTCTGTACTTCAATCGTCGAGGCGCAATCGTACATGTACGTAACGTGGAATGCGGGAATTATCATTGACGTGTATTATTTCTGATGGAGTGCATTATCACATCTCTGATCGGAAATTAGCAAACAATCGACGTTGATTGTAAATTCGAAAAGATTTTGCAACTTTGTACATAGATGTGAAGTAACGTCTTTTTCGCTATTAATTTGGAGAAAGTTTGAATGAGAAATTTACTCTATGATCGTTAACACAGTTAAGAATTATTGAAATTATTTAGAATGAAATTATTTAGAGAGAAAAATAATCGATTCAACGCATAATGATGATTGTCCTCTATTTAAAAAATTAGGTAAATTAAATAATATTCATAAAATCACTAAAAAATATAATTTTTCAGAAACATAAAATCATAAAACCATAAAGGGGGAATATATTACGCATATTGTACAAGTTTTTATTTTATTTTTCAGGTCATTTATTTTTTATTTTTCGTCGTCTTGACACTCGGCACGTGCAACGAGATGCCCAAGCCGAGCTACACCAGGACAATGTTGAAGGTTTCTCGAAGTCTGCCAGGTGAGACGGAAGAGGTAAAAGTACGAACGAGCGAGGGCAATTTAGCTACTTTAATCGTTAAGCGACGAGACAAATCGTCGTTCACCTTCGACGAATCAAAGCTCGGACCAAAACCTGTTCAGGCAGAATCGAACGTCACTACAGTGAATAACAACTCGAGTGCGCGGAATGAATCGAAACTTGATGACGACAGAAGCGAGATCAGAAAGAAAAACGATGTGCGAAGACTCGAGGAAGCTCAGGTAGCGCAAATCAGAGCGACGTTCTCCGAATTATCGAAGGAATCGAAGGACGAGAAACCGGACGTCAATCGAACCGATGCGAAACCGATATCCGAAAAAAATCTCCCAATTAGCAGCAGCGTAATCGATTACGGAAACTGGACACCGTTGGACACGGATGGAAGAGCGTTGAAACAGGTGGAGCCGGAAGAAGAGGAGTATCGAAATTGGAAGCCGTTGCGGACGAATCTAAAGACTGCAGTCGAGGAGAAAACGAACTATGACGGAGGTAGAATCGGCGACATCTTGTTCGCCAGAAATTTCCAAGATCGGACTCAGAGAAATTTCGATTTACGAGACGGAAGCGATAAAAACGAGCGATCTGTCTACACATACGTGCCTCATCAGTCCACGAGGACGAATATCGGGGCGAATCTGTCGAAAAATCGAGACGGTAAAACCGTTCCCGCGGAAGTAATCGTCCGATCGGAAATCAATGTAAAAACGGCGCCGAAGAGGTCACCTATGTCGCTCGACGTAGACGGTACGCCAGTAATCCACGGTACGAGAGTACCCGATGAACCCATCGACAAGGTACAAACTTGGCGAAACGCTCGAGTTATTAATAACAAGTTGATAAATTTCGAAAGCACCGCGGGAGTTATCAACCCGGTGGAACCCTCCGTTGAGTCTCATCCTGGAGATAATATCGAGAAGAAGCAGAAGTTCGATAAGTTCTTCAAAGATATCAATCGAAGGTAGGCAGAGAAAATTGTTTAACTATTAAAGCTTTTAAGAGATTTTTTTATGACAATAATATGCACTTGTGCACTGAATTATAAAAATATGTTTAGAAACTACTTTGATTCTAGCATCTTTCCCCTATTAATAATTTTATTTACGTAAATAAATGATAAATCTCCATGCGAACTTTCACAAGAGGATGCTGCAAATTATTCGATCTCGCAACGTCATCAAAATTATTATTCAAATTCAACAATATTTGAAAGGCTTTCTCTAATCTCCCGTTTTATTTCTTGTCAGATACAGTCGCAATTACGAGGAAGAGGGCCGTAACGTGTACTTCGAATGGGACCCGAGAAATTACAAGAACGAAGCTTTGAAAGCCGAGGTGTACGAGCCGCATAACGACCATTATCGCGCGAGCGTTCACAAGAGAATGCTGCACCCGGAAAGCGTCGCGAATTATCCAATCTCGCAACGTTACATCCCCGAGAGTCAGACTATTGCACCTGTGGCTCTGAAACCCGGTGCTCGAGCACCGGTTCTCCAGTACGCTCATCCCGAACTGGGTGTGCAGCCCGCCAAGATCCTCAAGAACGAGAAACGCCGCCCCGACAATTTCCCCGAGAACCAACACTCGTTCACCGAACAACGTCACAAGAAGAAGTACGTGCTAAACGACAAGAGTATTGTCGACAGCTATACGACGAAGAACTACTATCCGAATCAGCACTTCTACGGCCTGAAACGACCGAGCGAGCCACCGTTTTGGGTAAAGATTTCTGAGAATCTGAAGAATCAATTTTCCACCGGGGTCGAGAGAGTCTCGCAGTTCACTAGGCCAGTGATCGATCCCCTGGTGGAAGCCACTCATAAGATTTCGCAGAATCTTGGTCTTTCCAAGGGCAAGGAGGCTCAGGACAAAATCGACACGATATCCTCGAGCACTAGTATCCTAATACCAGCTTTAGGGCTTGTCGCATCTGGCGCTGCGCTTGGAATAGGTGCTGTGGCGGTTGGCCGATATCTCGATGTCGACGTTTTGAAACGCTCAAACGTAGATGAGGATCTCGATCTTGAGCACAAGCGGGCCTTGGAGACTGGAGTGTACTTGAGAGCGATCGAGGACGAGAGTTCGAGGTCGAACGAGACGACTCCTTCGCGGACCATGTACCTTTTACGAAACGTCGCTCAAGACGATAAAGGAGATGAGAATACGAGTTCGATGGAGAACGACGGAGTCTTTTTGATTCTGGAAGACGAAGATAAGCAAAACGCCGAGAGGATTGAAAATCGAGAGAGCAGACAGATGGTGGACGAGGCCGATTATGTGGAGACTAACGGACGACGAAGAAGGAGAAGCCTCGACTATCTAAACCTCTTTAAAACGGATGTTGACATGAAAAATCTGGTGCGTACCAAGCGTTTTCAGAGAAAGGGAGCTGACTCCATCAGCGAAATCGTCGAAATCGATGTGCCTGCTGGCGCAGGTCGTATCGATATTACCAAATTCTTGATCCCGAAGAAGAATAAAGAGAGATACTCGAATGAAAATACCATCCTGACCATCGATAACGATAACAAGAGGGTGGAAAATCTCAAAACAGACATGTCGGATCAAAACGCATTGAAGAACATTGCGAACATTTTTGAAAATGTCGATAATTTACAGGATGTAATTTCGAAGGAAGATCGAAGAGATGATACTGATGGTACTTTTCTCGTGCTAGATGAAAACTCACAATTTCTCGGGAGTAATCTCGAGAAAGAAATGATAAGAAAGATCGATGCAGATTCTAAAGAAGACAACGGAAGACGAAAGCGCAATGTTGAGAGCGATCAGGAACTCTCGGATGCGTTGCAGAATTTGGAAAATGCCGAAGTAGCCGAAATTGCTCACATACAAGGCGATTGGACAAATACGCCCTGCGCAAAGAGGATATTTTGCGATACGATGATTCAAAGAGGATCCGATGCCTCGATGCTCATGGAGAAGAAGATGACAGCGTTATTAAGATTGTAAGTACTTTTGACATTCTTATAATCTGTCGAGATAAAAGCATTTTTATATACAATGAATATTTTTTACTTGAATTGTAAGGTATTATAGATGAGAACTTAAAACGAATAATTATTATTATAATTATCATAATCACGGATAAATGATTATGATAAATTTAATATTAGATTATTTTTAAAATTGAGAAAAATATTGTACGACCAATACAAGATGGTAAAAAAATTGATATCATGGAATATTCAAATTATTATTAATATCAAATTAGATTTTCTTCACATTTAATATTTCACTTTTTATATATTATTTTATTTTTAATAATATAATTTTCCTTTCTTTAAAAGAAAATATTATTTAGTTTTTATTTGAAAGAATGTTATGTGAATAAACTAAAATTGTATTTGATCATTAGAAATAACGCTTTAAAATTGACAATTGTATAAAACGGTTTATTAAATAACATATAAATATTTTCTAAAATAACATATAAATATAAAATATATAAAGTAACATATAAAATATATTTTACATTTGTTTTATTGAGACGTTGCATTGATATTGCAATCTGATGATATTTGAGAGGGGCAAATTTAATGTAAAACGAATGATTACTCGTTTTGTGGTAATTTTCACCACTTTTAGCATCGAAATGAAATCGCACGAGCGATTCAACTATCGTGGCTCAAACTATCGGGACTTCAATGGACACCGATAACAGCCGATCGGACGGAACTATAGAGTCGCGTATAACTTTCTTCCAGCTTTCGCCGACGACGTCCTACTGACTGATTCGACTTTTACCTCTTAGCACAGTTTCACTGTATGCACATACTGCGTCCTGTCTTTGACATCGCATCGGCCACGTGCGATAGAAAAGGATCCTGGAGAGTAGGAAAGAAATAGAAAAAAAAACATAGACACATGTTATCGAAAAAGAGAAAAGGCTAAAGACACAGGGAAAACCAATGTATCCAGCCAATGTAATTCGCATCCACTCAATTGCGCATTCGCTTTCGAATTCTTTCCAATTATGTACCATTCGATTAAGTTGCTTTCTGATGCAATTTGTTAATAGTCATATTTACATCATTTCTCACTATAATTCATTTTATATAAAATATATCATCGTATCATATAAATATTATTTCATGACGTGTTAATGAATGGATGAGTTAATGAATTAACACACAAGCTAAAGTGATTAATTCCATTTTCTGAATTTTTAAAAATTTTAGTGCCAAAGCATTAATCAATCAAATGTTTTAGCACTAAAATTTAAAAAAATGGAGTCAATCACTTTAATCTATGAACTCAAATAATATGTACATACATATTTTGTATTTAAATCATTTCAATATAATTGAAACTGTTTCTTCTATCTTAGATAGAAAAAAATAGTTCTTTCTAAGCGTTATATTTCCAAGAATGGTAAATATTTATACACTTCAATTAAAAAAGAATTTCTCTGGTCGATAAATATATTAAGATAAATTTAAAAAGTAAAATGAGAGAAATTAAGCTTGCACGATGATATATACATTTGTTATGCGCGAATGAATTGATAATGACAAATATATGGCATTTAACGATCCATTTCCTGCGTCGACAACCATGCGAGACTTCATTATTCAATTTGATTCATTGCAAACACATGCATCCGTATACCGACGAGAGAGCAGCATTATATCATGTACCATGTTGTAAGTGCGCGCTATTTCCGAGCAAACATTTCTCACATACGTGACGAGAATTTGCGAGGCAAACTGCGTTCTCTCTCTTAAAAATAGCAGGTATTGCATGATTCCTTTTATCGGCTTTCCATTCACAATATATCTTTTCATAAGAGTTTAAGGCTTTTTCAAAAAATCTTTCTTTCAAATTTTGTACGATTAATATAATCTATAATATTATTAAATTTTTATAATCAATTGTTGAATTTGTTTTATAATTAATGTGTTTAAGCGCAGCGTACTTTTGTATCACCTTGTATTTTCAATTAGTATGCTGTAAGGAAAGCGAGTTAATTGGAGCGAGCGATCATTAATGGAACGCGGTGAAAAATGTCGATGGATTAAAAAATTCGCGATCTAGTGCACACTTAATTAATGATCAGCCGCGCGCAGTGTCGATCATTTGCTGAAGTGTGTCTCCAACTTTCTAACGATCCTATCGCTATTCTATATCTAATTGTTTGCGTTTGCTTGCAGAATTCAGCCTGGAGCAGCTGTTCAAGTGTCCAGTCACTTTGAAGAGGTCATGAATGCTGTCAGGAGGCATGATTGTTCCGTCTTTTTGTGTCCGCAAGCGAGACCCGGCAACGTCTTTCTTTAGAGATACGAAAGATTACAGTCTTTTTTTAAATCACACTTCTAAAATAGTTATATTGTAAAAAAATTAATTCAAAAGTTATTGAGAAAATCAAATGAGATATATGACAATAGGAAAAATAATTAATAAATATTTTATATAATTATTAATCATTTTTTAAAGATTCTTCGAATTCTTTATTATGTTAACAATCGAAAATGAATCGAAAAATGCCCTTTATATGCAGTAAATAATGCATTATTTTTAGGATTACCAGATAAATTCGCAAGAGATTGATTGTCATTGTTTATAGAATATATTTCGAATAATGGAATTGTTGCGATTATAATTGTTAACATTATTTTCAGAAAAAAACTTCATTAATTTATGTTTGCAACGATTTCGCGAATAAATACGTTTTCGATAAACACATCGAGTTGGCACAGAGCCACAATTGTACATACTTGCCACCGAGGCGATTTTATTTAAAATGCACACATATTTGTAATTTAGATGATTAAGCATAGAATTTATGACAGAGAATGAACGATCGGCGGATAATCAGTTGTATCAATTGCAACTTCCAAATGTTCACATCATCGTCCATGATAAACATCTTCGCTTATCGCTTCATTTTCTCACACATTTTTAATTCCGTCCGAATAAATTATTTTGTAACGAGGTATAATTTAATTCGACGCGCCAAGAGAGTCACAGAAGTGAATAAAATGTTACATGCGAATTTTAATGATTCAAAGATTCAGGAATCATCGCCAATCCGCGCGTCGAGCACGAAAATATATTTATTTCTGTACTTTTCTACGCATAAGACATCGTATCTGTAAGAATCGATGAATAAACGATATTTTTTACTATACATGTGTATTCCTTGAGTCTAGTATCTCACTCTTGATTTACTGATGTTTCTTCGTAGATCTTAAACAACTTTTGGAAATAAAAAATTGATCGACATTAATACGTTACTCGTCGAACACAACTTGCAACTTATTTATAATCGAAAAGCACGTGCTGTATTCGCATTTGGTTCAGCATATAGTGATTATACGCCACACGTATTATTATCGATTGTTATCCAAAAGCGTTTAAAGAGATATTCACAGATAGTAGCGGTTAAACCCTTCATATGTACTGAGCAAGCGCACAATCACGGCGGTTTAGTACAATCGCGAAGAGCGATTCAGTCAAGCGATAATTTTCATCCCGCGAACTTCAATGAATGTCAACGAAGGTAGACTTACGTATCAGAAAATAGAAAAAAAATTTGCATCGCAACTAAAAATATAATCGCATTATGTTATAAAATAATTACGTAATAATATAATAAAGTTAAAAATCATAAATTTAAAAATCATAAATTTTTTTTATTATAAACGTGCGTTAATAAAAACTGCTCCGATTCAAACATATATAAAACTTCGGTAAAGATTAATTATTACTCTAAATTATTATTCGTGCGAGTGGTAATGTATTGAAGAAAAATTTACAAGTTACAAAAAAATAATTATGTGTTATGTTGTTTTTAACATCCGAAAATATGTGCTATCGATAATATTTTTCCATTTTTATACAACTCATGTTTTTTTATATTCCATTATAAACAAATATAATGTATATTTATTTATTTTATTAATATTGAAAAAATATATTTTTCTCGAGATAAATATAATCAATATTTTTTGTTATTTAACGTGTTATTTGTTAAATTTTTGCTAAATGTAACAAATATTATGTAATAATATTTGCATTATTTACAGTTTATTTGTTAAATATAAAGAAAATATTTTATTTTTAACAATTATTTTTTCTACAAGCTCGCGAAAATTATAATTTAGAGCAAGCACTCGTCTATAGATCTTTCAGAAAACTTTGTGTTTCACGACAGTTTGTCAGAGTTGGTACTTAAACTTTGTACACTGACAAAAAATATTCGCTTTCGACATATAGATTGATCTAAAGTGTTTTTCAACAATAAAGTTATAGTGATATAAATCGAGTTGTGTTTATACACGAATCATAATTCCTCTAGCATAAACAGCGATATGGACAATTTTTATAAAAGTTAAAAAAAATTAAAACAGCAATGTATCTTAAAAAGGATATAGTAATACAAAAAAAATTATCAAGAGATTTAAAGTTTATATAATATAACTGCATATAAAATAATTATAATTAAATTGTTAATAAAAGTATTCTTAATTTTCGTTCCAAAATAACATTATCTCTTTTTACCCGTATTATATGTTTATCAATATTAATGTATATACGCTGCCTCCTTCGAGTATAAAATAAATATTTCCATTTCGGCCTACGCAAATTATAGTACAATAATGCAATCAATATAATAAATTAGAGAGAGAAAATAATATAAGTGAATGAAATTCTTTTTCGAGTGGTAATTTAATACACAGATTTGTGAAAAAATCAATCCTCTTGAATATGTTTTAAACTAAATATAATTATTTAAAATATATAAATGAAAAGAGAAAATGTTAAGAAATAATATAAAATAATAATATGACTTCTAAACTAATATTAATGTGGTATTTTATCTAAAACTTTGTATTTTTAGATTTGAGTTACGCGTTTGCTCTGAGTCGTCAATGTTTGCGAATATTAGGTGTGTGGCCCGACCCATGTATCCCTTTAAGCGACTTTCATCGGCTGAGCATAAGATTCATAATTGTTACATGTATTCTAAGTCTTTACGTGATAATACCGCAGTTGACGAATATGATTCGTGCTTGGGGTAATGTGACTCATATGGTGGAATTTATAGCCTCTGCCAATTTCAGCTTGATGGCATTGAGCAAGTTGATCGCTACTTGGTATCATAGCGAAAGTGAGCAATTATTTTGCAACAATAAATATATTGAATAAATATGCTTATTATTAGAAATAATAAAACAATATAAATATAATACAAACACTAGATAAATAATATAAATTCTAGATTTTCAATTCACATTTAATACTGTTATTGTACAATATTTAGATTTAATATTTTGTATAATAAAATAGTCTTTTTCATTCTTTTGGTAATTTACATATATTAATTTATTATATATATATATATATATATATAATAATAATAATAATAAATTAATATATATAAATTATTAAAAGAACAAAAGACAAACTATTTTAATATATATATATATATATATATATATATATATATATATATATAATGTATCAATATATGTTTAATTTAAAAGCACTTCAGATATTGATGACATCAGTCATGCATGATTGGATTAAGTCAACGAACAACTCCGAACGAAATACGATGCTGAAACTCGCAAGACGTGGCAGAAGCTTATCTTTTAGATGTTATGCATTTGTGATAATAACACTCTCATTTTACATGTGTTTTAATCTTTTAAAGTTTTATCGAAGTATTTATCAGCCTCAACGCAGACTGGTCTATCATTTCGTTTATCCTTATAATTCCCAGAAGAGTCCGAATTACGAGATCACATTTATCATTCAGCTTTGTGGCGGATTATGCACAGCACTAATCAATTGTACTGTCGATAGTTTTATCTCAACACTTTTGCTGCATATATGCGCGCAACTAATAAATCTACGAATGGCACTCAATAATTTAGTCGATGAACTAGCCAATAAATCCATATCCTCTTCAAAATTTAAGGAAGGCTTAACTGCCATTGCGATACGACATATACATCTTATACGGTATGTCTCAAGGAATTTCATTTAAATGTATTGCTTAAATTAACCATTTTCATTAAAATCTCCATAAATGCACGTTCAGAGTAATTTTATAAAATATTTAAAAATGCAAATGTAATATTTAAAACAATACATATCTCTTTTTCTCATATATCATATGTCATATTATTATATAGAAGAGAAGTATATGCGATATATATCTTATATAAAAAAAATGTTTCTCATTCAAGATTTTTCTTTATGTACAACATATTTCTAAGCGTCAAAAGTATTTTAAAATTTTATCAGATTTAAATATGAAACCTATAAAGTGTAAAATAAAAAAAAACTTTCTAAAGGAACAGTTAAAAGGAGATAAAGAGTGAGTTAAGCTAAGATTAAAGTTAAACGAAATTGATAGAAACGGCCATAAATTGATTAAAAAAATTGTTAACAAACCAGTATAGTTTCCAAAAAAATGTACATTAATAAGATTTTACAAGAAACTATTTTCAAAAGTGATATTGATTCCTTTTTCATACGTTTAATAATTCTTTTAAACATAATTAAATATATTACAAAAATTATTGTATATATTCCCAAATATTTAAGGAAAATGATTTTTTAATATTATTAACTTTCTTTTATTTTTAAAGAAAATTAAAAAGATTTTGATATTTTCAAACGTATTCATTTTCTTATTATCGAATGGAATTATAATAATAATAAGTCGACACTTTATAACAAGTGAATAATATGAATAATTTTTCAAGGGATGCAAAGACAATTGACAATTGTTACAGCGCAGTGCTATTTGTGCATATGCTAGCTGCTACTTTTCAACTGTGTTTTGAAACTTTCCAAGTTTACACGGTAAGTAAGAAACTACTTATACAAGTACATTTTCTTCTTATTTGAATATTTCGTATATCTTATATTAGAAAGATTAGAAAATATATATATATATATATATATATATATATATATATGTGTGTGTAAATCTTTTTCATATTATAATATATTTTGAATATTATGGCGTAATTGTACTGTTATATATGCATTTGAAATGATAAAAATATATATCTTCAGATAATAACAGACAAATTAGATGTATCTGCTTTCAAAATGGCTTTTCTCTTATTTTATGTCATTGTTGTGTTAACGCAATTATACATTTACTGCTATTCAGCTGAAAGACTCTTAACAGAGGTAAAATAGTTATGTAAATTAATGGGATTGTGTAAAATAAAAAGTGTAATTTTCAGAGCAGCGGTATGGCACATTGCGTATATGAATGCAAATGGTATAATATACCGGTCAAAGATGCGAAAAATTTGATATTTATTATATATGGATCTTCAATAGTGCTTAAATTAACAGCTGGGAAATTTGGAATTTTTTCGATGGAGATGTTCGGAGCAGTGAGATATTCTTATTTTTAAATATTCATTTCTTTAATACGTTCTAAATTAAATATCTTTTCATATAGTTTTTTATCGCTCTTTAATTATATATGTAAGGTTGTAAGCAATTGAAAAGTTGCTCGATTAATATACGAAAATATTAGTATATATACTACTTTTGCTAGACTGAATCAGTGTATTATCATTGAAAAACAGTAAGTACTCACTGATTACAAACAGTTATAAATACAGCACTGATTACAATGATAATACACTGATTCACTTTTAGAGAGTATATTATAAATTTATTATATTATAAAATATTTAAAATTATTATATAATATATATTATATATTATTAATAATTTTAATTGTACATTGATACACAATGTAAATTAAATTCAAATTATTCAATATCTTTTTCTTACATAAAAATAATAGATTAATTCTAATCTATTCAAATTAGTTTAATATTTACTGAAAAATAATGATTAAATCTATAATAAAGGAATAAAATTAATTAATAATACAAAAATAATAACAATAACAATAATAATAATAATGATAATAATAATAATAATAATAATAATAATAATGATAATGATAATAATAAATTAATGTACCTTCCGATGAAAACAAAGATAAACTTTTCTCTTTTCAAATTTAGATTTCATTTCCAAGCAACAGAATTTTCGATTCTAATTAATCTGCATAATTTACTGTTAAAGAGAAAAATATTGTATAGTTAGAATATTTTGTATCATATGTGCATGTATGATTTTATTATATATTATGTTATATATAATTATTATATTATATATAATTATATTATATATAATTATTATATTTTACCATAAAAATAAAACAAAATATTTAAATTCTTATTTTTACTTTGTTTAGACGGTGAAAACAGCAATGGGATATCTATCTATGTTATTGACAGTAAAAGATTAGAAAACTTATTAAATTATTATAAAATCAATGTAAGTGCACATAACATGATATATTACTAATTATTTAATAATTAATAATGATTAATTTTATTATATTTGCTGAACACATATTTTTGTGTTATAATACATGTTCTTTATTCCCTATTAAGCCATATCTAATTATAAATAAATAAGATGAAAGACAAATTAAGATGAAGACTGAATTAAACTTTTAAAATAAATTTCGATCAATAATTATTATATTTTTTTATTGTATGTAATGTATATACTTTGTTTCTTGCGAATGAGAAAATAATAATTCTTGTTAAATACAACAATAGTTCGCTTTAATGAACATTTCTGTCTATTCTTTCATATATAACAAAATAAAATTTAATTTAACATATTAAGAAAATAAAATATAATTTAATTTTTACTAAAATGAATTATATTTACTACATCATTTACTAATATACTAAAGTCAAAAGCGAATAATATATGTGAATATTACTAATAGTAAAATAGTGTAGAAAAATGATATTATCATAATTGTATCGCTATAAAAATGCACAATGTTCCAGTATAACTGGAATCTAATCTAAATACCAATATAGAGGAGTAAAGGATGATTATACATATAACAATTATACATATAATAATGAAATAAAATAAATCGAAAATGAAAAGAATAAAAATTTTCAAAATCTTGTTTACAAGAAAACATTAAAATGCTTATTTAAAGCGTATTTTGTTATTAAAACTTAAAGCACATGATACAATTGGTATAATCTAGTTATTAATACAAAATATTGTATTTTTTCGTTTTGATAACACTGCCTCAAAATTAAATCACAATGTTACATGTATCTATTAAAAGAAAATTAAATCACAATATTACATGTATCTCTTTAAAAGAAAATTAATTTAAAAAAAGAATATTTATATTTTATAACGTATTTATTATTATTTTGTACATAGATTTTTTGTTAATTTGCCCATCGTTTTTTAACATGATTAAATAATACACAATGTGACATACAACAAAAATAAATTTAAAAGAAAATTAATTTAAAAAAAGAACATTTATATTTTTCACTTTATAACACAATCTTCATTTGAGAATACGGAAATATGCGCTATTTAAAATTTTCTAGATAGTTCAACTTTGAATATGTTTTGAATTTAGTATCGCAATACACAATGCACTAATCAAAGAATTCACTAACACATTATAAAATAATCATAATTCACGAACACTCTAATCAAAGAACATTAATATTGGCATTGTATACAGTAGAACATTTTGTAATAATCCATGATTTTGATTTGACTTCTTCAAGTATTGAATTATAATATCTATAATTTTTATAAAAACAATTCTTTTCTATAACTTGTCACATATAATTACAATCTCTCTTAACTGTCACTACATTCTAAACATGTCTGTATAGCGTTTTTTAATAAATTCAATCATATATAATAATATTTTTGCTTCTCTCTTTTTCCTCTCTTTTTCCTTTTTTCTATTTCTGAAAAAGCACATTCTTTATATTTATTCTTATAAATTCATGCAGCACATATTATATTCCTATTAATTAATTATTAATTAATTATTAAATTTTTCTTGATAATCTTTTTTTCGTATAGTAATCACTATTTCACCATTTTAAATCACTATTTTAAATCGCTTTGAAATGTACAAATGCTCGTACAGAAAGTCACTTATAAAATAATATATTCTTTACAAGTTCAAGCATATTTAGTTAAATTCCAGATATATATCTCATCTTGGAGTCTTCTCTATTACAAAACCCGAATCCCCTCAACTTGCTTATAGTCGAAAAGCGCAATATTCACTACGATTCAGCTCAATGTAGTTAGTAGTTACGTACAACATGAATTACTGTTATATTCGAAAGAGTTTACAGGCATATTAGCAAATGGTAGTTGTTGAATCCTTCGTGTACTGAGCAAGCGCAAAATCACGTAACGTTTTTACAATCGCGAAGAGCGATCAGTCAAGCAATAATTTTTACCCCGCGAACTTCAATGAACGTCAACAAAGGTAGAATACGTTCTGGAAAATAACAGAAAGATTCGCATCGCAACTAAAAATATAATCCTATTATGTCATGAAATAGTTATGTACTACGTACAGTAAAGTATACAAATCATAGGTTTTTTTACTATAAACCTGCGTTAATAAAAACTGCTCCGGTTTGAACATATATAAGACTTCAATAAAGATTAATTATTATTCGTACGAGTGATATCGAAGAAAAATTTACAAGTTATAAAAAAATAATTATATGATATATTGTTCTTGGCATCCAAAAATATGTGCTATCGATAATATTTTTTCAGTTTTATACAACTTATGCTATTTTCTTTTATATTAAATTATAAATGAATATATTGTTTATTTATTTTATTAATATTGAAAAAATATTTTTCTCGAGATAAGTATAATCAATTTTTTTTGTTATTTAATGTGTTATTTATGTTTATTGTGTTATTTATGTTTTTTTTTATTAAATTTTTGTAAATATTTTTGCAATATATATTATGTAATAATATTTATTGCAAAAATATTTACAAAAATTTAATAAAAAAAAACATAAATAACACAATAATATTTGCATTATTTACAATTTATTTTTCAAAATATAAAGAGAATAACTTGTTCCTAGCAATTTTTTTACACAAGCTTGCGAAAATTATAATTTCGTAACAGTGCAAGTACTCGTCTATAGATCTCTCAAAAAACTTTGTGCTTCGCGACAGTTTGTCAGAGTTAATACTTAAACTTTTTCCACTGGCAAAAAATATTCGCTTTCGACGTATAGATTGATTTAAAGTGTTTTTCAACAACAAAGTTGGATATGTGGTATAAACCGAATTATGATAGAATTGTGCTTATACACGAATCATAATTCGTTTCCCTCTAGTATAAAAAGAGATGGAAAATTTTTATGAAAGTTAAAAAAAATTAAAACAGCAATGTTTTCTAGAAGAATATAATAAATTATAGAATATAAAAAGATTTTATCAAGAGATTTAAAGTTTATATAATATAACTGTGCATATAAAATAAGTACAATTAAACAAAATTATTAATAGAAATATTTTAAATTTCCTTTTCAAAATAATATTATCTCTTTTTTCCCCTATTACATATTTCTCAATATTAATACATATACGCTGCTTCCTTCCAGTACAAAATAAATATTTCCACAGCCTACGTAATAATATTATAGTACAATAATACAATCAATATAATAGATTAGAGAGAGAAAATAATATAAGTAAATAAAGTTCTTTTTCGAGTGCTAATTTAATACACAGATTTGTGAAAAAATCAATCCTTGAATATGGCTTGTAAACTAAATATAATTACTTAAAATATAAACGGAAAAAGAAAATGTTAAGAAATAATATAAAATAATAATGTTACTTCTAAATCAACCATTAATGTGATATTTTATCTAAAACTTGTATTTTTGTTAGATTTGAGTTACGCGTTTGCTCTGAGTCGTCAATGTTTGCGAATGTTAGGTATATGGCCTGATCCATGTATCCCTTTAAACGACTTTCATCGGCCAAGCATAAGATTCATAATTGTTACATGTATTCTGAGTCTTTACGTGATAATGCCGCAGTTGACGAATATGATTCGCGCTTGGGGTAATGTGATTCATATGGTCGAATATATAGCCTCTGCCAATTTCAGTTTGATGGCATTGAGCAAGTTGATCGCTACTTGGTATCATAGCAAAAGTAAGTAATTTTACAACAATAAATACATTGGACAAATATACTTATTTTATTATAAATAATAAAACAATATAAGTAAATAATACAAATACTAGATTTTCAATTCACATCTAATATTGTCATTGTACGATATTTAGATTTATTATTTTGTATATTAAAATATTAATTTTACGCTATGACAATTTATATATACATAAATATGTGTATTTGTATGTGTAGACATGTGTAGACATGTGTATATGTGTATATATATATATATATATATATATATATATATATAAATTACATGTATAGTTTATATACGTATATAATATATATATATATATATATATATATATATATATATATGTTCAATTTGAAAGCACTTCGAACACTGATGACATCAGTCATGATCGATTGGATAAATTCAACGAACAGTCCTGAAAGAAATATGATGCTAAGACTCGCAAGACGTGGCAGAAGCTTATCTTCTAGATATTATGCACTTGCGACAACGGGAGTCTTGTTTTATATATGTTTAAATCTTCTGAAATTTTATCGAAATATTCATCAGCCTGAACGTAGACTGGTCTATCATTTCGTTTATCCTTATAATTCACAGAAGAGTCCGAATTACGAGATCACATTTGTCATACAACTTTGCGGCGGATTATGCACAGGACTAATTAATTGTACCGTCGATAGTTTCATCTCGATACTCCTGTTGCATGTATGCGCACAACTAATAAATCTACGAACGGCACTCAATAATTTAGTCGATGAATTAGCCAATAAATCCATATCCTCTTCGAAATTTAAGGAAGGCTTAGCTGCAATTGCAATACGGCATAAACATCTTATACGGTATGTCTAAAAGAATTTCCGCCGATCATTTAAATTGTAAACTCTCCATAAATGCACATTTGGAGTAATTTTATAAAATTTAAATATACAAACAAAATATTCAAGATAATAACTGTATATCTCTTTTCCTCATATACCATATGTCATATCTTATATAAAAATATTTCTCATACAATTAAGATTTTTTTTTATGTATTTTTCTTCAGTGAAATTTTGTCATTGCTTTAATTAGTATTTTCATTGATTCAGCTTAAGCATTAAACATTCATATATCTCCTTTTAATATTATTAACTTTCTTTTATTTTTAAAGAAAATTAAAAAGATTTTGATATTTTCAAGCGCATTCATTTTCTTATTACCGATTGGAATTATAATAATGTAAGTCGACAATTTATAATGAGTGTATAATGAGAATAATTTTTCAAGGGATGCAAAGACAATTGACAATTGTTACAGCGCAGTGCTATTTGTGCATATGCTAGCCGCTACTTTTCAATTGTGTTTTGAAACTTTTCAAGTTTACACGGTAAGTAAGGAACGACTTATATAAGTATTTTTTGTTTTTATTTGATTATTTTCGTATATCTTATATTAGAAAGATTAAAAAAAAAAAAAAAAATATATATATATGTATATATATATATATATATATATATATATACATATAAGGCTTTTCCATATTATAATATATTTTAAATATTGTGACATAATTGTACTGTTATATGTTACATTTGACTTGAGAAAAATATCTTCAGATCATAACAGACAAATTAGACGTATCTGCTTTCAAAATGGCTTTTCTCTTATTTTATGTCATTCTTGTGTTAACGCAATTATACATTTATTGTTATTCAGCTGAAAGACTCTTAACAGAGGTAAGATAGTTATGTAAATTAATGGGATTGTGTAAAATAAAAAGTGTAATTTTCAGAGCAGTGGTATGGCACATTGCGTGTATGAATGCAAATGGTATAATATACCGGCCAAAGATGCGAAAAATTTGATATTTATCATACATGGATCTTCAATAGCGCTTAAATTAACAGCTGGAAAATTTGGAATTTTTTCGATGGAGATGTTCGGAGCAGTGAGACATTCTAATTCTTAAATATTCATTTCTTTAATACGTTCTAAATTAAATATCTTCTCATATAGCTTTCTATCTCTGTTTAAATATATAAGACTGTAGCAATTGACTGTAAGCAATTGAAAAGTTGTTCGATTAATATAGGATATAATTTGCATATGGCCAGATTTGTAACTTATACAATATATGTATTAATATCTGCTATCTGATATCGAATTCGATAATTTAGATGATATCGATTTATACCATTTAATCAATATTGATAAATATTAGGTGCAACTGATAAGATTATTACAAATAATTTTAATTGTACATTGATACACAATGTAAATTATTCAAATTATTTAATATCCTTTTCTTGAATAAAAGTAATGGATTAATTCTAACCTATTCAAATTAGTTTAATATTGAAAAATAATGATTAAATCTATAATAAAAGAATAAAATAAATTAATATTATAATAATAATAATAATAATAATAATAATAATAATAATAATAATAATAATAATAATAATAATAATAATAATAAATTAATGTACTTTCCGATGAAAACGGAAATGAACCTTTTTCTTTTCAAATTTAAATTTCATTTCCGGGCAATAGAATTTTCGATTCTAATTAATCTACATAATTTATTGCTAAAGAGGAAAATTGTGTATTTGCAGAAAATATTGTATTATATGTGCATATGTCATTATATTATATATAATTATTATATTTTACTGTAAAAATAAAACAAAATATTTAAATTCTTATTTTTATTTTATTTAGACGCTGAAAACAGCAATGGGATATCTATCTATGTTGTTGACAATAAAAGATTAGAGAAGCTATAATGGAGAAGAAAAAGAAAATAATGTATGTGTATATGTTGGAAATATTGTATGATTCTACATATATGTGTATATATAGAAAATATTATACGTAATATATAGCAATTATTATAAAATCAAACTAAGTGTGCTTAAAAGTATATTATTAATTATTAAAAATGATTAATTATAAATAATTAATTCATTGATTTAATTGATAATTAAAAATGATTAATTTTATTATATTTGCTAAATATATTTTTGCGTCAAAATACATATTCTTTATTTCCTATTAAGCCATATCTAATTATAAATAAATTAAGATGAAGACTAAATTAAACTTTTAAAGTAAATTTTGATCAATAATTTAGTTATTAATTAAATAATTTAGCTTATTATATTTTTTTATTGTATGTAATGTATGTACTTTGTTTCTTGCAAATAAGGAAATAATAATTCTTGTCAAATACAATAATAGTTCGCTTTGATAAATATTTCTGTCTATCCTTTCCTTTTATATTATATTTAATTTATATATTTCGCCTGAATAAATTATTTCATAATAATACGAAAATATAATTACATAATAAAACGAAAATATAATTTAATTTAACATAGAAAGATAATAAAATATAATTTAATTTACTAATATCATTTATATACTTACGTTATTAAAACTTAAAACACATGATACATTTAGTATAATCTAGTTATTAATACAAAATATTGTATTTTTTCGTTTTGATAACACTGCCTCAAAATTAAATCACAATGTTACATGTATCTATTATTTTATAACGTATTTATTATTATTTTGTACATAGATTTTTTTGTTAATTTTCGTTTTTTAACATGATTAATTAATACACAATGTGACACACACACACAACAAAAATAAATTTAAAAGAAAATTAATTTAAAAAAAGAATATTTATATTTTTCACTTTATAACACAATCTTCATTTGAGAATATGAAAATATGCTCTATTTGAAATTCTATACACAGTCAACTTTGAATATGTATCGCAATACACAGTACACTAATCAAACATAACATTCCACTAACACCAACATCAAAAAAATCATAATTCACGAACACACTAATCAAAGAACAATTCACTAATAATGGCATCGTATACAGCGGAACATTGTAATAATCCATGATTTTAATTTGCTGACGTTTTCAAGTCCAATAACAACATCTACAATTTTTATAAAAATAATTCTTTTCTATATAACTTTTTATATAATACTCTCTCTTAATTGTCACTACATTGTAAAGTTATCTGTTTAGCGTTTTTTAATCAATTCAATCCTCTATAACAATATTAGCACATTCTTTTTATTTATTTTTATAAATGCATTCAGCACACATTATATGTCTATAATGCTTATAATTAATTAGTAAATTTTTCTTGATTATCTTTTCTTTCATATGATAATCACTATTTCATCGTTAAATCACTTTGAAATGCTCGTAAGAGTAAAAAGCCACTGACAAAATAACGTTCACTTTCTCAAGTTCAAACTATTTAATTAAATTTCAAGTATATCCCATCATGGAGTCTTCTCTAATACAATACTCGAATCCCCTTACTTTGCTTATAGTCGAAAAGCAAGCGCAGTATTCACTATATTCAGCCCTATGTAGTTGGCAGTTACGTACAACATGAATTACTGTTATATTCGAAAGGGTTTACAGGCAAATGATAGTTGTTGAATCCTTCGTGTACTGAGCAAGCGCAAAATCACGTAACGTTTTTACAATCGCGAAGAGCGATCAGTCAAGCGATAATTTTCACCCTGCGAACATCAATGAATGTCAACAAAGGTAGAATAATTTCGAAAAATAGCAGAAAGATTCGCATCGCAACTAAAAATATAATCCCATTATGTTATAACATAGCTAATATAGTAAAGTATAAAAATCATATATTTTTTATTATCAACGTGCGTTAATAAAAACTGTTCCGATATGAACATATATAAGACTTCAATAAAGATTAATTATTACTTTAAATTTTTATTCGCACGAGTGGTATCGTATTGAAGAAAAATTTACAAATTACAAAAAAATAATTATGTGATTGTTCTTGACATCCAATATGTGCTATCGATAATATTTTCTCAATTTTATACAACTCATGTTATTTTCTTTTATATTCCAATATAAATGAATATAATGTTTATTTATTTTATTAATATTGAAAATGATATGTTTTTCTCAAGGTAAGTATAATCAGTTTTTTGTTAACGTGTTACTTATTAAATTTTTGCTAAATGCAATATATATTATATAATAATATTTGCAGTTTATTTACAGTTTATTTGCAGTTCTATTTACAGTTTACTTGTAAAACATAAAGGGAAAAATTTGTTCTTAACAATTTTTACGCAATCTTGCGAAAATTATGATTTAATACAAGCACTCGTCTATAGATCTTTCAAAAAACTTTGTGTTTCGCGACAGTTTATCAGAGTTCATACTTAAACTTTCTCCACTGGCAAAAAATATTTGCTTTCGACATATAGATTGATCTAAAGTGTTTTTCAACAACAAAGTTGGATATAATGGTATAAATCGAATTATATTAAATTTGTGCTTATATACGAATCATAATTCGTTTCCCTCTAGCACATAAATAGAGATGGAAAATTTTTATGAAAGTTAAAAATTAAATAAAACAGCAATGTTTTCTAGAAGGATATAGCAATATAAGAAAAAATGTTATCAAGAGACTTAAAGTTTATGTAATGTAACTGCATATAAAATAATTACAATGAAATATTATTAATAGAAAATATTAATAAAAATTATTAATAGAAGTATGCTTAATTTAATTTTCAAAATAACATTATCTCTTTTTTTCTCTATTATATATTTCTCAATATTAATATATACGCTGTCTCCTTCAAGTACAAAATAAATATTTTCACAGTCTATATAATAATACTATATAATAATACAATCAATATAATAGATTAGAGAGAAATTAATATAAGTGAATGAAATTCTTTTTCGAGTGCTAATTTAATACATAGATTTGTGAAAAAATCAATCTTTGGATATGTTTTTAAACTAAATATAATTACTTAAAATATATAAATGGAAAGAGAAAATGTTAAGAAATAATATAAAATAATAATGTTACTTCTAAATCAACATTAATGTGATATTTTATCCAAAATTTGTATTTTTGTTAGATTTGAGTTACGCATTTGCTTTGAGTCGACAATGTTTGCGAATGTTAGGTGTATGGCCCGATCCATGTATTCCTTTAAGCAACTTTCGTCGGCCAAGCATAAGATTTATAACTGTTACATGTATTCTGAGTCTTTACGTGATAATACCGCAGTTGACGAATATGATTCGTGCTTGGGGTAATGTGACTCGTATGGTGGAATATATAGCTTCCGCCAATTTCAGTTTGATGGCATTGAGCAAGTTGATCGCTACTTGGTATCATAGCGAAAGTAAGCAATTATTTTGCAACAATAAATACATGGAATAAATATATTTATTTTATTCTAAATATTAAAACAATATTTATAAATAAATATAAACAAACAAATATTATTATAAATAATAAAACAATATAAGTAAATAATACAAATACTAGATTTTCAATTCATATCTAATATTATCATTGTACTATATTTAGATTATTATATTTGTATAATAAAATAGTTTATCTTACGCTTTTATAATTTATATATATGTATATGTATGTGTGTGTGTGTGTGTTTAATTTGAAAGCACTACGAACACTGATGACATCAGTCATGATCGATTGGGTAAATTCATGGAACAATCCTGAAAGAAATACGATGCTGAGACTCGCGAGACGTGGCAGAAGCTTATCTTCTAGATATTATGCATTTGCAACAATAACAGTTTCATTTTACATGTGTTTTAATCTTCTGAAATTTTATCGAAATATTCATCAGCCTCAACGCAGACTGGTCTATCATTTCGTTTATCCTTATAATTCCCAGAAGAGTCCGAACTACGAGATCACATTTATCATCCAGCTTTGTGGCGGATTATGCACAGCACTAATCAATTGTACTGTCGATAGTTTTATCTCAACACTTTTGCTGCATATATGCGCGCAACTAATAAATCTACGAACGACACTCAATAATTTAGTCGATGAACTAGCCAATAAATCCATATCCTCTTCAAAATTTAAGGAAGGCTTAACTGCCATTGCGATACGACATATACATCTTATACGGTATGTCTCAAAGAATTTCCGGCGATCATTTAAATTGTAAAATCTCCATAAATGCACATTAATTTTATAAAATATTTAAAAATGTAAATGAAATATTTAAAACACTAACACATATCGTTTTTTTATGTATCACATGTCATATTATTATACATAGGAGAAATATGTGCAATATTTTATATAAAAAAATCTTATATAAAAAATTTTTTCTTTACGTATAACATATTTCTTAGTGTCAAAAGTATTTTAAAATTTTATAAAATTTAAATATGAAACTCAAAAAATGTAAAATTAATTTATTGAAAAATTATTATATAAAAATTTATTTATTTATTTAAATTTATAATGCGAAATTATTTAATAAAATAATCTATCTCTTTATGTATTCTTTTTTCCAATGCTTTCTTAAATAGAATTAGTGTATTCTCTGATAAGTAATGGTTTCAATATAGCATTGTAAACTACGAAGTGTCACTAATGACAATGAGAAAAATAAGTTAATAGCTATTTTTTTAGTGAAATTTTATTAATATAATCAATGTAGATATTTTCTACGATGTCGAAAACTCCAGGAAGTTATTTTTTGGACAAAGAAAAAAGTTCTTATACATGAATTTAGAAATACTTCCCTGCAGAGTTATAGGTTTTCAAAGTTAAAGAAAAATAAAAGGATTCAGATTATCTTTCATAATTTTTAATTTAGTAATAATAAGTAAAAAAGTATTAACTTGAATAAATTAAATGGTCGAGGTGTTCACCTCACGCAACTACGCACGCTTACATTATTTTAATCATTGAATATGTTTTGATCATTGACTCATAAATTCTAAGCATATTCGAATAGTGTTGAAAACAATTCCATGAAGATCATAAACATAATGTTTATGTTTACGAGGTATGGTTTTGAATTTCGACTAAAAACCTTCAATTAAAAATTGCGAAAGATAATCATACAATTCTTTTATTTTTTTTAACTTTAAAAGCCTATAATTTTGTAGGGAGTCATTTCCGGATCTATATTCATAGGAATATTTTTCTTTAAAGTTGTCCAAGGAATTACTTCCTGGAATTTTCAATATCGCTTAAGAAACACTCTGTATAAAACGAAGAAAAAGCGCATAGATGTGTCTTTTCATTGAAAATCATTAAAAATATTCATGAAAATCAAAAATATTTAATCTTCAGTGAAATCTTGTCTTGCTTTAATCAATATTTTCATTGATTTAGCTTAAGTAGTAAAAATTCATATATTTCATTTCTTTCTACACTTATTCTCATATGTTTGGCTGTACTTTTCTAAATTTTAATTATGATATAAATAAAGTAATTTTTTTATGACAATAATTGCTCATAAGTTTTAATAAAATTAATTTTAAATTAACAATGTGAATAATTTTTGAAGGGATGCAAGAACGATTGACAATTGTTATAGCGCAGTGCTATTTGCGCACATGCTAGCTGCTACTTTTCAACTGTGTTTTGAAACTTTCCAAGTTTACACGGTAAGTAAGGAACGACTTATACAAGTACATTTTCTTTTTATTTGAATATTTTCATATATCTTATATTAGAAAGATTAAAAAAAATATATATACATATAAAGTCTTTTCATATTATAATATATTTTTAATATTATGGCATAATTGTACTGTTATATGCATTTGAACTGAGAAAAATATATATCTTCAGATAATAACAGACAAATTAGATGTATCTACTTTCAAAATGGCTTTTCTCTTATTTTATGTCATTCTTGTGTTAACACAATTATACATTTACTGCTATTCAGCTGAAAGACTTTTAACAGAGGTAAGATAGTTATGTAAATTAATGGAATCTGTGTAAAATGAAAAGTGTAATTTCCAGAGCAGCGGTATGGCACATTGCGTATATGAATGCAAATGGTATAATATACCGGCCAAAGATGCGAAAAATTTGATATTCATTGTACATGGATCTTCAATAGCGCTTAAATTAACAGCTGGAAAATTTGGAAATTTTTCGATGGAGATGTTCGGAACAGTGAGGAACTTATTTTTAAATATTCGTTTTTTAAATACGTTCTAAATTAAATATCTTTTCATATAGCTTCTTATCGCTGTTTAATTATACAGAATTATAAGCAATTGAAAAAAAAATTGATCGATAAATATAGAGTATTATTCGCATACGTTCAGATTGTAACTTATATAATATACGTATTCAAATCTGCAATCGATTTAAATGATACCGATTTATACCAGTTAACTAATATTTATACAAATATTAGATGCAACTGGCAAGATGATTACAAATAATTTTAATTATACATTAATACACAATGTAAATTATTCAAATTATTCAATATCCTTTCCTTAAAAATAAAAATAATGGATTAATTCTAATCTATTTAAATTAGTTTAATATTTATTGAAACATAACGATTAAACCTGTAACAAAGAAATTAATAGTAATATAATAATAATAATAATAATGATAATAATAATGATAATGATAATAATAATAATTAATATATCTTCCGATGAAAACAAAGATGAACTTTTTTCCTTTCAAATTTAAATTTCATTTCCAAGCAATAGAATTTTCGATTCTAATTAATCTACATAATTTATTGTTTAAGAGAAAAATATTGTATAATTTAAATATTATATAATTGCAAGATATTTTGCATATCATATGCGCATATATGATTACATTATAATTATTATTTTACTTTAAAAATAAAAAAAATTTAAATATTCTTATTTTTACTTTGTTTAGACGGTGAAAACAGCAATGGGATACCTATCTATGTTGGTGACAATAAAAGATTAGAAAAGCTATAATAGAAAAGAAAGAGAAAATAATGTATGTGTATTACTAATTATTTGATAATTAAAAATGATTAATTTTATTATATTTGCTAAACATATTTTTGCGTCACAACATTATATACAATATATTGTATATAATGCAAAGTTTTCGAAAAACAATAATTTGCATAATATTGTTTATACAATATTAATATAGTTCATTAGTATATTAATAGATTTAATAGACTAAAAGATTAAAACAAATAGATTAAAACTAATAGATTAAAACAAATGCGGTTAAAATGCCTATTTAAAACGTATTTATTAAAACTTAAAACACATATAGATACAATTTAGTAATTTAGCTTTGATACAAAATATTTCTATCGTTTTGATAACACTTCAAAATTAAATTATAATGTTATATGTATTTATTATTTTATAAGATATTTATTATTATATTGTACATAGATTTTTTTGCTAATTTATCCATTGTTTCTTATCATGACTAAATAATACACAATGTGACACACACACATACACACACACACACAACAAAAATAGATTTAAAAGAAAATTAATTTAAAAAAAGAATATTTTTATTTTTCGTTTTACAACACAATCTTCATTTGAGAATACGAAAATATACGCTATTTAAAATTCTTTACACAGGTCAACTTTGAATATGTTTTGAATTTAATAAATACACAGCGCAATACACAGTACACGCTAATTAAATAATAACATTCCACTAACACCAACATAAAAAATCATAATTCACGAATACACTAATCAAAGAACAATATTTCACTAATATTGGCGCATTGCATATAGCGGATAATTTTGTAATTATCCACGATTTTGATTTGCTAACTTTCAAGTATCGAATAACAATATCTATAATTTTTATAAAAATAATTCTTTGCTATATAACTTTTTATATAATTACTCTCTCTCTTAATTGTTACTACATTGTAAACATGTCCATATAGCGTTTTTCAATAAATTCAATCGTCTATAATATTTATTTTCTCCCTTTCTTCTTATTTCTGAGAAAGCACATTCTTTTTATTTATTCTTATAAATGCATCCAGCCCACATTGTATGTTGATTAATTAAATATTAATTAATTTAAAAATTTTTTTTGATTATCTTTTTTTTCATGTAATGATCACTATTGTAATGATCACTATTTCATCATAAAATCGTTTTGAAGTGTAGCACAAATGCCCGTACAGAAAGCCACTGTGTGTGATAAAACGTTCTCTTTCTCAAGTTAAATTTCAAATAAATCCCATCTTGGAATCTTCTCTAATACGAAACCCGAATCCCCTCACCTTGCTTATAGTCGAAAAGCAAGCGCAGTATTCACTATATATGATTCAGCTCGTTGTGGTTGTCATGGTAGTTACGTACAACATTGCATTACTATTATATTCGAAAGGGTTTACAGATACATTGGCAAAAGTTATTGTCCTTCGTGTACTGAGCAAGCGCAATATCAAGAAGTTTAGTATAATCATGAAAGCGATTCAGTCTAACGATAATTCTTATTCAGTGAACATCAATGACTATTAACAAAGGTATAAAGAATATACCATTTAAATAGCAAATAGCAAATAGCAAATTTTCTCGAATTATAATATTCTTTAAAAATATATATATATTATATGCAAAATATATGTATCAAGTTTTGCAAAATCAACTTTCCTTTTTAAATAAGTGAGAATTGAAGAGAATTGTATTTCAGGTTTTAAATTTTATAAAAAAAACTCGATAACTAGAAATCGTTACTAAATTATTATTTACGTGATGAAATAATTAATATAAAGTCTTTTTAAATTAAGAAAAATTAAAAATGTGTTTATAAATAAAAATCATTTATTTAATTAGTTGCTCATTAAATAAATTACTCTTTTTATGTAACTTTTTTGTAACAAAATTTTTATGTACATTTTTTTATGTATCTTTACATAAAAATATGTAAAGATACATAAAAAAATGTACATAAAAATTTGTATAAGTCAGATTTACATAAATCAGAAAAAAATTAGTTATCTTTATTATATATTTTTAAAATTTTTATTAATTTAATATATACATATATATGCATATATATATATATATATATACATGTTTTTTGTTATATATATTTACTTTTCATTAAAATAAAAATATAATATTTTTGTTAAAATAATTATTCTTCAGATTAATATTTAATACATTATTTATTAAACATTTATTAAATAAGAAATATTTTATACGACAAATATCATATAATAATGTTTGCACATGGTAACTATATTAAAGAGAATAATTCAATCTTAATAATTTGTCGCAAATGTTTACAAAACTTGATAGAACCTTCGATAGAACTTCATGCTACACAAAAGTTTGCCAGAATGGATATTAAAGCTTTATATATCATCAAGAGAAAGGCTTAACATTTAGATCTTAATAGTAAGATTACGTAGACATGATATGTGATTGACATGACATATGAATTATATGTGTATCAATCCACTAATATTTTCTTCAACAGCATATGAACAAAACTATCCAAAATTTTAAAACTTGAAAATCATAAAATAATTAAAATAATTTTTTATCAATATCTTGTGGAAAAAGGAATCTTGTAAAGAAATGTTTGAAATTATATTGTTGTTAAAAACATAATCTTGTCCTAATAGAATAATATTATTTTTTCTTATTTTATCAATTATGTATTTAACTTTATATATTCACTTTCCGATATAAAATTTTTTAAAGAAATATATTAGAAAAAATCTTCAATTTGTAACATTTATATTAATAATTTATGTCAGTCTATAATAAATTTAAAAAATCAATTGTATCCACGATTTTATAGTAGATTTTATGTAACGTTTTATAGTAAACTAAAAAACTACAGTAAACTAAATAAACAAAAAATATTGTATATAAAATTGCTTAAAAATTATAAAATTGTATTAATTATATATACATAATAATAATATGTATTTTATATACATGTATACTATACTGATTGTGAATTACATACAAGAAGACAATGATTACAACAAGCTAGAGTACTATTTATAACACATAGCAATGTAAAAAATTTTTTAAAGGCAGTTTATTACAAATGTCTAAAATGTTGTTGACATTGTAATAATGAACAAATTATATATAACTAAAATGTGCTTTAAAAAGTAGTAGTTTTCAAAATTTTGTCGATAAATTAACGATTACATTTATATTAATAAATATAAATTTACATATAAAAAATCACATTCACATATAAAAAAAATTTGCAAATAATATATTTAAAGAAAAATAATATTTCCTTCTAAATTGTCATTATAAGCAATAATATTTTTTATAAAATATGAATAATTTGTCAGATTTGAATTACGCTTTTACAACGAGCCGTCAATGTATGAAATTATTAGGCATATGGCCCGATCCAAATGTCCCTTTGAATGTTTTTCGTCGACCAAAAATAGAATTCATGCTTGCTACGTGTATTATGAGTGTTTATGTATTCACCCCACAAATAATAAATACGATCCGAGCTTGGGGTAATATAAGTCGAGTGGTGGAACTCTTTGTCACCGCTAATTTTAGCATGATGTCAATAGGCAAGATGATTATAACCAGATATCACGGCGAGAGTAAGTTATTATTTTGTAACAAATAAATACCAAATAGATTTGTATTTATCATAAGTAAAGTCTAAGATTGCTGTTGTATAATAATTTTTGTATGTAAAAATAACTTACTTTACATTTATATTAATAAATATAAATGTAAATAATACAGCCTTGTTTAATTTGAAAGAACTTCGATTGCTTATTTCATCGATGATGACTGATTGGATGACTTCCACGAGCAATTGGGAACGAAACATAATGTTGAAGCTAGCAAAAACTGGTAGAAGGTTAAATTTTGGATATTTCATAGCTGCAATCGGTACAATTACATTTGCTTTTTATGTACGCCTTGAAAATGTTTTACAAACCATGCACCAGCCTCGACGATACCTTCCCTACCGGTTTGATTACATTCAAAAAAGTCCAAATTATGAAATCACCACTTTTATACAAATTTGCGGCGGTGCATACGCAGTTCTCGGCAATTATAGCGTCGACAGCTTCATCTCGATACTCCTTTTGCATATATGCGCACAATTAATAAATCTACAAATTACGCTCAACAATTTGATCGACAAATTAGACAACAAATCTATATCTTCTTTGACATTTCGAAAAGGCCTAACTGCGATCATCATACGACATGAGCATCTAATAAGGTATGCTTAGAAACTTTTAGCGTATTATATAATATTTTAAAATATTTATAGATAAAAAGAAACATTTATCTAAGCGAAAATAAAATCAAATAATAATTAATATTTAATAAGAAATTATATATACGAGTGAAATGCAGTGTGTGCACAAAATTTTGTTCTTTTTCTTTACATTAGATATGTATTACAATTAAATTTTCATATTTTTAAACTTATTACGAGCAGACGAGTCTCTCTTTTACTCACATATCTCTTTTATTTTGTCATTCAAATATTTTATTTGATATATATTGAAGATCTCATTTTGATTATGTAGGATATTTTCATTTTATGCATATGGTGTGTGTGTGTGTGTGCGCGCGCTCGGGCATGCGTCCCAAGTAATAAGTGTGAAATAACAGAAGATTAATGCAAAAGAAGCGAGTTAAGAATTCCAAAGTTTAATTTTATACTTTTAAAAGTGATAACATATTAAAACTACATCAAATTTAAATATACCTAATAAAAAATATAATTTTTTTTATTTTATAAATTTAAAATAACTTTTTTTTAAAGATTTTTACATTGTAAAATTCTCTAATTATAAGTCAATAATATATGAGTATGTCATATACGAATTTTCAAGGGATGCAAAGATGATCAACGATTGCTACAGCTCAATATTATTTGTGCACATGCTATGCGCTTCTTTGCATTTATGTCTTGTAACTTTTCAGATTTTCACGGTAAGTGAAACAATTTGTACGTGTATGTATAATCTCTAAATTACTTTACAAACTATATGATCTCTATATCATTTTACAGAAAAATTAAATATTTAAGAATATTTAATATATTAGAATATTTAAAATTTATTTCGAATTTAATTAAAAGAAATTTAATATAAAAATTTAATATAAAAAAATTTAATATAAAAAAATTTAATATAAAAAAATTTAATTTGAATTTTGAAAAACATTTTTAAAAAACATTTTTAGATTATAATATTATAATACATTAGAATTATATACCACATAATGTACTATTTTACTATTCTATTACTTATAAAAAAATATTATTTTCAGATGATAACAGATAATTTTAATATTTCTATTATCAAAGTAATATTTCTCACGATTTATATATTTCTCGTGTTGACACAATTATATGTTTATTGTTATGCCGCTGAAACACTCTCAACGGAGGTAAACTAATTACATTAACGCTACTTATATAAGATAAAAATATAATTTTTTTTAGAGTATTAATATGGCGTTCGGCGTGTATAACTGCAAATGGTATAATATACCGGCGAAAGATGCGAAAGATTTGATGTTCATCGTATATCGATCTGTGATATCTCTTAAATTGACAGCTGGAATATTTGGAAATTTTTCAGTAGAATTGTTCGGAATAGTAAGACATATATCTATAAAAATATACTATTTTCATGCAATATATTATATACTATATTACTTTATATGCAATCGTTATACAAAAGTGTATTCATTTCTTTAATTTTAATTTTCAAAATATTTCACTTTATTTTTATTTTATATTATATATTATGTACATATTTCTTTCCTTATTATCTATTGTATATTATAATTTAAATTTTATCTACAATTTTTACTTTATTTAGGCGGTAAAAACGTCAATGGGATATTTGTCTGCGTTACTAACAATAAGAGAGTAAGGAAAATAATATATAATTAATTCTCTATATAACCGATTATATCGACTTTCAAATAATACAATTAATAGACTTACATGCACTTCCTGTAATATCATTTCAATTGAATAAATATACATTTGTGTGCAACGAATAAAATTATTTATTTGTTTCCGTTGGCTAATGTATGTGTTATATAATGTAAAAGATTGAATATAATTATAAACACGATTATAAATGAAAATATAAATTTTAAAGAATAGAAATTATTTAATTTCAGTGTCATTTAAGTAAACATTTAATATATTTTAATTTATCCAATCTTACACTTACAGAGACATTTTCACCCATTATAAACATTATTTAGCATTGCGCGTTTAAGATTACACATGCATCTATTGAATTCATTGAGAGGTTAAGATTTATAATTGATGTAATAAATAGCGGCGATTCTTATAATAAAATTCTTGTATATAAAACATTTTTTGATATCTTGAATAATTTTGGAGATATGTCGAAAAAAGCAAAAAGGGCTCTCTTTATATACGAAGAGTAATTTCATCTCTCTTAGAATCGTTTTTATTAAATCATAATGCTATACATATCTATCGTTAAATTTTATCATTTATCATTGAATATTATACTTTTTGTACATTTATTAATTTATTCACCGTTTTTAGCATCATTAAAAATATGTACCGCATACGCAATAAGAGAGGGAGAGATACACATTATAAAATAGTTTAAAATAATTTAAGAAATGTTTACATATTTCACCTTACAAAATAACAACCTTCATTAGAGAATCTAAATATTAGATAATGTTATATAGAATCTTCTACATCATACAAAGATCAATTTTCCCTTTTTATCACAATACATCGTATAATCAAAGAACAATATTTCACTAACACATACATCGTATAATCAAAGAACAATATTTCACTAACACATCAATTTCATAAAATAGCTTTCACGAGCACACTAATCAAAGAACAACATCTCACTAATATTGACACTTTACATATATTAAAACTTTGTAAGACTCCATGCGTCGATTTTCTAAAGTGTCAAATAATAAAATTTAATAAATTACAATTTTTGTAAAAACAAATTTTTCAAACAAATTTTTCTCTTAAATTTTGCCACTATTGACATGTCCGTAAAGCATTTATTAATAAATTCGATCCTCTGTAATAATATTTGCATTCTATCTTTGACTATTTTATATCTATAATATTCTAAAGGAGCATCATTTTGTTGTTTATTCTTATGTATCTGTACACTACGCGTACACTATGCGTATGTATGTATAAACTTTTCTTTTTTTATGATAATCATTTCATCATTAAATCGCTATGAAATGCACGAGAAATTATTATAAAATAATGTTCTCTTTCTGAAGTTGAGTTTCGAGTAAATCTCATCTTGGAATCCTCTATAATTTGAAACTTAAATCCCCTCATCTTGCTTATAGTCGAAAGACAAATGCTATATTCATAATATACGATTCAGTCTATCATAGTTGTCATGGTAGTTACATAGTAGTTACACGTATTTTTACATTCGAGAAGTTTATAGACATGTTGGCAAATAATAGTTGTTAAATCCTTCGTGTATACTGAGCAAGCGCAAAATCAAGAGAGTTTGGTATAATCATGAAGAGCGACACAGTCTAATAATAATTCTTACTCAGTGAACATCAATGAATGCCAACAAAGGTGGAATATATCTCAGAAAAATAGCAAATTTGCTCACATTACAATATTCTCTAAATATATATAATGGCATTATATGCAAAATCGTTATATGTCAAGTTTATCAAAATTAAATTCTTTGTTTCAATAAATAAGAATTGAAGAAATTTGCACATTTCAGTTAAATTTTATTAAAAAAACTTGTAATATAATTAATGTTATTTTTTTTTAATTAAAAAAATAAAATTAAGGAAGTGTTTATAAATAAAAATTGCTTATTTAATTAATTACTCATTAAATAAATTGCTCAATGCTAAATGCATAAAAATATTTGCATATATTTAACAATTCTTTATATTAAATGAAGAGAGTAATTCCTTTTTAATTTGCAGAGGCTTACAAATCTCGTAATTTTTTTCAACATGTCTATAGGCCTTCGATAGAACTTCATGTTTCACGAAAGTTTGCTAAAATAGATATTGATACATCAGCAAAAAAAATTTACTTTTGACATTGAGATTGTATCAAAATCTTTTTAGTAGTAAGATTGAGCATGATATATATAGGAAATGATTGATTTACATATGTATCAGTTAACTAATATTTAAAATAAAATAAAGATAGGAAGGCGAACTAATATTTGTTTACTTTTGACATTGAGATTGTATCAAAGTCTTTTTAGTAGTAAGATTGGGCATGAAATATATATAAAATGATTGATTTATATATGTATTAGTCAACTAATATTTGTTCTTATATTTAAATAGAATTATCAAAAATTATAATTCTTCGAAAATCAAAAAATAGTTAAAACAATTTCTCACATCAATATATTAATATAAAATCTAGGAAAAGAATATTTTGTGACAAGAGAGATTTTTAAAGCTTACATTATTACTAAAATAATTTTCAATCTTGTTGTAGTAGAAATATATTATTATATTATAATATTATTTTATTTATTTTGTTATATATCAAAATTAATATTCGTTTTACGAATATAAACTTTCTTAGAAAATAATAAAAAAATTTTTTATCATATTCATAAATGTCTACTGACATTCATAAATGTCAGTAAACTTAAAAGATTTATATAAAGATTAATCTACAAATTAATTTTATTCTTTATGATATAGTTTTCTTTGTAATAATTTCCATGATTTTACAGGTATTTACAATAAACTATAAAAAGTTGTTGCATATAAAGCTGCTTAAAACTATTATATATTAATAATTACATATATATAAAATTGTATATTATATATATATATATATATATATATATATATATATACACATGTATATCGAGTTATACAAGACAACAACAATGACGTCAGCAATGTGAAGTACTACTAAAACATAGTATTATAAAGATTTTCTAAATACAGTTTCAATGAAAATGCCAAAAATTGTTGATATTGTAATGATGAACAAATTATGTGTAAACTATAAAATATGGATAAAAAATCAAAAAAGTTTTGAGGTTTTGTCAATAAATTAACGATTACATTTAATAAATATAAATTTACATATAAAAATATTCACATATAAAAAAAAATTTGCAAATAATATATTTAAAGAAAAATAATATTTCCTTCTAAATTGTCATTATAAGCAATAATATTTTTTATAAAATATGAATAATTTGTCAGATTTGAATTACGCTTTTACAACGAGCCGTCAATGTATGAGGTTATTAGGCATATGGCCCGATCCAAATGTCCCTTTAAACGTTTTTCATCGATCGAAAGTAGGATTCATGCTTGCTATGTGTATTATGAGTCTTTATGTATTCACCCCGCAAGTAATAAATGTGATCCGTGCTTGGGGTAACGTCAGTCGTATGGTTGAATTTTTTGTCGCCGCCAATTTCAGTTTGATGGCATTATGCAAACTGATTATTACTAGATATCACGGAGAGAGTAAGTTCTTATTTTGTAGCAATAGAAATGGAAACTAGATTTGTCTTTATTATAATACAAATATTAATGTTGAATTATCCTTATTAAAATTGAGACTGCCAGTGTACATAATAATTGTTTTTATATAAAAATAATTTGTTTTACATTTATATCAGTAATAATATAGCTATCTTTAATTTGGAAGAACTTCGAATGATAATTGCATCGATTATGACGGATTGGATGACTTCGAAGAGTCAGCTGGAACAAAAAACAATGTTAAAGCTAGCTAGAAGTGGCAGAAGTTTGTCTTTTGGATACTTCGTAATTGTAATAGGCACACTTATAGCTGCTTATTATGCACATATTGGGAGTATCTTTCGAAACATTCACCAATCTCGACGATACCTTATTTACCGTTTCGATTACATTCAAAAAAGTCCGAATTATGAAATCACCTACTTTATTCAACTTTGCGGCGGTACGTATGCAATTTTCAGCAACTATAGTGTCGACAGCTTCATTTCGATACTCCTCTTGCATATGTGCGCGCAACTAATAAATCTACGAACTACACTCAATAATTTGATCGATGAATTAAACAACAAGCCTATATCTTCCTGGACATTTAGAAAAGGCCTAGCTGCGATTATTATACGACACGAGTATCTAATAAGGTATACTTAGGAACTTTCAATGCATCATGTAATATTTTGAAGTATTTATATGATAAGAAAGAGAATATTATTTCATATATAATAAATTTTATTTTATAAATTCAAAATTTAAAATAATATTTTTTAAAGATTTCTATATTGTAAACTTCTCTAATTAATACATATATAATTAATAACATATGCATATGTAATGTATTACTTTTCAAGGAGTACAAAAACAATCGATGATTGCTACAGCCCAGTATTATTTGTACACATGCTAAGTGCTACTTTTCAATTATGTCTTGTAACTTTTCAGATTTTTACGGTAAGCGAAACAATTCACATATGTCTGTGTGTGTGCAATCTTTATATTATTTTACAGTAGAAATAAATATGTACAATTTAATAAAATCAAATAAAAAATTAAATATGAAACTTTATAAAAACAAATTATTTTCAGATATATATTATATATATTATAATATATAATATATATATATATATATATATATATATATAACATACATCGCGTTAAAATTATAAGACATAATGTGCTATCACTATTGCAACTATTACATTAAAAAAAGTGTTATTCTTTTAGATGATAACTGATAATTTGGACGTTTCTTTTATAAAAATAATGTTTTTCGCATTTTATATCTTACTAGTGCTGATACAATTATACATTTATTGTTATGCCGCTGAAAGACTCTTAACCGAGGTAAACAAATTATTTACATCAACGTTACTTATGTAAAACAAAAATGTAATTTTTCTAGAGTACTAATATGGCATATGGCGTGTATGGATGCAAATGGTACAATATATCGGCGAAAAATGCAAAGGATTTGATGTTTATCGTATATCGATCTGCGATTTCGCTTAAATTGACAGCTGGAAAATTTGGAAATTTTTCATTAGAATTGTTTGGAATAGTAAGATATATATGTACAAGAGAAAACATATTGCTTTACATGCAATATCTTATACGAAACTATTTAATTCTATTTTTGTTTTACATTATATATTATGTATATATTTCTCTCTTTGTATATATTATATATGATAATTCATTACATTACTATTATCTGTCAAAATGAAATTTAATATTTTATCTATAATTTTTACTTTATTTAGGCGGTAAAAACATCAATGGGATATTTATCTGCGTTATTAACAATAAGAGAGTAAAGAAAATAATGTTGAATTTTGTATAATCAATTATCGATTTTCGAATAATGTAATTAACAAATTTTTACCTGTAACACCACTTTTACTGAATAAATATACATTTGCACTCAATGAAGTTCTTAATTTATTCCTCTTCTTTATTGATTAATATTTTTAAAAAATTGAAGAAAATTGATTGATAAGAAAAGAATAGTCTTAGTCCACAGATAAATATATAATAAAAAGTTGTTACAGATTTTTTATAATGAAAAGAATGAAAATATGTTATTAATTTTAACAATTCTCTCAAAAGAAAAATATATATAAGAAAAAAATTTATGTTGTATCTCCGATATATTTTTGCACGTAAAATCACTTGATTTTAAGTTAATTATTTAAACCTTTATATATATTTATATTTTTTATACAATATATTATGGCTGTAAATAAATATTTCTTATTATATGCGTGTTATTTTAATCTGGGCTGCTTTTACTTTAATGACATATAGATCTTGAACGAAGAAGCTAAAGAAAGATATTCACAAGCGAGTATATTCAGCAAATAAGTAACTAACTCATAATAAAAAAATAAGTATTCCACACATATCTGATTCAACAGTAATTATATGTTCGTGCCATTATCGATTGTTCGATAAGGTTTAAAGAGATGGTAGCGAGTTATTCTTTGTGTACTGAGCAAGCGCGAAATGATGCCAGTTTGGTAAAATCACGAAGAGCGATTCAGTCTAACTATAATTTTTGCTCTGTGAACACTAATGAATATCAATAAAGGTAGAATATGTTTCCGAAAGATGGCAAAAAGTCATATATTTTACTAAAAATTATAATTGTTTTATGTGAAATAGTTATGTAATGTAGTAGAATATAAAAATCACAAGATTTTATGTTGATGTGTGTCTACATGTGTGTAGTAATTTAAACTTCTATAAAAAAACTCTGAGAAAGATTAATTATCACCAAATATCATCCACGAGTATTTACGAAAAGTGTACACATTACAAAGTAATTTACTTTATATGATATACGTTATTTTTTACAGTAGATGTATCGGAAGATATGTGTTGTGTTTAATATTTTCTTAAGCTTATGCTCTTGTGTGTGTTGATTAAATTTGAAATATTTTATTTTTATTTCATATATGTAGTTATTATATATATGTTATTAACATAAAAAAATATTTCTTCGCCTAAAGATGATTATCTTGTTTTTGTTATTTTCTTTATTAAAAGTTTATTAACTAAAAATTATGCAGAAGAAAATAATACATAATAATAATTACATAATTAAAGATTATTTATTAAATAAAGAGAACATTTCGTTCTTACAATTAATATTTTGTTTCAAACATTCGCAAGAGTTATGGTTTATTTGCAGTTGTCTATAGATCACTTCTAAAACTTCATATTCTCCATGAAAGTTTTTCAAAGTTGATATTAAACTTTGTATGTCCGCAAAAAATGTTTGCTTTCGAACGTAGGATATAGACATGTTTTTTAGTTGCAAAGTTGTAAAGTTGCAACGTGCATAAATCAAATGACTGTTGTTGAACCAAATGAATCGTTCTTTGTTTCCTCTCATAAAAGCAGAATTGTAGAAAAGTTTAACTTCTAGGAAATGAAAATAAAATTGAAACACCGATTTTATTTCAGAGGATGATAATGTAAAAGTCTTGCAGAAATACATCCCTCTTGCAAAAAAAATTTACACTTTAAGCGAGGAAAACATAAGATAAAAACTGTACATGTGTGTGTAAAAATAGTGTATTTTAAAGCACAAATAAATGATTGTTTAAACATGTAAAACTTTATTTCAACAAAATTATATTATTCTACTAAATGATATTATTCTATTTTTTATTAATTATTTATCAACATTATTATTTTTTAATCAACTTATAATCCTAAAATTAATTGTTATTTTTATAGTATTTTACAATAAGCAAAATATAATAAAAATTTCCTGTCACTGCTATGAATTCAAAACGTGAATAAATAAATATTAAGTTCATAAACTCATATTAATAAATGATTAATAAATTTAATTTAATTTAATTTAATTATATTAATAAATAATTATACACATATAAAGAAAGAAAAAAATAATTCAAAATACGTTTTATTTTATTTTTTTAAATATTCTTTCAGAGATATTATTTATAAAATTTGAATTTTTCCTTAGATTTGAGTTATGCATTTACCATGAGCCGTCAATGTTTATGGCTATTAGGCGTTTGGCCCGATCCACAAGTCTCTTTGAATATTTTTCGACCGAATATAAGATTCATGATCGTTACCTGTATTTTAAGTCTCTATGTGATCGTGCCGCAATTGACGAATATGATTCGTGCTTGGGGTGATGTGGGTCGGATGATAGAGTACGTAGCCTCTGCCAACTTTGGTTTGATGGCATTATGCAAGTTAGTTGCTACTTGGTATCATGGGGAAAGTGAGTTAATATTTTATGACGATAAAGATACGTAAATTAATCTTTACCGTCAGTAATATAAATATCAAGGTGTACTTTTTCGTCTAAAACTGTCATTGTACACCAGTCCTTTTTATAGAATTTTATTATATGATTTGCTTTGCAATTTATACTGATATATATTACGTTTAATTTGATGGAAGCACTTCGTACACTGATGACATCGATCGTAACTGATTGGAGAATTTCGAGGAACAATTGGGAACGAGATGCAATGTTAAATATTGCGAGACGCGGCAGAAGTTTATCTTTCAAATGTTGTCTGGCTGCAACATGCACAGTAACATTTTATGTATCTTTCAATCTCATAAAGTTTTATCGAAACATGTATTTGCCGCAACGTAGTTTGGTATATCGCTTCGCATATCCATACAACATTCAGAAGAGTCCAAACTATGAAATCACTTTTTTCATTCAACTTTCCGGCGGTGTATATTCAGCCATCATTAATTGTTCCGTCGATTGCTTCATCTCGATACTTTTGCTACACGTATGTGCACAGCTGATAAACCTACGGACAACACTTAACAATCTTGTTAGCGAATTAGCCAATAGATCCATATCATCTTCGAAATTTAAAGAAGGTCTAACTGCGATTGCTATACGACATCAACATCTCATCAGGTACGCTGAATGACTTCTGATGAAATTAAAAGATACAAGTATTTATTTAGTAATAGTAGCTTAATTATGAAATATTTAAATATTAAGTTTAATATTTTTGTGTTCTTTTTTCTATAAAAAGAAGCATATATAATATAATATCTTACAAACAATATCTTTTTAATAAAAACTTTTTTAAGGACTCATAATATATGATCCTAAATATCGAAAATTTGAATCAGATTTAGAAATATAGAAAAGAATAAAAAATTAAATATTAATTTTAAAATTATAATTAAATTATTATAAGATTTGTACATATATCTATATATATATATATATACATATATATATATATATAATATATATAATATACATATAATATACATAAATATACATATAATATACATATATGTATACAATATATATAGGAATAAAATATTTTTTAAAGATTTGCGAAGACAGTTGACGACTGTTACAGCGCAGTGTTATTTGTACATATGTTAGCTGCTACTTTTCAACTGTGTTTTGAAACTTTTCAAGTTTACACAGTAAGTAAGACAAATGTAAGACTTATATAAAAGTATGTCTTACATTCATTTTATTTGAATATTCGCATATCATGAAATAAAAGATTGGAAAAAGAATATATATATATATATATATATATATATATATATATAAAATTATAAACTTTTTTCATTTAACTTAAATATTGTGGCATAATTATATTATTATACATGTGCACATATTTGAACCGAAAAATGCATATTAATTTTTAGATGATAACAGACAAATTGGATATATCTGTTATCAAAATAACTTTCCTTACATTTTATATCACTCTTGTGCTGACGCATTTGTATATTTATTGCTATTCGGCTGAAAGACTTTTAACGGAGGTAAGACAGTTATTGTATATTAACGCGATTTGTGTGCAAAACAAAAATATAATTTTCAGAGCACCAATATAGCATATGGCGTATATGAATGCAAATGGTATAATATACCGGCCAAAGATGCAAAGATCTTAATGTTTATTGTACATGGATCTACAATTCCACTTAAATTGACAGCTGGAAAATTCGGAGTTTTTTCGATAGAAATGTTCGGAACAGTAAGTATCTATAAAACTCGATTTATTTTTCTCAGACAGAAATATTTACTTTTTTAGTTCATAAATAATTATTTTATATTATTATTTTAGTTCATAAATAATTATTTTATTTATGTTTTATTATGCAGAGATAATGTTTTAGAAATACAAGTAAAAAAACTGTAGAAACATATATCTTGCGTGTGCGTGCGCGTGTGTGTGTGCGTGCATATCTTACATGATAAAAGAAGATCCCTTTGTTTGACCACTTATTTTCAAAATATTTTAAATATAATGCGTGTATATATCTGTGCGTGTGTGTATTAAATTTTAAATATACAAAATATTTTCGGTTTAAATTATTAAATATACAATCTAAGTTGAAAATGTCAAAATAAAAGAAATAATAAGAAATATCTAAAAATATGTTTGTAAACGCTTCGTTATAGAGATATTAATATTATAACATGCGAAGAAGAAACATTTAGTTATTATTAGTATTTAGTTATAGAATAAAACAATTAGTACAAATTAATATAAATTTTAATCTTAAAAAATTATAACAGAAGCGCATTCCACGTGTGCTTAAAATTTGTTTATAAATACTTCATTATTTGTCATTTTCCCGTCCAACATTTTTTCATCTAATTATTTCTTGTGTAAGATAATTTATTCTCATGACGATTTTTTCATATATATTTAACATTTCATTGTTTAAATTCTTTCCCGGTGTATAATACATTTTTTGATATTTGTAAACTTATCAATTTATCATGTACAAAGTACTAAAATTATCATTTTAATTCCAATTTAATATATATTTAATACCTAAGTCTAATTTAACTTATCTAACTTACCTAATTGAATTTTAATTCTAATTTATATACTACCCTAAAATTTAAATTCTAATTTAACTAACCATAGAATCTAAACCATAAAATTTTATAAAGATGCTTAAAAACTTTATAGAAATGAAATTATATAGGAATAAAGATGAAATTTATATTCCGTTTGGATAAAACTTAAACAGTGAAATGTTGAATAGAGAATTTTGCTGAATTCTTAGTGAAATATATTGAATCTTAAAATAAAAAAATAAAATATTAGACGGAGAAATACTAGATTTATTATAAATATATTTCACATATATGAAATATATATATATATATATATATATATATATATATATATACATATTTTACATGATCCACACTGTTATCTTAATTTCTAAAAATAAAACTATGTTTAATTTTTATTTTGTTTAGACAGTAAAAACATCAATGGGATACTTATCTGCGTTGCTAACAATGAAGGATTAAAAATAACAACATTAAAAATCGAACTAATTGCATATGATTGATTCCTGTCTGTTTTCTAATAATTCAATAAACAGATTTATACATATTTGTAATTTTTGCTGAATAAATATATGCCTGTGTGCGTAATAAAATGAGCTACTTATTCGTCTACACCTGCAATATAGAAAAAAATTAAAAAGGTAAAAAAAAAGAAAATAAAAAATTGTTTTCTCCTTTTCTCAGAAGATAATTTCTCAGAATCTATAATTTCTCAGAATTCATAATTTCTCAGAATCTATAATTTCAAGAATTAAATTTTCACTTAAGCCAAAAATTCATCATTGACAAAATAAAATTACAGATTTCTTTTTTTTTCAGTATTATTTCAAACTCTTCGATGATTTTGAAATTTGTAACACTTATCTTTCAATATTGATCAGAAAAATTATTGATGAAATGTTACAAAAAACACATTTCGTATTTTATAATAAAAAACATATTATCTTATGACATGTATTTGAAATAATGAGAGATATATAATAGCACTAATATTTTGATAACGTTATTATCCGTATGCATTCAGATGAAATAAAAAAACAATTTCATTGTACATAAGATGTGTATTTAGATCAGATTCCATTAGTTGAGCTTATAGCATGCCTAATGAATATAATAAAAGTATATTTAATATAATTATTAAATATATATATATATATATATATATATATATATATTTAATTTTAATCTGATAATATTCTGATTTATCTATAATTATATTTAGCAGTAAAATTTTGAGTGTTATAAGTTAAGATTAAAATAATTTTTGTGGTGAAAAGATATCAACATTATTCGATGATTGGATAAATTGAATCCAATAAAATTTATATTTTCTTTCTGTTTTTTCACTTTAATAATAATAATATTTTTATGAAGCACATTAGTATATAGCCTTTTTGTATTTTCTTTATATATGCATCTGAATAATTGCATGTATATCTTTTCTTGGATCTTTTCTTTTCTTCATGATAATCATTATTTAATCGTCGAATTGCTCTAAAATATAAAATTACATATACAAAAAGTATACATTATGTGAATATTTATTTTTCAAATAGAAATCTTGGAAAAAACTATATAATAATAAACACTTTTAAGCTATGAATGTTTAATATTATTAATTTATAATTTAATAAATAAAAATAAATATTAATTAATTAATAAAAATTGAAAATTAATAAATTAAAAATGAAAAATTAATATAAGCAAATTATTTTGTTGGTAAATAATAAATAAGAAAATAAAATTTTTCTTCTAAATTAACATTATAAGCAACATTTCTTATAATATTTCTTTTCAAATCTGTAATGATTAGGAAATAACGATAACAATTACAATATTTTAACAATTAAATATTTATTTGGATTTATGAATATTAATATTGTATTTTTGTATTATCCAAAATAATATAAAATTTTTAAATATTAATAATTTATGCGAATTAATATTTACAAGCATATGCAGATACAATTCGGTTAAATTCAATTTTTACTTTGATACAAAATATTATGCTCCTTCTTTTTTAGTTCGATAATATACTGCCCTAAAATTATACGATAATATCATATACATGTATATCATATATTTTTATTAACTGTCACTTAATAATATATTTTAGGTATGATATGCTATCTTATTCAACATCGTTAAAGATATAATAAACACTATATATTCACAATATCACGCACAATAAAAAAATAATTTCTAATAAAGTATTTAATTAAAAACAATTCATATTTTATGTGTGTGCACTTTAATAACATAACAATATTCATTTGAGAATGTAAATATACACTACGTATACATTCTCTACATCATACACAGATCAACTTTATTCCATTTTTAGTAATATATATATTGTGCACTAATCGAATACAATATTTCACCCACCAATATCATAAAATAATGCTTTACACAAATCACAATGAATAACTTTTCACTTAATTTCATTATATATTGTCGGAACACTTTATAACACTTCGTGGTTCGATTTTTTCAAGCACCGAATAATAACATTGATGTTTATAAGAATAAATTTTTTGTATATTTATTCTTTCTCTTAGATTTTGCGTAGGCATATGTGCATAGCGTTTTAATAAATTCGAAACTCTATAATAATATTATGCGTAATATTTGCATTTGCTCTTTTTTCTCTTTCGTTCATATTTACAATAACCTGAAGAATAATCTCGTTTTTTTGTTATAAATGCATCTGACGCATATACAGGAAATAGAGACAATAATGTAAATACCTGAAAAATAAATACTACATTTATTTATTAATAAGATATTGGACTACCATTTGCTTTTAATACAACGTCAATTCTCTTTAAAATAGAATCCATCATCTTATTAATAAACAAATATAATGTATTTTTTAAGTGTTTATATTATTTTGTCTACCCCTTGTACATGTATATGCATTGTGTAAAATTTTCTAAATCCCTTGTTTTTTTCGTGATAATCATTAAACCGTTTTAAAATCCACAGCTGTCCTGCACAAAAGATGTCACTGATAATATAATATTATGTTTTTATTCTACAATTGAGTTTCAAATAAATTTCTCTTTGGATTTCTCTAAATGAAATCTGAATTCCCTTACCTTGCTTATAGTCGAAAAGCAAGTGCTGTCTTCACAATGTAATGTAGTTCATCGCCGTTGTTATGGTAGTTACGTACACATATTACTATGATTCGAAAGAGTTTATAGACACATTGATAAATGTAGTAGTTGAATCCTTCATGTACTGAGCAAGCGCAAAATTAAAGCGCTTTCGTATAATCGTGAAGAATAATACAGTCTAACGATAATTTTCATTCAGTGAACATCAATGAATACCAATAAAGGTAGAATATAACTTAGAAAAATAATAAATTTGCCGACATTACAATATTCTCCACAAAAAGAATATATATATATATATATATATATATATATATATATATATAATATCAGGTTTAAAAACAGATTGCTCTCTCTCAAATAAGTGATAAAAACTTAGCGTTCTAATTTAAACTTTATAAAAAATGTCAGTATTAATTAATCATTACTAAATTATTATCCATATGAAGAAATGAAGAAATTAATATTTCTAAATTAACAAAATAAAAATAATAAAATATTTGTAATCACAATAATATTTGTAATAATATTAAGAATCGTCTATCTAATAAATTGCACATAAATTATTCTTTTTATATAACAAATTATTCTTTTATATTCGGGAAAAAAAAATATATATATATATATTATAAATATATAGAAAAAATATATATTATGTTTATTACGTTTTTACATTTTATACTAATTTAATAATTAATAATTAATTTATATACATTACATCTTACATTATATTGTTTACATTATTATGTTACTTTTTATTAATATAAAAAAATAGTTTTTCCGTTAAAATTATTATTCTTCTGATTGAGAGATTTCCAGTACATTTATTTATTACACATTTATTAAATAAGAAATATTTTATACGATAAATATTATATAATAACACACACTTGCACAGTTTAACAGTTTAACAGTTCTCTATATTACATAAAGAGAAAAATTCACCCTTCGTAATTTTTTGCAAAGCTTTGTATAACTCGTCATTTTTTACAAGCAATCTATAGACCTGTCAAACTTCGTGAAAGTTTGTCAGAGTGAATATTAATTTATTTTACCAGCAAAATATGATTCGCAAAAACGTTTATTTCCGACATTCAAATTGTATTGTAAGTGTTTTTAATAATAAGAGGTACATGTAAATTAAATGATTGATTTATATCAATCGACTATTTTCTCCAATGAGATATATATATATATATATATATATATATATATATATATATCTCATTGAACAGAATTATCAAAAAATGTAAAATAAAAATCGAAAAATAATTAAAGCAATTTTTTATCAATATGATAACACAAAATCGTGTCAAAAAATGTCTTGTGAAGAGAGAGATTTTTGAAACTACATTATTTCTAAAAACATTTTCAATCTTATTCTAATATAATAATATTGTTTTCTTACTTTGTCTCTATTTACTTTGTGAATATAAACATATATTTATTATTCACTCTCTGAATATAAACATTTTTATAAAGATATATTAAAAAGAATTCTTTAACATTTATGTTAATCATTTATATTGATTTATATCGATTTATTATAAATTTAAAAGATTAAGAAACTTAATGCTTTCTTTAAATTATCATTATAAGCAATAGTGTCTTTTCTAAAATATGAATAATTCGTTAGATTTAAATTACGCACTTCAATTAAGTCGCCAATGTTTGCGGCTAATAGGAGTATGGCCCGACCCACACATCAGTTTGAGTGATTTTCGTCGGATACGCATAAGATTCATAATAGCTATATGTGCTGTGAGTATTTACATATTTACTCCACAAGCAATAAATTTGATCCGTGCTTGGGGTAATGTGAATCGAATGATGGAATGCTTTGTTGCCGCTAATTTCAGCATGATGGCAATAAGTAAGCTGGTTGTTACTAAATATCATGGCAAGAGTAAGTTATTATTTTGTAACAACAAGAATGCAAAATAGATTTGTATTTATATAAATAACACAAATGTTAATGTTTGTTATTCTCACTATCTCAGATTGTCATTATATAACAATTCATTTAATATAAGGATAACTTACTACATATTTATACTAATAATAACATAGTTATGTTTTCTTTAAAGAACTTCGAACATTAATTGCATCGATTATGACTGATTGGATGACTTCAAATAATAATTCCGAACGAAATAAAATATTGAAGCTGGGAAAAAATTCTAAAAATTTATCTTTTGGATATTTCATAGCTACAGTAGGCACAACTATGCTTGCTGTTTATGTACGTCTTGAGGGTGTCTTTCGAAACATTCACAAGCCTCGACGACACCTTCCTTATCGGTTTGATTACATTCAAAAAACTCCGAATTATGAAATCACCTGTTTTATTCAAATCTGCGGTGGTATATATACAATTTTCGGCAATTATAGTGTCGACAACTTCATCTCGATACTTATTTTGCATATATGCGCACAATTAATAAATTTACAAACGACACTGAATAATTTGGTCGATAAATTGAAAAACAACCCTGCATCTTCCTCAAAATTTAGAAAAGGTCTAACTGCGATTATTATACGACATGAACATCTAATAAGGTACGCCTGAGCACTCTCAGTGTATTATATAAAACTTTATTATGTATGCTTTAAAATACTTATAAAATAAAAAGAAGCATATTTCATTCAATTTTATTTTATAAATTTATAAAATAACATATTTTAAAAATTTCTACGCTGTGAAATTCTTTAGTTATAAGTCGATAATATTCGTGTATAATGTACTAATTTTCAAGGAGTGCAAAGACTATCGACGACTGCTACAGTACAGTATTAGTTATACACATGATGGGCGCTTCTTTTCAGCTATGTCTTGTAACCTTTCAGATTTTCACGGTAAGCAAAACAATTCATATTTTTATGTGTGTGTATGTCTAATCTTTATATTATTTTACAAAATACATATATAGGGTATACCTAGACGGTAAATATTTTAATGACAAATTCTTTATAACATTTTAAGACAAAAATTCTAATATGAAAATGTCGAGGTTATAATAGTTTTCATATGGAAAAAGTTTAAAGATCAGAATGATAGGCCTAAAGTTTTGCGCGCTCAGAAGTGACAAAATGGCTAGTAGTAAAAGTACTCCCATGAATCGAATGTCTGTGACATTAGTGAAATTATTGTAAAAATATTCAAAATTTTTATTAAAAATCTATTTCTATTTATCCATAATAAATCGTAATAATAGTTTGAATAATAATCTTAATTTTAATGTTTTTATTCAATAATTTAATATATGGATATTGATATATGTCAGCTATCATATATGTTGACCAACTTCATTTTGAAGACAGCTAAATATAATATGATTGATACATGAAGAATAATTCTTACTTCATGGACTGAAAATTCATGGCTATTTTGTCACTTCTGAGCGTGCAAAAATTTTGCCCTGTCATTCATGATCTTCAAACTTTAACCATTCGAAAATTATTGTAGTCTCAACATTTTCGTATTAGAATTTTCGTCTTAAAATATTACACAAAATTGATCATTGAAATATTTATCGTCAGTTTAAATACACCTTATATATGAAAAAAAAGAAATTTTTAATTTTTTTGTAAATGCAAATATTATAATACATCGCATTAAAATTATACGATACAATATGGAATCTCATACAACTATTGCATAAAAACGTATTATTTTCAGATGATAACAGATAATTCAGACTTTTCTCCAATAAGGACAATTTATCTCATCTTTTTTGTCTCCCTCGTGTTGATGCAATTGTATATTTATTGTTACGCTTCTGAAAGACTGTTAACAGAGGTAAACAAATTATATACACATTAATGTTATTTATATATAAAACAAAAATATAATTTTCTTAGAATATCAATATGGCACATACAGCGTATGATTGTAATTGGTACAATATACTAGCAAAAGATGCGAGAGATTTAATGTTCATTGTATATCGATCAATGATTCCGCTCAAATTATCAGCTGGAATATTTGGAAATTTTTCATTAGAATTGTTTGGAATAGTAAGATATATATCTACACAAAAATCAATATTTATATGCGTTATGCAAAAGTATCTATTTAGTTTGTAAATGTTTTGCTCTATTTTAATTTTATATTATATATTATGTAATGTTTATATATTTCTCTCTTTGTATTTACTATTATATATGATGCTCCGCAATTATTATTTACAATTATTTTTTCATGAAAATAAAATTCAATATTTTATCTATAATTTTTACTCTATTTAGGCGATAAAAACTTCAATGGGATATTTATCCGCATTACTAACAATAAGAGAATAAAGGAAATAATAATATAGAATGAATTCTGTAATTTTTCTACACCGTTTTCTACACCGTTTTCTACACCGAACAATGCAATAAACATATTTATATGCACTGTCTGTAACATTTGTTTAATTGAATAAATACATATTTGTGTACAACCATAAAGGTATTTATTTGTTTCTGTTTACCAGCATGTCGTAAAAAATTCGAATAATATCATGAGAAATTGAATGAACATGATTATATAAGTTATGTAAATTTATTATGTAAAGAAAAAGAATTATTTTCTATTAATGTATTTTAATATGTTTATGTAAGCATAAACATATTAAAATACATTAAAATGTTACAGTTAATTTGAACTTTTACAGAAGCATTTCCGCTGCATTAATGTAATAAATGTTATTTAGCATTTACGTTTGAAAATACATGTGTCTTGAATCGTTAAATAACTCGTAAATAACGACAGTCATGTTGCTATTAATGAATATCAATTTCACATAATTATAATATGAACTTTTTTTTATCTTATGTATATTTTACTTATTAAGCGATTAAATAGTAACTCTCACTTATTAAATATATTAGTAGATTGCACAAATTAGATTTGACACACTTTGAGCAAGTTGCAATAAATTTCTGATGGACATATTGATATATTCAAAAGTGTCATGAATTGTTATATATGATGTAACTTTGATTTGATTTTATGGTCTTTTGTACGCAGCATATCATCACTTTCCGCATGCATAATCCATCTGAGGTGAAAGAGATGAGGAAAAATTGACGACAGAAAGTCAAGACAATTGTTGCGCCATCGACATCCGTTAAATATCGATGCATGTTGAGATACGTATAGATATGCTTAAGCGCTTATAATAATAAATTATAGTAATATAAAATTATAGTAATAAATTATAGTATATAAATTATTAGTAACAAAATTGGCATTTAGAAATATTTTGCATATCTCTCTTTTAATTCAAAAAAATATTTTAATTCAAATTGGAACTTCTTTACATAAAGGAATGTTAAAAAGTCTTCTAAAGTCTTAAACATTTTTCCAAATTTCCTAAATATTATTTCTAATTAAAAATTATCGATATCGCTCGATCGTGAAAAAAATTTTGTCTTTCATTGATTTTTGATCAAATTTAATTTGCATAGATTTGAGAATCTCACGATAATCTCAGATAAAATCGATTCAATTTGAATAATATAATATATATTTTATTCTAATTGTTTTACATCTCTGCTATCATCTCGTGGAAACACATAGATAGCTTTTTGCAATATAGAAAAATAAATATATATCACATATTTTTATCACAATTTCCTAAGATTGTTTAAGTTAAAATATGTAATCATTTCAATATCTGTACAAGTTAATCATTATATTTGGCAGAGATTATTGTTTTAAATGAAGTTGTTGAATTGTTGAAAGATTATTGTTCTAATATATAGACGAGATCTGTAAATAAAGTAATGAGACTTTTTCGAGAGATGAACTTTTATTTATAATTTAACTATAATTTAACTCTGTCTCTTTCAAAATAGTTCCTTTGGGAAGCCACGCAGCGCCTGAGACGTTGTTTCCAGTCTTCATAGTAGTACTGGAACTCAGAAATCCGAATGGCCTTTAGCTGGTCGATTACAGCCGCTTTTACGTTTTCATATCAAATTGATGTCCTTTAAGATGAGTTTTCAATCTCGGGAAGAGAAAGAAGTCACAGAGACTCAAGTCAGGCGAATACGAAGACTGGGGGACGACAGAAATGTTTTTCCGTGCCAAAAACTCCGTAATCGAAAGCACGGAAAAACATTTCTGTCGTCCCTCAGCCTCCGTATTCGCCTCACCTGAGTCTCTGTGACTTCTTTCTCTTCTCGAGATTGAAAACTCATCTCAAAGAACATCAATTTGATACGAAAACGTAAAAGCGGTTGTAACCAACCAGCTGAAGGCCATTCGGATTTCTAAGTTCCAGCACTGCTATGAAGACTGGAAACAACGTCTCAGGCGCTGCCTGGTTTTCCAAGGGAACTATTTTGAAGGAGACAGAGTTAAATTATAAATAAAGGTTCATCTCGAAAAAGTCTTATTATTTTATTTACAGACCTCGTATATATATGTGTATATATATATATATATATATATATATATATATATATATATATTGTTACGTCCGCGGCGAGTACTTCGATTAATATCGAAGACGCGCGCGAAGAGATCGGCCGCTCGCGAGACGCGCGAAATGAATGAACACTTTCGTGAGGAACTAAGAACTTTAGTGCACAATACCACAACACAGAACACTACAAACGGTAACACAGAACGTAATACACAATATTAGCAATTCGGCTCGGCTCGATACAGAAACACGTCCGCGCAGCTTGACAGCTGGAAGTGAACTCAAATGACAGACGCTGCTGTCAACACGGCGCCGTCCCGATGAACACGGACATCAGGGCCGTAACAATATATATATATATATATATATATATATATATATATATATATGCGTATTTGTATCGAGCCGCTAATATTGTGTATAAACGTTCTGTGGTTACGTTGCAGTGTTCTGTGTTGTGTATTAAAGTTCCTAGTTCCTTTAAAGAGTGTTTATTCATTTCGCGCGACTCGCGAGCAGCCGATCCCTTCGTGCGCGACTTCGATATCTATCGAAGTCCTCGCCGCGGGCGTAACAATATATATAAAACATTGATAACTTCATTTAGAATAATAATCTGTTTGCTTTAAAACGCGAACACAAGAATACGTATTCTTTCTCTTTCTTTTTTCTACTTCTGTTTCTCTTTCTGAATATAAAATTTATAATTTTAAACAACACGATACACGAGAAAAGAACGATTAAGAGCCACCGGGGTAGTGCGTAAAATTTTATTAAAGATTAATTATTTGCGAAAATTAGAACGTGCACATAATTTTAATTACATTCTGTTTGTAGTACCACAATACACATGCAATACTAAAAAAATAATTTTTTCACTAATAAATCAATCAGAAAACGATATTTTGTATACATAACAAACATTTTGTAATACGCGCTAATTCAATCGTCAAATAATAATGTCGATCACAATGAAATAATAATGTTGATCAATATCTTTTTACTAAAACAATTATCTTAACTTGTAATATTTTTGATACTATAATAATAAATTTATCGATAAATTCGATCTTGTAAAACTTATATTTTCTTTTTCTTTTCCCGTTTTATAAAAATATTTTAAGAAGCATTGACTTTATTCTTTATATATGCATAAAAATATGTGTATATATTCATATATCTTTCTTTAGAACTCTTTTTTTTTCATATATCTTTCCTTTAGAACTCTTTTTTTGGTCATTATTTAGTTATTAAATCACTCTAAAATGCAAAATTACTTATGTTAAAAGTATATTATGCAAATATTTATTTTTCAAATAGAGGCTTTGAAAAAAACCTATACACAGTTTTGAACTATAAATTTATATAATAAATTAAGTAAAATAAAAATTAAATATAATTAATAAAAACAAAATTAAATAAATTCAGTAAATTAAATAAAGATAAAAAATTAATATAAGTAAATTACTTCGTTGGGGAATAAAAAAAAATGTCTTCTAAATTAACATTAAGCAATAATTTTTATAGAATTTCTTCTAAAATTCGTACTAGTGATTAGAAAATTATAATAACAATTAAAATAATGAATATTTATTTTGTATTTATGAATATTAATATTACCAGCATTAGAAATAATGCAAAATAGCAGTAATTGCAAATGTAGCTCGTTAACATTTACAAGTTTATGGAATAAATTACGGAGAAAAAATCAATTTATTATAGAGCACATTCAGCACGTATTTCATTATTAAAACTTAAACCACATACAGGTATAGTTCGGTTAAATCCAGTTTTTGTTCTTAGGGTACAAAATATTATATTTTTTCAGTCTGCTAATACAATAATGCCATATATTTATCAATAAGTTTTATTAGCTATCTTTTAATAATACATTCTATATATAATATGCTATTTTAATTAGCATTAAAGATATAATATATATTATATACACAATATCACATATAATGAAAAAATAATTTTAAAAATAATTAATTAAAAACAATATATTATATTTTTCACTTTAATAACATATCAATCTTCACTTGAGAATGTAAGTATGCGCTACATAGAATTCTCGTCATACATAATTCTGCATCAATTTTGTTCCATTTTTTAGTATTAAAATATACTGCGCACTAATCGAAGAACAATATTCCACTCACACACCACGATAAAATAATCTTTCAAAGACACAAATCACAAACAACATTTCATTTAGCATCATATATATATTGGAACACTTTGTAACACTTCGAGCTTCTCTCAAGTATAGAATAATAATATCGATACTTTTTATAAAAACAAGTTTTTGTATATTTATTCTTTCTCAGATTTTGCTGCGACAGGCATATGTACAGAGTATTTATTAATAAATTTGAATTTCTATAATTTGAATTTCTCTAATATATTTACACTCTCTTTTTTTTTGTATTTAATATTTAATAGAAGGACCGCATTCTTTTTTCTATTATTCTCTTTAATTATGAATGCATCTGACATGACTGACATATGTACTGTATATGTATGTGTCTTGTATAAATGTTTCTAAATCCTCTTTCTTTTCTTCGTGATAATCATTAAACACATATAAACATATAAATATTCCACAGCTGCCCCAAAAAATCATTGATGAAATAATATTATGATCTTTTCCTTTCCCTTGAATTTCATCTCACCTCTTGAACTCCTGTGTATAAAATCTGAATTCCTCTTACCTTGCTTATAGTCGAAAAGCAAGTGCTGTCTTTATGATATGCAATTCAGTCCGTCATGGTTGTCATAGTTACGTACTATTATGATATTCGAAAGGGTTTAGACGTATTGGCAATGATAGTAGTTGAATTCTTTGTGTATTGAGCAAGTGCAAAATCAAAGCGCTTTCGTATGATCGCGAAAAACGATGCAGTCTAACGATAATTTTTATTCAGTGAACATCGATGAATTTTAACAAAGGTAGAATAAATTAGAGAAAGCAAATTTACTCGTGTTATATTATTCTCCAAAAATATATAATTGCATTCAAGGCAAAATATAATTATATATAATATATCAAGTTTATCAAAATCGAAGTTTCTTTTTAAAATAAGAATTAAAGAAATATGCATTAGTTTGAAATTTTATTAAGGTGAGACAAAAGTTCCGGAACGGTCAATTATCTCAGGAAATATTGGTTTATTAAAAAAATGTTTCGAACAAAAGTTGTAGGATTCAAAAAAATCTATTTACTGGTCTTATTAGTTTGACCTTGGGTGGCGTTGCCAAGGTCAGGTCAAGATCACGTCAATTTTTTTAAATTAAACATACCATTTTCGATTCCAGAATCTAATAGCTGATGTCAAGAGCTTTCCAAAACCCTATACTGAAGTATTTTTTCGTTAAGCACATCACGAGTTATGAAGCTTGAAAGTTACAGTATCGCCGGCATTAGCATTATCCAAGATATACCACGCGGAGGTTGCACGGTCGGATTTATACCTTTTTTGTTTTGTGATATGTGCGTGTGTGCGTGTGCGTGCGTGCGTGCGTACGATTTAAGGAAAAGAATATTAAACATTTCAAATTTAACGCGTGGTATATCTTGGGTAATGCTAATGCCGGCGATACTGTAACTTTCAAGCTTCATAACTCATGATGTGCTTAACGAAAAAATACTTCATAGGGTTTTGGAAAGCTCTTGACATCAGCTATTAGATTCTGGAATCGAAAATGGTATGTTTAATTTAAAAAAATTGACGTGATCTTGACCTGACCTTGGCAACGCCACCCAAGGTCAAACTAATAAGATCAGTAAATAGATTTTTTTGAACCCTACAACTTTTGTTGGAAACATTTTTTTAATAAACCAATATTTCCTGAGATAATTGACCGTTCCGGAACTTTTGCCCCACCCTATATATTATGCTGTCTATATTGTAATTATTTACCAAATAAATATAAATATTTATATGTTTATATGTGTTTATATGTGTTTATATAAATACATTTAATTATTTACTAAACAAATATAAATATTTATATGTTTATATGTGTTTATATGTTTATATATAAAAAATTCATACATATATAAATAATCATATTTACATATAAAAAAAGAAATTTGCAAAAATAATACTTAAAGAAAAATAATGTTTCATTTTAAATAGCCATTATAAGTGATATTTCTCTTCTAAAATATAAATAATTTATCAGAATTGCATTACGCTTTTACATTGAGCCGTCAATGTATGCGGATAGTAGGTATATGGCCCGATTTAGATGTCCCTTTGAATGTTTGTCGCCGGCCAAAAATAGCATTTATCTTTGCCACATGTATTATGACTCTTTATGTACTCATCCCGCAAGTACTAAATCTGCTTCGAACTTCGGGCAAGTCGGTGAGTCAAATGGTGGAACTCTTTGTTGCCCCTAATATCACTTTTATGGCAATATGCAAGCTGATTATTACTAAATATCATGGTGACAGTAAGTTATTATGTTGCAGTAATAAAAATATCAAATAAATTTATATTTATCTTAAATAATATAAATGTTATTGTTGAATTATCCCTATTAAAAACTAAGACTGCTATTTTATAGCGCTATAGGATACATATCCAAAAGATATTCAAAAGATATCCTGAAGACGTCTTTCTTAAAGATATTTTTAGAATATCTTGTGGACATCTTTTGAATATGTATTTTGTGTAGATAACATTTCTTCTTATATAAAGATAATTTATTTTATATTTATAGTAATAATATAGTATAGTAATAATATAGGCATTTTTAATTTGAAAGAGCTTCGAATACTAATAGCATCAAGTATGACTGATTTGATGACTTCGAAAAACAATTGGGAACGAAACACAATGTTGAACCTAGTAAGAACTGGTAGAAAGATATCCATTACATATTTCGTGATTGCAATAGCCATAATCATATTTGCTTGTTATATACGTCTTGAGAATGTTTTTCAAAACATTCACCAGCCTCGACGATACCTTGTCTACCGGTTTGATTACATTCAAAAGAGTCCAAATTATGAAATCACCTGTTTTATTCAAATCTGCGGTGCTATATATGCAATTTTCGGCAACTATAGTGTCGATAGCTTCATCTCGATATTACTTTTGCATATATGTGCACAATTAATAAATCTACGAACTGCGCTCAACAATTTGATCAATAAATTAAACAACAAACCTATATCTTCTTCAAAATTTAAAAAAGGCCTAGCAGCAATCATTGTACGACACGAGTATCTAATAAGGTACGTTTGAGCATTATGTAAAACTGTAACATATTTATGACAACTTAACGTATTATGTAAAACTGTAACATATTTATGACAAAAGGAAGCATATATATTTTATTCAATCAATTTTATGTACAAATTCAAAATAACGTTTTAAAAATTTTTACATTGTAAAATTTTCTGATTATAAATCCATAATATATGAGTATGTAATGTGTACTAATTTTTAAGGAATGTAAAAACAATTAATGATTGCTACAGCTCAGTATTATGTATACATGTGCTATGCGGTTCTTTTCAATTATGTCTTGTAGCTTTTCAGACTTCCACGGTAAGCAAAACAATTTGTATTTTTGTGTATATAATCTTTACATGCAAAAGATTGAAATATGAAATTTAATAAGAAAGAATGTAGTATAAAAAACTTAATTATAAAATTTGATAAAAAATAGTACAGATAATTTTTCAGAGCATAATATTATAATGCATTGCATTAGAATTATATTACATAGTGTACTCTCGCATGCAACTATTGCACTGAAAAAGTATTATTATTTTTTCAGATGATAGCAGATAATTCGAATGTTCATCTTATTAAAATAATTTTTCTCGCTATATATATTTCCTTCATTTTGACACAATTATATGTTTATTGTTATGCTGCTGAAAGACTCTTAATGGAGGTAATCAAATTATATATATTAACGTATTTATGTAAAATAAAAATGTAATTTTTTTCAGAGTACTAATATGGCGTTCGGTATGTATGAATGCAAATGGTACAATATACCGGCAAAAGATGCGAAAGACTTGATGTTGATCGTATATCAATCTGCGATTTCGCTTAAATTGACTGCTGGAATATTTGGAAATTTTTCGATGGAATTGTTCGGAATAGTAAGATATATCTACGAAAATATCATCACTTTTTATATGTAATTACGCAAAAGCATCCATTTAGTTTCACTCTATTTTTGTTTTATATTATATATTAATTATGTGTATATTATATATGATATCCATCATCTATCAAAATAAAATTTTAAAGTTATCTTTCATTTTTACTTTGTTTAGGCAATAAAAACAACAATGGGATATTTATCTGCGTTACTAACAATAGCATAACAATAAGAGAATAAAGGAAATCATTCGAATTAATGTTGTATAACCGACTACATAAATTTTCGAATAATGTTATTAATAGATATACATATATTGTCCTCCCTCGCCCCCTGAATGCTGACATCATTTTTAGTATAAATAAATATACATTTACGTGCAACCAATAAAGTTATTTATTTCTTTCTACTGATTAATATATTGTTGAATAAATAAAAATATAAGACAAAAATAGAAATTAGGTAATTATGCAGATATATGGAACCACTTCCGATTTTAATAATTTCCACATATGTTGTCAAGGTCAACACTCTGAGTAATATTATAAAGTTTTAGCCCGCGCTCGTTGTTTATTAAAAAGTTATAGAAAAAAAAAGTTTTATTAATTTCACAAATGTGTGTACATACACACACACGCGCGCGCGCGTGCGGGGGTGCAAAGGGAAACCTTCGGCCGAAGGCCTCTTTTCCCGCAACCACCCCGCCGATAGGGAGGGGCAAAGTAAAAAATAATACATATAATACAATTTATATTATAATAATACATATAATAATTACATAATTAAAGATTATTTATTACGTAAAGAAAATTTCGCACTTAATAATTTTAAACACTCGCAAGAGGTATGGTTTATTGCAATTGTCTATAGATCATTCCTAAAAAAGTCTTCCATGAAAGTTTGTCAGAGTTGATATTAAACTTCATATGTCCGCAAAAAATGTTTGCTTTCATAGCATAGAACGGACATGTTTTTTAGTTGGAAAGTTGCATGGTGCATAAATCAAATGATTGAGTTGCACGAAACGTTCTTTGTTTCTCCTCGTATAAGCAGAATTGTAAAAAAGTTTAGAAAAGTTTAGAAAAGTTTTCTAGAAAATGGAAACAAAATTGAAACACCGATTTTACGTACCGGATAGTAATGTAAAATTTTGCAGAAATATATCCCTCTTGCGAAAAAAGATTTACACGTTAAGCAAAGAGATAAGATATAACTGCATATGTGCGTGTAAAAATAGTGTTTCAAAAATAGTATTTCAAAGCAAATAAATTATTGTTAAACATAAAATTTTACTTTAACAAAATAGTATTGTATTTTTCTTTTTATTCATTATTTATTAGCATTATTATTTACTAATCGATTTACAATCTTAATGTTGTTATTCTTATAGTATTTTACAATACGCAAAATATAAGAAAAACTTTTTATCATTGCTACATTAAATTCGTGAAAGGTGAATAAATAAATATCAAACAGTTTCATAAATTTATTAATAAATATATATATATATAAATTATTTATTAATGAGTTTATGAACTGTTTGATATTTATTTATTTACGTTTATATATATGTACAGAGCTATTATTTTTTTTCTTTACAAAGAAAAATAATACTTATTTTTTAAAAATAGATGTGTTGTGTGTGTGTATTAAATAATTATTTACTTACAGGAACCCCATCTCTCTTTCAATAATTCTCATATGTTATCACAAAGAATCATCACTCTGAATAATGTTACAAAGATTTTAGTCGGCGGTCGTTGTTTATTAAAAAGTTATAAGCGAAAAAAGTTTAATGAATAATATGTAATTTCATGACACAGACTATATGTACTTTGCTAGACGAAGCGAAGTTCACTTTCAACGAGGATCAAGATGAAATGTTTATACCGGAACGCAGTGAGTTTCGCCCCCCTGCGGGGGGCTTCATTTCTGGAAAATATAACTTAATTCACACTAATCTGTTTCTGATTTATAACTAAAATTTCTATTTGGTTTAAATTAGAAAAGGCTTAATTAAATTATACCTTTCAAAAGTGGAATCCCCCGGAGGGAAGTGAAATCTACTGAATCCACGCATATACTGTAAAATAAAGCGTAATTCACTTTCAACGAGGATCAAGGTGAAATATACATATCGGAACGCAATGAATTTCGATTTGTGGATTGGGCCATACATTCGGAAGTGAAACCTCCCACGCAAGAGGGCGAAATAGCATTCATATTGCAAGATGAAGCGAAGGTCATTCTCAGCGAGTGTCAAGGTATAAAAATGTATATGGTTTCATGAAATTATGTATTAGACGTTTTTTGTTTATGACTTTGTAATAAACAATGAAATTTGAAATTACATTATTTATTAAATGTTTTTTTAGTTTATAACTTTTTAATAAACAATGATCAATTAAAACTTTCACAATATTCAAAATAATGACTTTGATAACATGAGAATTATTGAAATCAGGATATAGTCTCTACAAGTAAATAATTATTCAAAATTGATAATGTATAAGGAATTAATTATTTTTAACCTTTAATATATATATTATGTACTTTTAAAAAAATAAGTATTATTTTTCTTTACAAAGAGAGAAAAAAATAGCTTTATAAAAATATTTGTAAAAAATTGTGCAAAATATAAACAAAATATATGATTTTTATATTTATAGAATAATTTATGTAGTAATAATAACAATAATATTACATTAAAGATATGATAGTAACTATTCTTCAACCGATAATCATAAAATGTGTGATCATGAGAGCCGTATGTTTCATCGCTATTTGCTTGCAAAGTTCTTCGAGAGAGGGAACCTTTATATTGTATAATAATATAAACATCTTTTAAAGTCTCTATAATGCTTCCGAAAGAATTTTTTTTTAATATATTTTTATTTAATATACTTTTAATGTAATGTGTAATATTTAATATATTTTTATTTATTTTTATTTAGAAGATTATATTATTATTATTTTTTATTTGTCGGTAATCAGGAATATAAACAAATTGCTGCATATAAGGCTCAACAACATTATAATTTCAACTTAATAATTCCAAAACAAAGTAATTGTAAACAAATATATACAATACACACAAGTGCTTTTTAGAAACACAAATGCTTTTTAAAATACTACGTATTTTTTTAAATTTATTTGTTTTAGTATAATATAAAAATAATCTTTAAAAAAATATTAGAAAAGATATTTGCTCTTAATTTTTAATGAAATTATTATTACTTATATTCACAAAAAATAATTAAAATGAGGAAAATTTTGTATTATATCGAAATATGTTCAGTATTTTAATAATTATTCTAATCTCCTGATTTGAAAAATAAAATATCATATTCTCGAATACAATATAATATTATTTCCTTTATCACGTAAAATATATTCTTAAAGAGCATGCGTCATCAAGATTCGCATGCGCCTCGAGACAGATCCTTTCAGTTACTTTAATGTCGTTGTCGCGAAAACTTCAAGAGATGCCAATCGAGGTCTCGGTTTCAATTTTTTCTTTAAATCTCTCTCTAAAAATACTTCGTAAATTCTTTTATAAATAAAATTTAATAATAAATTCATAAAATTATGCGAAATAGCAGTGAGCGTTCTAGATTAAGAATTTATTGGATGTCAATATCAAGTTTCTTTTAGCAAAGATTATTATTTAAACTACTTCTTGTTTCTGTTCATTAATTTTATTTAATTTAATTGGAATACATATTCACTTTATTAATGTATCTTTCAGCTTGTTAATATAACTTTCTTTTTATAATATTAACATCATATCAAAATGTTTTATGCCACAAAGTGCTACAAAATTATGGAAAAAAATTTGCGCTTATTAATATCTTATTTTTGTCTGAAAAGGCAGAGTCTGAATACGCACACGGATGGAATCGTTATACTATGATGTTTATGGGAATTTGGCCGGAAAATAAAAATTTCGATCGAGCTTCTAGTTATAAGGCAGTAGTCCCAATTCTAACAATGTTCTGCTTTATATGCGCGCCACAGTCGGCCAATTTATTATTCATTTGGGACGACTTTGACTTGGTGATAGAAAACTTGTCCATGGCAAATATAACAATTACGATTTCAATGTTAAAGACCGCTATATTTTGGTCAAAAGGTCGATGTAAATATATCAATTTTCATACTACCCAAAGTCCCAATTTTTTATCATAGCGCTGATAAAATTAATTATAATTAATTAAGATATAAATTAATTATAATTCAATTTAAAAGTGCATTATAAATTTTTCCAATTTCATAATAAAAATTGTAATACATTGTATTATTAGATATACACACACTTATATATTTAGAATCAGAAGTCGTTAAAATAAGGAAAAAGAATATTGAAATAAAACCGATTTTGTAAGACATAAGATTAATATTTCAAATTTTTTTTCATTTTAAAAAAGCCATGAAGATACTTATATCAAGCATGAAGAAGGATTGGAATATGACTGTGGATAAGCGAGAGCGCAAAATAATGTCAGATATAGCAAAGATCACTCGAAATCTATCCATAAGAAGCACCATAATGGCTGAAATAGTGGTGATTGCCTACGTAACGTATCGATACATCGTCATCCGATATACCGGTCGTCAATTATTATTTCGTGCATATTTTCCTTACAACGTGAGCAATAGTCCTTCTTACGAATTAACCTTCTTCGCACAAATCATCGCCTGTATGTATGCGGCGGTTACTTACGCGGCAGTGGACACTTTCATCGCCACTCTGGTACTTCATACGTGCGGTCAACTCGCGAATTTACGTCAAGAACTAATAAATCTACATAACTGTACAAAGACAAGGTTCCAGACGAAATTAAGAAAGATCGTGAGGAAACATGAATATCTCAACAGGTGAGAAATCAATCGAGTAAAGCGCGATGCAAGAAAGCATAATGAAAGATTTTCACGACTCCTCAATTTTTTGACAATTTTCCTGACAAATTCATTTCGAATGATATGGCTTATCCATAAGAAGCACAAATCATAGCGTTCAGCAAACTTACAAGATATGTGCAGGTAAAAGATTTTACATCCGATGAAATATGACTTTAAACGTGCCAAGAAAATATCTATCGATATTATTTATAGATACGATATTCTATTTATGATATTCCGCCGGATTTGTTCGTGGTCAAATATTGAGTTACTTCAAGATTTTGCTTATTTATATACAAAGTATAATTTAATAAATTTTTTAATAAACTCCTTAAATGATCAAAAGACATTGAAATCAATGATACGATTTGTTTGTGAAAAAAATATAATAGATAAAATTTAAGAAACATTTGTTTTCACACGATGGCATTTTTCATAAGTTTTGCAGAAACAATCGAGGACTGTTTCAACATGATGCTTCTGATACAGATGGTGGGATGTTCGTTGCAACTTTGTTTCCAGTGTTTACAAGCGTTCATGGTGAGCCATAAAAAGAAAGGAAATAATCTAGTTAAAAATTAAAAAAAAAAGAAAAAACTGTAATCTAACTAATCTGTCGTCATGATTCTTCATTATTTTGTAGGCGATAATCGGCGAAATAAACGAATTCCTCGCCTTCCAAATCATCTTCCTGATGATATATGTAGTTTACATATTGTTGCAGCTGTACTTGTATTGTTATATCGGCGAAAGATTACTTGTCGAGGTAATCTGATAATTTCCGATAATGTGTTGAAATACATAATTGATAATTTCTGATTGAGATATAATATAACTTTATATATATATATATATATATATATATATATGTGTGTGTGTGTGTGTGTGTGTGTGTGTGTGTGTGTGTGTGTGTGTGTGTGTGTGTGTGTATTTTTAAAATTATATCTCTATATCTCAGATAAAATTTTCGAAGACAAAATTAAATTTTCAGAAAAACTTTTTATATTTATTGGTAAATAATATTATCTCAATCGACATATTTTTACTCTTCATTATAACTACTATTCTAAATACTATTCTTCATTCTAAAAAGTGAAATTGCATCGTCACGATGATGACCCGATTACAAAGATAATGGAGTTATTAACTATACGCTTTCGTATTAAGTCAATCTGCATGACGCTTTGGATGTTAACAAGCAAAATTGAAATACGCATTTTTTTCACAACATTTTTTGTTACATATTTAATATATCATAAGTAGCTGATCTAGGAGAATAGATGAACATACAAGCAATAAACAATAAATAAGAACGGAAACAAATATTTCAAACTTCATTAAAAGATAGAAAATATATGTGTTCTGTAATTGCTCAATTTTTTTTAAATTTAATCTATAGATATAATGTATTTTTTTAAATTTAATCTATAGATATAATGTATTATTTTATAAAAATATGCATTATTTTCGTACTATTCTAGAATCATGTAAAAAAAAAGTTATTCTTCTAGAATTTCACACAAGAAAAAAATTTTTACTCATTATTTTAGTAACTTATAATTTACATATGCAATATGTAATGCAATATGAATTGAAAACTCAAAAATTGAACATGTTCAATAGATTTCTTATGACATAATGTATAAAAAAAGATACAAAATGCTAATATAATCAGTCGATTGTTGTAAAAAGAAAAAAACCTGCAAAAAAAATTATTTTATCACAAAAAAATTAGTATATATAGGCTTTTTGTAAATTTTTAATTATAATTATAATTATAATTTTCTATGACTTGTACACGATGTAAAATATGAAATAAGAGAGTTTAATCATATTTTCATTTTTAGTGTGATCTTTTCAGCTTTTTCATTTCGCCACGTTACTATAATTTATGTTGCTTCTTTTGAATCTTGAATCTTTTGAATTTGACATTCCAGAGTACGAAAATAGCATATGCGGCATATGACTGCAGTTGGTACAACTTGTCAGCGTACGAAGCAAAGTCGCTAATTATCATTATGTGTCGTGCTCAATCGCCATTACAAATCACCGCCGGCCGGTTTTGTTCCTTCAATCGAGAACTTTTCAGTGAGGTATAAAACTATCAAATATAGCTCTGTGTGTGTGTGTGTGTGTGTGTGTGTGTGTGTATACATTTAAATTATACTTTATTATTTTTAAAAAAATTGGAATTTTGTTTCATTTCAATAGAACAAAAAATAAATATAAGCTTTTTGATTATTTTTCTTGATATAAAAATAAATATAAAGTCTACTAATTAGAAATATGAAATATGTTATAATTAAAAAAAGATTTAGTTCTTATTAAGATCAAAATCGATTTTGGATATCAATTTTAGGTTCTGAAGAAATCGGTAACTTACATGTCGTGTCTCTACGCAATAAACAGTTTAGAGTAAAAAATTAAATAAAATTTAATAATGCGAAAAATATCCGTACGTATCAATTGTTTAATGAAATCATCGATTGCAATAGAATCAATATATATATTTTTTCGAGATGCTTGTAAAATGTACATACTCCAATAAAATAGTACCACATATAAATTGTATATTAAATATAAAAAGAATCAATATGTATGTTATACAACACGATGAAGAAATTTTTTTTATATTACATGACTTTAAGAATTTCCAAGAAAATTATTGGTAAAAATTCTTAAAAATTTACAAACAGAATTTTCAATTTGTAAAAAAATCGTAAAAATATGAAAATTAAATTTTTTAAGATTATTTTTCATACATATATTTTTTATTTTTGATTAATAGAATTTATTTATATTATTAATCAACAACCGATATTTACAAATGATAGTGTAGCTTGAACCGTTGTAATTTAGAGAGCGCCAGTAAAGAACAATCAATAGATACATAATATATGCTGAAGAGTCTGATAAGCTATTTATAAAATGAAAAAATAATGTATAAAAATTTTATTAATTTAATATATGGATAAACAGATGATCAAGTATTCAAATATAATATTAAATAGTTAATTATCAATAATCAAGCTTATATGCAATATAAACTAAAACTCTTCTGTCTCCTCCATTGTTTCTTTAATTTTCAATTTATTTAAAAATGTATTAGAAAATTAAAATAATTTATTGTACTAATTATATACTAATATCAATTGGTATGATTAATTTTATACTGTATAGAAAAGAGATACAATCATTTTTATTGCATATTTGTGCTTCACACTCGTCAATTTTTATGTGTTCTTTAAGTATGATATAAAAATTCTCCAAAATAATTGATAAACGATATTAAAATTAATATATTATATATCAAAAGAACTTTCTTGAGGCATAACGTGCATGTATTCTGCAACTTCGTACAGAAAATTGCAGTGAATAAGAAATGTAGCAGACGATTACAGTGAAGAAAAGAAAGATGAGGGGACGAAACGTGACGAAACGAAGAGAGGAGGAGTCGCAACAACTATTAATGAGAAGTTCCGACAGGAGTCGGATCTCTCACATTAATTATGCAGTAGAAACTCGCAGCTTTTCTCGTCTTTTCTTTTTTTCATCAACTTGTTTTTCCGCTTGACGCATATTCAAGCGACTTGATCCTTCGCGAACGAATTGCTCACGCAAGTGCATTTTATTGATACATATTTGATAAAGGAATGTATAGAACGTATGATTACGAATTCACGTTATAAGTTCATAAACTATTCCGCCTCTAACTGAAAGGTAATGGTTTTAGTTTGCGCGATCGGTCATGCGTATTTCGACTGTACTAAAATAGAGCTTTGAGCTACGAAACTTGCATAAATTCTACTTTGTAATCGATAAAATAATCGATGATGTGCATGTGCGACATGGAAGATCCTTAGACGCGATCACTTTATTGCTCATAGTTTTGCTTATCGTTTTTATTTTTCATTGGTTTATTTCAATTTGTATTAAAAATGCCTTGCTAAAAATATTTTCGCAACATAAAATGCTGTAAAATTTTTCGTGCAGATACAATATTGACATTTATTTGATGCTCGCTAAATAGCGAGCATCAAATAAATGTCAATATCGTATCTGCATGAATACGAATTGAAAAGCTGAAATAGATGAAATACTTCAAACGGCGATCTACGTGAATGCATTGTTTAATTCCAATACCGACGTTTTATTATGGTAAAAGTTTGCAAGTGTGCTTTCACCGCTTATTTCCGTCAACGCGTAAAGAAAATGCGCGCATAAAGCGTACAATCAAGAGTTGGAGAGCGACTAATGGGTATCATTAGCAATGGCATGGTTTATCGTCACAATGGAGAAAATCAAAGGATGACAGTCACTTCGAGCTCAGATGAATATGGATAAAAATGGCTTCACGCTTTGCCGGAAGCGTAACACGCATAAAAGTACGATATAAAAGTACGATACATCGTTCCAAAGTTATTTTATCTTCGAACATAAGAGTTAACGTTTCATTATCTCAACTTAGGAACAATTACAGTACATACATTTCCAAACTTGCATTTGTACAAGATATTAAAAATTTAAGATTTCGCAAAAAAGCAAAAAGAAATTCTGCTTGATACTCCTCTAAGAATCATAAAAAAATGGTAATAATCTAAGCGATTGTCGAGATTTATGTATATTTGTGGAGAACTGCCTTGTTGATTACACGCACGTAAGTCATCGAAAAAAATGATAATTAATTCTAAAGTGTTTGTGATTGTCGTACTGGTAATTTGCGGTGTATATGCTCGCACTACTGATCGAGAATCTTACAAAAGGACCAGTGATAAAAAATATGCCGGATCAATGCTGGCTGAGATCGCGAAGGAACTTGTGCAAAGATCAACGACTAGCAGTCAGGTAATAAAACCTCATTATGTAAAAACTTCAAGCTTATATATCATTTTCATATAAATTAATATTATTTTAATAATAATCAGTAATAAATCAAAATTAATTAAATTAAGAAATGTTTATATATAAAAAAAAAATGGAAAAGAGATATAAAAATATACATGTATATAATAAAATATAAAAATATAAAATAAAATATATTTTTATTATATATATTATATGTATATTTCATATATTATATATAATTATATATTTTTAATTATACTATATATTTTTATATTACATTATATATATTACAATACATATATTTATAATTATATATAATTTATGAAATATATAATTTTATGTGCATTTTTCGTGTATTCTGTATATATATATAATTTTATTTAAATTCTATTTTATTCTTATCTATTTCAATTAAAGTTATTTTATTAGAATACTTGATGATAAATATTAAAAATTTGAATAAGAATTATATTAAAAGTAATTTTGCAGGTGCTCAATTTAAATCTTTCAAATCTGCTGCTTCTTTTGGTGCTTAAAGCAGTTGTGTTTGGCGCCGGTTATATAGGACAACACGGCTACAAAGGACGCGAATTAGAAGATGGTAATTTTAGCAAATTTAATATTTGTGATTCAAAAATACTTTCTAATAATTGCACTGATAAAAATTGACAAAAATTTACTATATGAGAAAATAATTAATATTTTATTGCACTTTTTAAGAATTTAAATAATTCTAGAATTAAAAATACATATTTGTAATATACGTATATTTATAATATACGTATATATACCGAAAATATATGTTTATCTTTTATAATTAAAAATTATATATAATAATATTAAGGTATTGTAATAACTTTCTGCTAATTTCAGAAAATATTGTGTCGGAAGGTGAACTCGCGCTAGCTCTTGGATATCTAATCGGTGATACCTGTTTATACAGAGCAGCTTGCGAAGAACCACATATAGCAAAAGAGTATCTTGGCGCAGCTGAAATGCTCTTGCAAACAATGAAATTGATGCCACAGTATGTATATAAAATATTAAAAAATAATTTAAAGAATAAAGATTTATTTTAATAAGTTAGATATTTTATCATAAAAAAAAGTATTTAATACTCTTTATATTTTATAAGAGCATTTCAAAAATCATGAAATGTTAAACACTAAAAATTGTCAGGTCGAAAATTGTATTTGATTTTATAATAATATTTGGATTATTTTTCTTATACTAATATTTACATATCGGTTTTTTTTCACATACTAATTATGTATGATTTCGATGAATTTGTGATTAATAAGATGAACTATATTGAAAAATATTTTGACACATGTAATAATGCGGAAGAATTATTATTCATAAGCATAAATCCAGAACAAAAAAATTTTTGAAATTAACTACATATATTTTATTTGTTCACTCTCGAAAAACTTTGAATAATTCAAACACTAAGAAAAATTTTCGATTAAAATTATTAAATTTATTGTAAAAAATAAATGGCTTCTATTTATTCCTTTTATTATTTATCACATCATTTTTATTTATTCCTCTTATTATTTACCACATCACTAACATCATCTAACTTTAGATAACACAATATTACATGAATAGATCGATCAATTTGAATAGATCGATTTGTTCGATAATTCTTTAATTCGAATGATTGGAACAGTTTAAAACACGAAATTTGAACTCTTTTTAAAAAACTTATAAATTATTTAAAAATTTCGAATTATGTTATCACATTAAAATCGAATATTGTCGTGTAAAATTTGTATTTTCGCAGGAACTTACCTGCAGAATCTAACTACGAGAAGATGATCATGGAATTCCGAAAGGCGATTGAATACGGCAATATCGAGCAATGTCCACCAGAATACAGCTGTAAAAAAGAGAACATAAATAATTTTTTGCAAAGCGAAAAAAGATAACGCAAATGTTAATAATGTATCTATAAAACATTCTATTCTATTTTCTTAGGTATAGATATATACAAATCAAGTTATGATTAAATTTTATTAATAAATAATATTTTAGAATATTATAAAATTTTAAAAATTATGCATGTCTTATATTTTATATCATAATTTGAATGATAATCATTCAATAAACTTAAGGTGCTTTAGTTTCATATAGACATTCTCGTGCAAAAATAAAAATAATATTATTATAATTAATAAAAAAATAAAAATTGTTTTTTAAAATTATGTTTTATATTTTTATATAATAATCTTATTTTAGCAGAAAATATAAAATGGTGTTTAAGAAATAATAAGATAATTTTCTGCATGTTTTGTTATAATTATTGTTATTTGCATAAAGAACATAAACATTTTTTATTTGATATAATTGCAATTTTAATACAAATATAAAAATGTAATATTAATTCGAAACAAATTAAAATTTTTTTTTAAATTTAGTAATTATTACACAGGAAAAATATACATATTTTTACTATATAATAAATAAATAAATGTGTATATAATAAATATGTATATTTTTCTTATGTAATAATTGTTAAATTAAAAGAAAATTTTTATTTTGTTTCGAATATTTTTCATTATTAACTGACATTAACGTTATATTATTTAACAAAATATTTATTATTAGAAAAATTTAGTTGAGAGTATTATCTTAAATTATAGTATTTTGATCTTGATCGATTGCAATTCATCTATAATAATCTTAATCGATAGCTATGTGAGATTTCTGTCATGTAATAAAACTGTTTAGTTTTATTCTATACAGTTAGAGTTTAATATTCTATAGTTTTATTTGATACATGTCTTTCTAAATAGAAATATAATGAAATCGAAATCACACTGCAAATTTAAAAAAAAACGACATTGTCGTAGGCTAATTTTATTTTTTAAATTTCTAATACAAAGTTATATTGGCGACTATCCCTGGTGACTATTGTTGTCAATAAATAAGAATAATAAATAAAATTGTGCTAATGTAGCTCTAATATATTTCCTTTTTTTATAAGAGCTATATTAGCTATAATAATTCACAATTTTATCCTACAATAACCCTTAAAAGTTTTTATATATTTATTTATTATAAAGTATATTTTATTCTTATAGTAATTTTCTTAAACATTCTTAAACATATTTACATTATTATTCTGTTTTCTTACAGAAGTTACATAATCATTCCAAATAAAATAAATTTTTAAGAAATAATAAAACATATTTATTATGTCTTGTACTAATTTTTAATAATTATTTCTTTTGTAGAAATTTTTCTGAAATGCATCGATTTTATTCTCTTTTTAAGTTGCCCGCAATATATTATATTTCACTTACATGTATTTATATTGTCCAGATATTTCATTAATTAATGCGAAATAATGTCAAACGATGCGATGCATTAAGAATATGAATATGAAATTAATTTAGTTATTAATTTAATTTAATTAAGTTATATATTATACAAATTTAGATATCAATTCATATCTAAATTTCTCCTTCGTGTGGTACGTGTATTATTTAAGTTCATAAATTAATGAATATAATTATATCGTCAAAAAATTGCAGCTATTCAAATTCAATTTCATAATATTAAGTGATACAATCAAACAACAATTCCATCAAAAATTAATGTTGAAAGGAAAAAAATTTTGAATTTTCATTTTGCTTATGCTCTTTTTTCAATATAGCGTTCACATTAGTTTTAAAAATGTTATAAATTGGATAGCAATTTTAGAAACGTACCGTAAGATGAGAAGATAATCCGGATCATTTTATTATTCCACTCGTAAAACTCAATAAAAAGAAAATGTGATGAGAACGTGATGAGACGAAGATCGAGATCTTTTCACTTATGGCGTCCGTTCACATTTGTCTGTCGATCGCTGCCACCAGATGACGTTGCGCGTGCGCTTTTACCTAACCTATCCTGACAATCGCGCTGACTATTGCATTGCAAGTACTGCAAGCGCGAGGTTATCCGAGACGTTTGATTTTCGCCTATTCACGTCGTAGACGTTTTTAATAAACAATTTTTCGTATCATACCTAATAACGTTGCTCTCTGTATATCTGTTCTAAAAAATGAGTTCGATAGGCACAGGGGTAAGTGTACTGCGTATTACGCGAGATACGGTTTGTAAAATGTAATGTTTGTGACTGACATTAGAATCTAACCTTAATATTCCTTACAGTATGACCTGTCCGCTTCGCAATTTTCGCCAGACGGTCGCGTATTTCAAGTGGAATATGCTCAGAAAGCCGTAGAAAATGGAGGGTGAGTGTTATTCCATCTATATTTATTTTCATCTACTTCCCTTAATAAACTCTTACATAAAATCGATTTAACCTGCTCACGACAATTAATATTGTAATAAAGCATAAATCTGCTTTTATATATAATATTTGATTAAACATTCATAAAAAAAGTAAAAAGTACGCATGTATCTGTCTTATTTATGTGATTGCAATTCTGTTGCAGGACGGTTATTGGCTTACGAGGGAAAGACAGTGTGGTATTCGCTGTAGAAAAGATAGTGACATCAAAACTCTACGAAGCAGGTGCTAATAAGCGGATATTCAACATAGATCAACACGTTGGTATGGCTGTCTCTGGTATAATATCGGATGCAAGACAAATCGCTGAGACTGCAAGATCAGAAGCTGCAAGTTATAAGGCACAGTACGGAGTTGGTATTCCACTGAAATATTTAAACGAAAGGGTATCCATGTACATGCACGCGTACACTTTGTATTCTGCTGTACGTCCTTATGGTTGCTCCGTTCTACTCAGTGCTTATGAAACTGATGGTCCAGCATTATATATGATAGATCCATCAGGAGTATCGTATGGTTATTATGGCTGTGCAGTAGGTAAGTGAAATATTGATAAATTAGAACTTATAGGAAGAAATTTATATTTTGCATGTACATGTCATCTCGTAGGTAAAGCAAAACAATCTGCAAAAACAGAAATTGAAAAGTTAAAGTTATCAGAGATGTCATCTAAGGATTTAGTTAAGGAAGCTGCTCGTATTATTTATCTCGTCCACGATGAGTTGAAAGATAAACAGTTTGAATTAGAAATGAGTTGGGTTGGCGCCCATACCAATGGAAGGCATGAACGTGTACCAGTCGATGTAAAAACTGAGGCCGAGACGAAGGCACGGCAGGCAATGGCGGAAGATTCGGACAGTGATACCGAAGATATGTAAAATGATGTTAGGAATACTGCCATTAAAATTCTTTGTATTGTAAACGATAAAATTAAGTATTATACAAATATATATGCACCAATTCAAGATTTTAAAAATGAATGAAATAAAGAGAAAACTTGTTTAAGAAAACACATTAATATGCTGTTTAAATATTTTATAGAAATATAGAAATAGTCACACGTAAAAATTACGTGACAGGATTCTATATATAAATTTCTCTTAACTTGTTTTTCTATGTAAAAAATTATTTATTTAATGCTCAAATCTTTTTTTAGCTGATCAACTATCATTGCCATTGGATTATCTTTATATCCGATTCATAACAGATGTATATATATGTACATATTATTATAGATTATGAAGATTACTATATTATTATGATTCTTTGTAATTACATGCTTAAATCATATTAAATCCATATGAAAATATGGAGTAAATCTGTCAATTTTCTCGCATGGTAAAAATTCGTTATAAGTTTTTACAGCGATATATATATGAAAAAAGAACAAGTGCGATTTAATTGCATAACATCACCTTCGTTATTTTTTTTTAATAAAATATCGAGAAACGTTCGTTAAAAAACATGAGTCAGGTATTTGCTGCCAATAACGCATGCAAGGATGATCTTTCAATGGATTACTCCTATTTCCAAGGAATTATCCCTCGCTCGTAACAAGCATGTTGAAAAATGTCGCTGTAAAAACTTATAACAAATTTTTATCATGCGAAAGAAAATTTACGGATTTACTCCATGTTTTCATATGAGTTTAATATGATTTAAACGTGCAATTAAAAATCATAATAAAACGTGCAATTAAAAATCATAATATAATAATAATAATATAATAATCATCTGATATGTACATACTTCTATATCAATACATTATCGAATAGTTCCTTATAAGCTCATTAAGCTTGTCCGCGATAATTGATTAACAACAGATGCTATGCATAAAATGTATTAGATTTTCACAATGATGGATTTATTTCTGATATGAAGTCAATTACTTGTTAACGATGCTCTTATTTATGAGTATCTATATTATTGATTTTTAAGCATAAACCACTTGAGAAATAAAATTAAAATTTAATTTAAACGACCAGACTTTCTTCTTTTCAAATTGCCATTAATCGTTTTATCAAATTTTTAATTGTTTGTAACATTGAAAAATTATCACAATACTACAACATTAATATCAATTTTAATATATTTTTCCACTACTTTTTTTGTGGGTTTAATATTGACAATATGTACTTTTATGAGGAACAGATGAAAAACATGTTAAAAAAGCGATATCTTTCCTCGATAAATTGCAAAATCAAGTTGAAGGATACGCAAAACATCAAGAAACGTTGTATATTTTATAGAAAATGATACTAATCTTTGTTAGAAGATGATACTGCAACATGATCTTGTATCTTGTAACTTGAGCAAGTTTTAGAGCACCAGATAGAAATTTTATCTTCAAAGAGAAAAAGAGAGAGGGGGAAACTTACAATGGAAATAAATCGAGTTGTAACAATACGACTAAAAAACGTAGATGTAAAGAAATATTTCAGGGATTTTAAAATTTAAAAAAAATTCTATCTCCATGATTGATCGATATATTGAAGATTATAGTGTCTAGTTTCACCATTAGTATCTATTATCAACATTATTAATTTAATATTAATTGAGCCTTTCTTGCCTCTCTTCAGGAGAACCAGAAAATATTATGGAAAAACAAAGAGTAAGTTAAATTATAATAGAATTCTCAAGCAAATCGACATGAATTAATAAAAAGAGAAATAATACACACATAAAATAAGTCAAATCTATCCTATCACTTCTAGTAAATTTTAAGATATGTATTTTATAGACAAAAGTGTTTCTGATAAAGAAATTAATTGATTTTCGAAAAAATATTCTATGATCAATATATATTTCCTCACGTGAAAAAGTAAAGAAATTTTCTCTTACATAAAAGTTATTCTCTTCACACATTGCTTTACATATCAAAATATTAAAATAGAATGGTATAAAAAAATCAATAGAAAGTTTATAAGATGTCAATTTATTTCTCTTTGCCAATATTGTGACAAAATATATATATCTTGTAAAATATTTTCTATGACTTTATTTTTAAACTTTTACGTACAGAATAAATCAAATTAATATTAAAAATGTAACAATTGCATTTAAGGTGTATAATCACATCTTGCAGGTGCAATATTACACTTGTATAAAATCATGAATTGATTCTATTTATTATTCTATGAAAAATTTAGCAAATATTTTAATGCAGGAATGAATACTTTATAAGATATTACATATCTCGAAATATCTCATATATCAAAATAAATTATGAGATATTACATAATATTAATTTTTTTATGATTCTATCTTTTATCTAGAATGCTTAAGAAAACAGAGTAAGAAAAATATGAGGAAACACATATATAAATTCATTTAAAATTCTCACATATATTCATCTCACATAAAAAAAACAGACTTGAACTCTTTGAAACATCTTTATCTAAAAAAAGTTATGCTGATTATAAGATATCCTTTTCAAAATCAAATAATCTTTATTTAAAATATTTTTGATAAAATACATATCTTAAGATACATTAAAAGTAATAATCTAATGACTAATTTTATGTGTAAGTATATTATTTCATAAAATATTGTGCTTATATATAATTTATAACAAAGATGTGTATTTGTTTATTCGTATGCGCACGAATTATGTTAGAATACCTATGAACGAACAATGCACTGGTGATCCGATTCACGCGCATGCTGCTTCGTCACGTTGTCAGGGGTTGGTTGATTGCTGGGAGGCTGGGGAAAGCGCGGCGAGGGCGGCTCGAGCAAGTTTTATATAAGAGAAGTATGATTTTGAAACATCGCCACTAGTTTTGATTAATGCGGCCGGGACGGATTCGCCATTGTGTCGTTAGTTTTCGCTCGTTTTCTTGAATTTTTTTTTTACACATAAACACACATAAATATTACACATAAATAAGCTGCATTGATTTCGTTATCGTTGTCAATCGACGTTTCGATTCTCTTCCTATCATAGAACAGCTGATCTTCGCGATCTAATCGGAAATCTTATTCAACGATAAGAAGTACATATGTCTTTGAATTTGAGCACCAAATCATTGGACGATGGTCTCATCACCGAGAAACAAGGGTTGTCCGCTATTCATATTTTTGCGGCTATCGTACTTGGTATCATCGGCTTTTTCGGATTCAGCCTGAATTTACTGGTCATTTTGACTGTTATCAAAGACGCCCAAGTGCTATGGACACCTAACAATGTGATCCTCATTAATATGGTTGTAAGTATTATTGCAATATCGTTCTATTAAATTTAATTTGCAGATGATCAACGCAGAAATTAATTTCTTTATATTTTAAATCGCAACTTTAACGACAATGTACGAATATATAGAAATTTTAAAAGCCTGATTTAATTAAAATTGCATTATAATTATATATATATATATATATATATATATATATATATATATAATTATAATGCAATTTTAATTAAATCAGGCTTTTATATATATTGATATCATTCTGTATTGAAAAACTATTTAAAGAAAATAATAATGTCCTTTGTATGTTAAGGATAATCTAAAGAGAGAACTGAAATATTTATTATTATTTAAGAAAACTTTTATACATAATAATAAATATATTTATTTTTATTGCATTCGGTTCTTTTATCCTTAATCCTATTCATAATTTTTTTATGAATTTTATTTTATTAATTTTTATAATTTTTATATAAATTTATATACAAAAAAGTTGTTAAACTCAACATATAAAATCTATGCCTAATATATAAAAATATGCAATATTATTCAATTGAGGAAATTTTACATATAAGTGCACGTATATATACATTATATAAATAATCTTTTCCAATTTTCATAAAATTTAAAACATATTGTTTATTTATTTATCATACACAATTATAGAATAATCACAAATAATATAATATATGTAAACATATTTTTAAGATTTGTATTCGAAAAAATTATGATTTCAAATGTTAAATCATCTCTACCTGGAAAATAAGAATAAACAACCATATTTGAATTTATGTGACAGATAAGTTGTAACTTTTACAAGCTAAGAAAAACTTTTTCTTATCGTTGCCACGATATAGATTGGCAGTGAGGAAAACTTCATTAACTATACGACGTACAAATACGCGTGTCATGCATACGAAAAGAGATTCTGAATATATCAAGCAATATACATATCATATATTTTTTTAATGTACACAAATAGTGAATATCTACGAACTTTGACTGAAATTTAAATTAGAATAAAAATATTTTAGAGAGGTCTATACAGAGATATATGTGTGTTTTTACATTGCATAGTTTTCGCAAAATCACAGTTTTTCTACATAAAATGTCAAATCTTTGTAGAGAAATCACCTTTTTATAAAAAGTCTAATTAAGTTTTTTTGACCAACCGATTTTACAAACTATCTCTGATGAAGGTATGATGTTGTGAACTTATATATTCTAAGGTAATACATAATCTTTTTAATCTTTTTAATACATAATCTTTTTAATGAAAAGGTTGTTCAAAAGATTCTAATTCAGAAAATATACATTTGAATAACAAACTGCTGAAGAATTATATAAAATTATTGACTCAAATAAAAACATACTTCTTGTACTAAAACCAAATTGTATATACATAATTTTTAGAAAATTAAAACATATTTTAAACTTAATATAATATAAAATTTAGTAATATATAAAGTATAATAAATATAATATTTATTACATTTTTATCTTTCTATAGGCTTTGAATTTAATTTAAATTAATTTTATTTCAAATATATGTAGTAAAATTAAGCATCATTTATATTTCACTAGTTTTTCAAAATACTTCTATATTTCTGGAAAAATTTTCGTAACTATAATGACATTGCAAAAATTCAATCAATCAAATCTGGATGAATTTAACATATTATATTCTTTTTGTATTATATATCTTATTATATATCTTTATATAGAGCTTCTTTTATAAATACACATGCATCTAATTAATTACAAAATTCAGGAAAATAATATAAAATATCCGAATTGCTATAAGAAACAGAAAAAAAAACAACTTTGTAAAATGCATAATTAAGTATAAATCGATCAATTTATATAAATAATCTTATTGAGTATTTTTATATAATGCTTCATACATTTTTTTATTGAAACAGGTTGGAGATTTTTTAGTAGCTGTGCTGGGGAATCCTATCACAATGATATCATCGATCGCTGGTACATGGTATTGGAATCATAATGTGTGTCTGTGGTATATATCATTCTTATTATTTAAATATTATGTGTATAATATTTTTTATTTATAAAGCCAAAACTTTTACTCCTCATGACAATAAATGTTACCTATAATACTAAAGATTAATTTTAACAATACATAAATTTCATTCAAATTTTGTACATCAGATATATATGTTTGTAAAAGTCATATATGTTCATAATGTATTTTTATTATATTTATTAATGATAAGTAACCAGTTAAAAAAATTAAATGGAAATCATCGACAATAATTTTTCATATTTATATATATTATGTCCGATATATATACACATATGTACATACGATATAAGATACATAATTATTAAGATACATGATTTACTTTCTTCCGTCATGTCAAAATTTAAGAGAAATATTTTTATTATGAAATAGTATATATTTAATGTTTTATTATTTAAATTTATAAAATATCGAAATAAGAAAATCTAATGTGTGTGTACAGAGAGCCACATTTGGAATAGTAATTTAAAAATAAATAATTTGAAAATTTACTGTAGACTGGAAAAATATTTTGAAGAAAAGTCAGTTGCTTTTTGACAGACTATTTTAATAGTATGTTTTTAATTTAAATGAGATGTCGTTTCCAAGATTTACAAATTATCGTTATTTTTTTAAATAAAACTATGTATCTTTTGTTACATAAAACTTTTTATTTTTCATTCATAAAAATATTAAAGTGAAATATCAACATATTAATACGAGATATTTCAAATATATGGATACATATATCAAAATATATAGAGATTATATCGATATCTAATATGTAAACAAATTGACAATCCGATTATGACTACATATTTCATAAAGCTATTATCGGATTTATTATCGAATACTGTCGTTTTTTTCTTATATAGAATTATATAGAATTATTAATCATATTCTCTCGAATAAAATATCTTAAAAGTTATGATAATCAAAAATTTAATATAGCACATTTGTTATATACTCGCAATATGAATATAAAATTCTTCAATTGTAATTAATTCGAATACAATTTATAGACTCCTGAGTTTTTAAAATATAAAATGCCAAAAATTTCAAATCATTTTTTATCTCAAACACATACATAATGAAAAATGTAACGCGATTTTGTCAAGGGTTATATATAATTTCTTACATACTATTATTAGTAAAACTCTTTTCTCTTTTATTGATTCTAAATGCAATCAAACAGAAATATTTAAAAAAATAAGAAAATATAATTATAAAACAATAAGTTTTCTCTTCTGTTTCTCTGGAAAATCAACAAAGTAATATTTATACACTTGGGTATATGAGAAAAATTTTAATCGCCGAACAGCTGTTATCGCATGACTAACGTTTTCGTTGATGCTAAAAAAATGAGAGAAATCTTCACCGTTCTAAACATCAGTCGCAGCTGTCGATCTTTAATATTTTAGAAATGTCAAGCTTTAAAAAAAATATATGTGTATGCCATGCAAAAAAATAGCACACACAATTTCGGGGACTAAGAAATTTCAAAACATAAGATATATTTTTCTTACATTATATAAAATATTCATCTTTTATAAAATTTCACCCAAATATTATATTTTTATATACAGAATGAGAAAAATTAATTTATGTAAAAAAATATATATAATTTTATTTTAAAAAATATGAATAATCTTTACATTTTAGAAGCCATCAAACATATAGGAGAATAAAAAAAGCCATCAAATATTTTTCTAAAATACAAATAATTTCGACTTAGATTTATTTTTCTCCACAAGAAGACTATAATTTTTAAGTTTTCTTGTTTATATTACTTTACATAGAACGTCTTGTATGGATAATATTATTGTAACTTTCAAATTTAATACTAACTTAATTATATACAATGTAGCTGCTTCCTCAATTCTAAATAAAAGACATTTTATGAAATTAATATTAATTTATGAATATATAATCTACAATTCACAACATATTTTATTTGATAGATTTATATTATACATATAATTACGGTAACCAAATTTTCTACTTTAGGTACGCGTGGTTTATGACTACCATGGGATTCGCCAGTATCGGTAATTTAACGGTAATGGCAATAGAAAGATTCCTGCTAGTGAGATGTCCAATGAAAGTATTATCAATAAGGTAATGATTCAAATCACGCACATAAGATAAACACAAACAGATATATATATATATATATATATGTGTGTATATATAGATATACATACATAAACATTCAAATAAATCATTATTTGATACTGCTAATTTATGTCCATTCTCGATAACGAAGTATCTGCGACCATATGAACATTTGTTCTCTTTTTTATTCAGAAACATGATCATAAATTTTTAACACATACTTTTGACTCATCCTGTATATACATATGCATATATGTGCACAAAAACATACGCAGACAAGAGGAAAACTTATGTAACTAACATTTTATTATTTTAGATTATGTTATTTTAGACGCAAGTTGTTCAAACCTGGTTAATATTTATTTTATAAATATTGACTGAAAAAAAAACATATCGTCAGTGAAAAATAAATTCTCGTTCTTGTCATGTATAAAATATTTATATTTTAAGAAAATAATGTTGCCTTTTTTCTTATAAAATAGAATGCAGGGATTGTGATATATACAAAGGTATAGTGAAATGATCAATTTAAGCATTCCTCGACTTTCCATCGCACACATACTTTCATCGCGACATTCTCCAGGAAGCGTTATCCATATCTACAAAATCGTTTACAGTGATCGTAAACATCTTTAAAACATAATGTACACATAATAAATTTATGCAGTTTGCCATAAATTTTAATTGCACTCTTTATCGTCATTGTTTATCGCATATAGAAGATTGAGAAGCAACGACATAAATATAAATAATAAATGTATCTTAGCGCAGATTTTAATAATTTAATAATAGATTTTAAGAATTTTATTCTTTTTACGACAAGAGAATGTAAAGTTATTTATAATAATTTGCGCATGCTCAATAATATTATAAATATAAATCGGAAATTCAGGAAAAATCAACATCACAATATTTTGTTTTATCTATCAATAATTCTATGAATTGTTTTTTTCATACCAAATATAATATTACCATGTTGATATTGTGTATTTTAGGATCCTTTATTATATTTGTGCCTTCGTAATTATAATTCAAAGATTATTATAAATATTTCGATATTTTCACTAAAGAAAACGACGAATTTTTATCAAGAGTTACATCTTTCAATTTTTAAATTTATATTTTTAACACAAAGAGAGAATAAATTAAAATATTGTGTGTATAAATGTATTACATATAAATTCTCTTTTTTTATTAACAATTAAAAATGATTTCCTTGTTATCGATTGATGAATCTTCTTGTTAGTGATTGCTCTTTTGAGCATCTAAAGATGATAGCAACTAAAAGAAGATTAAACGGTTTTTTAATCCGCTTTAACAATAAATCCTTCCTTTAATGAGTTAAATATTCTACTAACGAGTTAAAATTTCTGATCCATCAAATACCGCAACCATGTATTCCATCAAACGAGAATTTATATATGATATATTCATACACACATACACATACACACGCAATATTTTAATTTGTCCTATCTTCATATTAAGAATATAAATTCAAAAATTGAAAGATATAGCTTCTTCAGTAAAAATATCAGAATAAATTTTAATAATCTTTGAATTATAAAAATAAAGAAGAAAAGTTATTTTTGGAGATTATTTCAAATTATTTCAAATTGTTTAAAAAATGAGATTGAATAATAAGACATTACTTCCTTATTTTTTAATTTTAATTTTAATTTTTTTAACAACAAAATATGCTTACTTATAACTTAGATTTTTGAAATGATTACTTTTATAAAAATCTTTAATTTGAACATTGTGTGAGAAATTATTTTAAACAAATTATATGAATGCTTTTACTACAAAGAAAGCAGTTTTTGAATTAATCAAAGAATATGTTCTTGAATTTTCAAACTCTTTTTTAACATTTTACATGAAAATGTACTAATATACATGAATCTATATGAATGCGTTATATAAAAAAACTTTTTTTTCATTATTCTTTTGCGTTTTGCTATTTTTTAAATATTTTATAACAAATTCTGTAAATAATAATGAACAGTAAATGTAATATAAATAGAAAAATCAATGGAACTATGCTTATATTCGTGAAATTCAACTTGAACCGCATCCTATTATCTTTATTCAAATAATTAATCATTTTGAATAATTCGATTTATTTTTTTATTTGTTATTTTTACATGAATTCTTTTAAACATTCAATATTTCGTTAAATTCAATATTTAGTTAAATTTTATCCCTCAAATTATAACTATCAAATTAAACTATTCATCAAATTGTAAGAATATATAACAATTTTATATGTGATACATATATATTTTCAAAGTTTAAATATATGCACAATCTGATAAAATATTTTAATTTCTTCATGAATATGCTAAGTTTTTATACTTTACTTTAATTAATATAAATGTTTTTAATGCAAATTAAATCTCTCCCAGCAAAATAATATAATTATAAACATTATATGTTGTAAAATTAATTTTTATGTTTTCTAAGCTCTTGTCCTCTAAGTTTAATATTTACTCTTTTAGAAATGTGTTAATCTTTCTTTTATAGACATGCTTATGTATTAGCGTTTATGGTTTGGATATATGCGTTTTCCTTGTCATTCCCGCCATTTTTTAATTGGGGCAGCTACGGTCTGGAGGCCGGCAACATATCTTGCAGCGTGTCTTGGGAATTACACGATCCCGAGACGCATAATGATTCTTACATCGGATTTTTATTTATTTTTGGATTTTTTCTTCCTGTCACAATAATTATCAGCAGTTACTATGGCATTATAAGGAATTTGAAGAAAATAAAACAGAGAATTGGTGAGTCTTTAATATATTTTGTTAATAGCAATAAATCTCTGGTTAGTTATATAAAGTTAAATATAATTCTTCTCTATCTAAAGACACAATGCTGAATACAACTTTTGCATACAAATTTAGGGATAAAATATATGTTGCATATTTGATAACACAGTTTCAAGTCATCTTTAAATTCTCTAATTTACTAACAGTATATTTCTTACTCTTAGGTCAAAATAACAAACGAGAAAGAAGAGTTACGATGATGGTATATCTAATGGTCCTTGCTTTCCTAATCGCTTGGTTGCCCTATGCCATTCTTGCTCTCGCAGTTCAATATTTCTATGTGAGTATTTCTAATCACGAAAAGTTTAATATTCGAAAAAAAGAGCTAATTTATGAAATTTGAGCTGATTTATGATTAATTTATCAGTTATAAAATGTTATAATATTTTATAACATATACATTCAAATAGCAAAATTATTTTGTCTAATCGCAACGAGGTCAAGGCGATTGCCTGTCTATATTAAGATTTAATAATCGATACGACAATAGCTTCTCAACGCTTCGATCAATTTCTCTCCGCATATGGCGGCCTTTGAAGGATCACAAAAGCTCATAAAAAATAATTTATATTGCAGGTGCAAACCTCCCACATCGTAACGGTGCTACCTGCGCTTCTAGCGAAATCCTCCATCTGTTACAATCCTATCATATACGCATGTTTGAATGTTCAGTTTTATGAAACCTGGAAAAAAATGTTTTCCACCAATACGAATTCGAGAATAGTCAATACAAAAATCACAACGAAAATAGAAATGAAGAGTCTCAATCATTCAAATCAAACAGAAAAATAAAATTTTTCTTGTGCTTTATCCTCAGAAATGGTGCATAAAGGGAAAATGACGTATGGAGGAAGATGCTATCAGAGGACAATGAATAGATAGTGTAAAATATTATTTTCGTCGTTTATTTGTTAATTGTTAAAAAAAGCAGTCTGAATCTTCTGTGTAAAACGGAGATTTATTTCATACATATCTTTCTTTTAATTTGGGCTTATCCGTTTATAATTTTTTTACTGCGCACAGTTTCGCATTTCATAAAATCCAAGATGATTTTTTATGAAACAAAAGTTGTGTGCGCAGAATGAATAAAATCAATTATTATTTAATACAACATTTATATTAGAGTTTGTATCATTTTATTTAAAAGGATATATCACGTATATGTTTTTATGGGTTTTATATTTAGATAAACAATTTAAGTAAATATTATGGTTGATTTTGGTTTCTGAAAAAATTCTAGGGAAAAATGAAACGTATAAATATTTATCTTATTATGTTTCTAAAGAAAAAACTAATTCAAACACTTGTTTCAAAACAAACATTAAATTAATCAAAAAATTCTCTTATCTTGAAAATTTATATCAAAATCAAAATTTTAACATGTTTATATCTTTCGCCTTTTTTCGAAACATTGAGAAAGAAAATACATCTTAAAAATATATCTCGGCCAGAACAAAAATGCATGATTAGTATTCTATATTTATTCCATTCTATTTATTCCATTTCTAAAGTTATAGACATAATTACATTACACTTTTTAGTTAACTTTCGAATTATGTATGTGCCAAATCAAGCATACTAAAAATTAAACGACGTTGAAACAATGTATTTAAAAAAAAATGATTTTTTAAAAAGAAGATTTTTCTTTGATAAATGTGATATATATAACCTGATATATGTAATATATATATATATATATATATATATATATATATATATTGCTAATGTTGCTCTTGTTATATCCATCTCTTTGCTTAATTTTTAACAAAAAGTCTATCATAAAAAGATGTATTCAACATATATACATGAAAGATGTAATATTCGCTCGAAGAGTTCTAAAGTTTCCATAAGAATATGTATAAAAATGTGTTGAACGCGTATGCCTCTTACTAGTATAACTTGATAATGTCGACTTTATGAAAAAAAAATAAAAAAAAAAAAATATATATATATATATATATATATATATATATATATATATAAAATATCCGTGTAAAGTAAAGTTGCAAAAAAATAAAAACAAAAAGAAAATATATATGTATATTCATCACATTGATGTGCGTCATTAAAAAAAATACATATCTATTCAATCGATTCAATCAATGATTAATTTTAAAATAGATATTGATCAATATATAATCGATCACTTCGTATATGTAATATTAGAATAATATATAAGGGTGATTCATTAATATAATTTGCGAGGTCGCCTCTTTAAGTGATTTCGTTCAACAATTAACAAAGAAAATATTTGGACGAATATACTCATCATCGCGCATATGGGAACAACTCGGTTTGAACGAATATATCGGGATAATGCGCATGAGGGTTAATATATTAATATATATTTTCAATGTTTTGTATTTAATAAAATTGCTGGTATATTCATCCTTTCTTTCTCTTTTTTTGTTTCATAATCAAATATGCTAAACTGTTTACGAAACGAAAAATCACTTGTTTTAATAGAGTAATCAACAGTTTTAGTGTCTCAATATAGCGTTAAAAAATTATTATAACTTGTCTATTTTTATATAAAAAAAACTTTATTAATAGTTATTGACGCATTATTTCTATTATTTTGTGCATGTATGTGTGTGCGTAAAAACGTTCAAGAAAATAATACAAAAGATACAAATACATTTTTTCCGAAGTAATTATAAATATTGTATATATTTACTTTTATACACACACATAATGCAATTATATATTTAATATTATGTATAAATTTTATATATAATCATTTTCTCTTATATTATATAATAGAACGAAATAACGCGCATTTTCTAACATTCTAGTAACAATTAAACAAAGTATAAGCTGAGGTAAAAAAAAGCAAGAAGGAAAAAAAAGTAAAATTCTAAGTGATAAAAATATTTAATGCAATTATGTCTTATCTACGTAAATACAAGCGCGAAATATAAAAAAAATAGAAAAAAGAAAAATGAAATATGTATATCAAGATATGTAAGATAATTAAGGATAAAAAAGGATCTAGTTTCTATATTGATCCAAAAAATATTGTAGTATACTTCAAAAGAATTCGACGACAAAATATTCAATTAATCTCTTCAAGTAATGAATTTCGTAAATAAAATAAAGTAACAATAAATAGCTTTACATTCAAAAATAATTTTTAAGCTGTTTCATATCAACATATAAAAAAATGCTCTTCAAAAATAAATCTACAAAATTATAAACGCAAGAAAGATTATCAACTGTTTTGCAAATGAGAAAATTCTGAAGTTGTTAACTTACAAAATTACAAATAGAATAATTGCATGCAGATTGCAAATAATACCCGAGAGAAACAAAAATATTTACTGCATGCTAATTGATTTTAGATGAGATATGATGTATCATCACTACCAATATTGTCGATATTCATCGTTTCTCAATCTGAATACAAATACGCGTATTATGGACAAGAAAAACAATAGATCTTCGTATAGCGCTTCGTATACTTTTATAACGCAGTGGAAAAATAGCGATAGACATATAACGTGATCAGCATGTAGATACATGTCAAATTTTTAATTTCTAAGTCTATATCTAAATTTTACTTCGTTAAATTTCACTTTGTTAGATTACACAACGAAGAAATTATAGAAAAAAATTACATAATTTAGCTTATGTAATGAAGAAGTTCTGTTTTCTGATTTATTTTAAAATAAAATAAAAAATTTTATTGACAATATATTAAAGGTAAATTTTTCGTGTTTTCTTTTATAATAAAAAATACAATATGATAAACAATATAATATCTCTTTTTCAATTTTATGTAAACTATGAATATCATGTAACGCTGGAGGTATTCACCTTACATGGGGTTCTACTGTATAGTTGGCACGTTTGTGGATCTTGCATTGTTAAAATACGATCGCGCGATTGCGTTACGCGAGCGCGACCATGTCGCGCGGAATCAAGCATTTACGATTCGTAACACGCGCAATTATGCCACATCGGAGAAAGTGAAATCGCGAGGAAAATTTACGGTCGTCGCATTCGTGTCACTCTCCGCGAGTTCTTCTTAACATTTTCTGGATGGACTCCGCTTTAAGAAGATCCGCGTCTCTTGCAGATTAAGAAATCTCTCCTCGTTTCATCGTTTGATACTTTTATTCTTAATGCGAAAAAATTAGTCTATCTAATTATTATTAAATTATTATTAAATAAATGTTAAAATTATTTAATCAATATAATTAGTTTGCAAAGAAATTGCGACTGAAAGTGATTTAAAGTCAAAAGATGCGTATATTCTTCTCAATAAAACTTTAATTTGTATTCCAACATCGGCATTTCAGTTCTAGTCTTTTGATTTCAATTTTAATCAACGAATTATATATAAATATTTATCACAAATTATTTCTAATTTAATTAAGACGCTTTATTGAAAAATTTACAAAATACAACTGATGAATTTTATTCTCTTTAATTATTTCCTGACTAGTTTTTCTCTTTTAATTTCATTGCATGGTTTCCATTGCGTGGTTTTCTATAAATGGAAAAGTGAGAGTAAGCAACAACAATACCGATCAATGCTAATTCAGTTAAAAACATGGAAAAAACGTAGAACATATTTTTAATAAAAGTAAAGTTTTGATTAAAACAGACTTTGTTCTCTTAAGATACAAATAATTATAATTATAAATAATTGATGTCCTTCTAATAGCAACAAATACTCAATATTTCGATAACAATTGGAATATGATTATTTAATGTTATTAAATGAGAGACTATTGGATATATTGGATATAATTGGATTGGATATAATAAGATAGAAATATATATATAATAATATTATATTCCAATTTGTTTATTTTGGCAAAATATTTTTTGTTTCTACCAATTTTTCCATTGCGATTCTATTTGAAAGAAAAAATTCTCATAATATTATATATGTTGATTATTTTCGAATATTATTGTCGAATTTTTATGCTTCAATGAAACATATATTTATTACACATTTTTCGATTATTATGTATATAATATGTATGTAAAAATTTACAATTACATTTATCTTTTTATCGTACCTTCGATTAAACATGTCTTTTATTTTGAAGAAACACTCTGCAAAATTTCTGCCTCAGGCAATATAATTATATCATAACTTTCATTTATTAAGAACTCGATTATACCTTCATGTTTTGAGAGATTGTACAGCATTGAAATTAAAATTGTTGATCTTTTTCTTCGTGAATAATTCTTGATCTTGATAAATTTTTCTTGAAAAACTTGACCTAAATCCACCAGATCGATATTATTCTAGATGATGAAAAATCCATGCATTCGTGCCGGTCAACGCGAGATATTGCACATAAGCATTTAATATAAAAAAAGAATGCAAGTGTGAAAGTATCAGTAACTCCGGCTGCATTTAGAATATATTAAATGTAAATATAGCAATCGAGGTTAATTATTTCGATATGGCTTAATTATGATTGATGATTTTACATTACTATCACGTTTCTATATTAATATGTGCACAATTGATGCATCAATATATATGCAATTCAAGTATGTATAACTCAAATCCATTTCAGTTTAATGTATTTAATGTATTTAATGTTTAATCTATTTGTAATTCAAATTCACGTTGAATATGTTTATTAGGAAAATAATTTCTTAACAATAAATTAAATATGAAGCACGTTTATTGTATAATTTAATCAAATAAACGCTCATAACGCGCATTAAAAATTTAGCATAGAAATTATAAGAATAAATAAGTTTATAATTTCAAGTTTAATATCATCACTTTCAATGGCATTGATTCCCTTAGTTAATATTATAATTGCATGGATTTTATGTAATCCGTTTTGGCCGAGATTTTCGCATGCGGTTAGGCATTGTATTGCAAAATCAACTAATGTACACAATAGATTCAACTGAATCGCACCGTCTCTCGACAAACGGAATACAGATAACCCTCCAAGCTGTCATTATACCTGCAGAGAGGGTAACTTTCAATTAGAAAGAGTT